TCGGGTCCATCTCGGACTCCATCTCGGTCCATCTCGGACTCTATCTCGGACACCATCTCGAGTCCATCTCGAACTCCATCTCGGGTCTATCTCGGACTCCATCTCGGACTTCATCTCGGGTCCATCTCAAACTCCATGTCGGACTCCTCCTTTTAGTCCGAACGTGTTATGCTCATTTGGCTTTTGCTTCAGCCACTACCACATGACACCCTTTCGGCTCCACTTTGAGGCTTAGGGATTTGTGTCTCACAATTAAGAACCATATTTACCAGTTGCTAAATGCTATAAATGACTAAATTTTCCATTCTACTTTAGTCACTTAACCACACCTCCGACCACTTGGAGGAGTCTCACTCACAACCTCCATAAGTCCTATTTCGGACTTGGGCTTGCTAACCCTAAGAATAGCATCCTTGCCACTCAACCTTTGCACCTAGTCCAAGTGCTCCATATGTCTGATCCCATGACCGACACCCAAGGTACCACCAACATACCAGCCCGTTACGCTAGGCCGTGCCCATTCACCTTGGTCACACCAGTGGTCTAACACCACCTGCATCATAGTCCCATTTCTCAAGGACTAGGCCATTCGTCCATGAGTGATCATTCCAGATCCACTCCTTAGCATTTTTAGGATGCCCATAGACATGGGGAATAGCTTTCCCCAATATCCCTTTTCCGGTCCCCACCAAGTCCCTTTCTGCCCATGGCCGTGTTTGCCAACACTGCCACTGGATCGAGGCCCACAGGCCCGACCACTAAGTCCCACGGTCCTCTGGGATTTCCTCACCACCCAACTGTATCCTTGGTCACTACACCAGAAGACTCCTCCTCTTCCTTTCCACAGTTTGGGCCTTTAGGAAAACATTTCGGAACACCGTGGCCCTATGCAGGCCTCGTGGGTACTCTCCCCACCTTCCATCTTTGGGTGCTCTAGCCATGGGCTTAAAGCGAGGTTCTGTTGAGCCATGCTAGGTATCCAAGTAGGTAATGCCACCCACACTTGGATTGGGAGCATCGGCCAGTCGATCTCCTGGGGGAACTAGAGCCAGCTCTTGAACATTTCACCAAACTACCCCGTTTGTCAGTCCGTGTTCACTCTAGCCTTGGACTTCCTAGTGGTCAGTTCATCACCCAACACTGGGTACAACCTTCCTGGGCCAAACTGGCCTTTCCTGGCCAAACTAGCTCCACTGTAGTCCTCCCCCTCACTATACTTTTGGAGCTCACTAAACCCCCCAGGGTCTGGGAGATGAACGCTTTGGGCTTTCACCTTCTCAGACTCAAACTCGGACTCGGACTCAGACTCGGACTCGGACTCAGACTCGGAATCAGGCTCGGACTCGGGCTCGGGCTTGGTCTCGGCCTCAGCCTCAGTCTCGGTCCCGATCTCGGTCTCGGTCTCAGTCCCGGTCTCGGTCTCAACCTTGGACTCCATCTCGGGTCCTTCTCGAACTCCATCTTAGATTCCATCTTGGGTCCATCTCAGACTCCATCTCGGACTCTATCTCGGTCCATCTCAGACTCTATCTCAGGTCCATCTCGGACTCCATCTCGGTCCATCTCAGACTCCATCTTGGACTCCATCTCAGACTCCATCTCGAGTCCATCTCAGACTCCATCTCCGGGTCCATCTCGAAGTCCATCTCGGACTCCATCTCAGGTCTACCTCGGACTCCAACTCGGGTCCATTTCGGACCTCCACGTGTCATGTGTTGGTCCTTGTATGTCCCTTTCTTAGAGACTCACTTATTACTTGTTTCGTGCTTGTTCCTTGAGCACTTCGTTGAGAGTTCCACTCCCATTCTCAATCTTTCAAGTCGGAACTTTTAGTCCAAATGTGTTACGCTCGTTTGGCTTTTGCTTTGGCCACTACCACGTGGCACCCTTTCGGCTCCACTTTGGGGCCTAGGGATTTTGTGTCTCACAAATGCCTGCAAAATTAAAACCAAATAATTTTTAAGAGACATTATTGAGCGGAATATAAAATTTGGACAGTTGATTATATTTAAAGACGCATGGTCCATAAATACTTAAACTACACGACTATAACATTAAAAAATTAAAATATAACTAAAACCATATCTATAAATATGGTTGTATATATAAAAATTTATATGGAACACTATATCTGAATTGTGCTTAAAATTATGTGAACAAAATTGGTAAATATTAGTTTCAAAACTATATAGGTATCAGTAAATTATATAGAAAGATATATGTACATTTATTCTCAAAATACAACTCAATCATACTCAAAACTATACAAGAAACCATTCCTTATGATTGCTAAATAGGGCATAAATCATGATGAAAACTATATACAAAACCATTAGTGGTTGTGGTCCCAAAACCAATGCATTAACAATTAAAAAACTAGTCATAAAAGTCACATATGGTTTAACCATAGGCATAACCATCTTGTTTTGGTACTAGTTATAGTAAAAAAACCATGTTGATGAGCGTGTTGTGGTTGTGGTGCTGGGTAACACTATGCGGCATGGCCTCTGGCAGCCAGATGTCTTTCCCATGGAGATGAAGGCCAAGGTGTTGGAACCTTTGGTGGATCAAAGCTGGAAAAATCAAGGTACTTGATGATGGAGAAGAAAATTTGTGCACCTTGACTTGAATCATGATTTACTCCACAAGCTGCTGTGACAGCCATCAAGGCAATTTTGACACTAAATCATCTTTGCGACTGGCAAGAGCAGCGTTCTAGGAGCAGTGGCTCATGGTGCTATCTTAAATATCCTTGCAAAATATTTCCACTGTGCAGAACACACAATACCCATTCCTCATTGAAATGACATCAGTTGCTCTCACTCACTTGTTTTCTTTTGCATCTCCGCTCAGTGAGCTGTTGAGCTTCTTTAGATTATCATTTGGAGGAAGTAGGGAATTCACAGCATGGTGAGTTTTGGAGTTGAAGTGTTGTTGGGATGTTAAGTATGAAGCTCAAATTGCAGATGCATTGTATTTTTCTGGTATGTTGTTCTTGTGGTATTTTTTTCCCCAATATTTCTGTGGTACAATGTGGCTTGGTTTTTAAGGAGTTTAACGCATTTCCTCATCCATTTCTCGTCACAGGGTCTTTTAGTGGTAATAAATTCCCACTCGCAGATAATATAAGCAAGGAACCAGTGGTTTCCAGAAGCCGAGTTTATTCGTCCCCAGTTTTTAAGTTGGAAAGTTGTGGGAGGGAGACTGCACAGGTGATGGAATTCTGCTGCTGTGCTCACCAGCAAAACTTGAGCACCCGAGTTGGATTGACTGGGGATAAGAAACTGGGAGGCTGTATCAAATGTCATCCTAGCGTATGCCGAAAACACTTAAGCAAAGAAGTTGTTTCTTTTGATGATCTATCCAGAGAGATTGCTTCTCGTGGAACATTTTGATCAAGGGGTTTGTGGATGCCGGGAAGCAGCACTGGCCCTGGCATGGCATTTGGAAGAAGCAAAGGGTTTCGTTTGATGCAATAAGACGTGCTCGCAAGAAACACAATGGTCACTCTATTTTATACAAACAGACAACCTTGAACACACAAAGCACAGGTTGTCTATTTTTGCAAAGTTGAAAGGTGTTCTCCCAGAAAAGAGCACAATATTAACTCTTGGCCTTGTAGATCGGAATCATACTGTTCTTCACTTTTTTCAACTCTCTCTCTCTCTCTCTCTCTCTCTCTCTCTCTCACACACACACACACACACACACACACACTAATACCGTTTTGAGCAGCTGTTCTTCCATCCAGGCATTTGCTGTATTGGTTCAATTTTGCTTAAACACCAGCGACCTTCACGACATAAGAGCTAGATTGATTCACAGTGAGCACCACAATGATCGCTACCTCGCCAATCTCATCGTCCAAAAGTATGGGGAGCTGTGGGGTGCTCGACGGATCTTCGCTGGCTCTTGTGGAACATCTTGCTGGGAAAAATCGGTTGAGCGGAGATCCAAGAGGGATGTGGTCGCATGGAACTTGATCCTCGCAGAGTATGCCTAAATCGCTCATTCAAAAGAGATGTTTCTTTAGATGATCGAGGAATGTTTTGATCAAGGTGGGTTTGTGAATGCCATGCGAGGAAGCAGCAGTTGCCGGGACAAGGCATTTAGAAGATGCAAAAGTTTTAATTGACGGGATGAGCATCGTCTTGTCTCTTGTACGGCGTTGATCCAGGCGTTTGGGAATAGAGGGCTCCTCTGCCGATCTTTGATGGGATCCGGGCGATCTTGTCACCGACGTCTTGAAAGATCTTAGATTCTATCCGCAATCGCCCAGTCAATGCGCTCCTGGCGATGGGTGCTGCATATCATTCTATTCCCGCCCGGACGTGATCTCCAGGATTTGCGAAGAAGAAGCTCGTCGATCAGATGCGCGATGCTGGCGCGCAATTGATTGGGGCTTTTCCCGCTACATTTTCCCGCCCGGGTTCTTTCTTGGAGAGGACGTAGGTTTTCTGCCAAAAACTCCTGCAAAAGCTGAGGCTTCTAGGACAGCAAAAATTGCCGAGGTGAGCAATGATAGTGGAGCAGAGGATTTATATGATTCGGGAGTAGAAAGTGGAGCAATCGATGGTGGGGAAGAAGAGGTAAACAAGATCATGACTGGAGGAGGAAACGATGCCGAGGTGGAACGAACAACAGTGGTGGAGAGCTCCATTGAGACTGTCAGGAAACATGGCGAGGCTGTTTCTAGCGCCTTAGCTGGACTTTCAATCAGAGGTAGTGCCTTGACCCACGGTAATCCCGTTAAGATGGAAGCTGGTTGTGGTTCCGTGAAAGCTGAAGCTTCGGTTTCGATCGCAGCTGGATGTGATCCTACGAAAGTAGATGGCTTGGTGAAGATGGAAGCTGGTTGTTTTACATGCAGAGAGGTGGTGGCTTCTCCAAGAGACTGAAGTTGCCGGGTACTCGACGTCCAGGGGATGCCGGATTCGTGTTGGCGAGTTCGTGTCCTTCAATTTTCCCAAGCCTGAAGTCGAAAGTAAGAAGAAATTCTTTGAGCACAAGAAGGTTCGGCCGAAAGCGAGCTCCGACATTGTAAGGTTCTTGACAAAAGCTTCAGGAGAGGTACGTTTCACTTGACTTGTTTCTTCGTTTTAATTCTAACCATTTGCTCACAGATAGGACGGCTTCCAGCCGACTGGGCCAAGTGTTTGATACCTTTGGGAAGTGCAAAATGGCACCAGAGGCTCTTTCTCTTATGAGCAGCGTAGTTCTCCATTTGAGGTAGAGTTTTCTGTGTTTACCAGAGACGTTACGTATATGATGTGCTTGCAGAGTTTATATCAACAAGTCAGAAGCCTTACGAGGAGGGGGATGAGCGCGGATTGAAGCTTCTGCAAGCTATGTTGAAGCCGTTAATGCTTCGAAGAACAAAAGATTCAACTTATAAAGAAGGACGGTAAGCATTTTTTTTCTTTGCACCGTGCCTTGTCTTGTATTCACTCACAAGTTGGATTCACAGACCAATTCTTGTTCTCCAACCGGCTCAATGTGAAGTTATTGAATGCAAACTATCTGAGCCTGAACGTGACTTTTATGATGCCCTTTACCACAGATCTAAGGCATGAAGAACTTCTCTTTCTTTTATTTTCTCTTTTTTCTGAACACGTTTTTGCTTTTGTGATCAGGTAAAATTCGATCAGTTTGTTGAACAAGGCAAGTTCTTCGTTGAAAAAGCTGGCTAGACGTTTCTTGGACAAGAATTCCTCCCAGGTGCCTTCGACGGCGTATGTCAAAGAGGTATTCGTAAAGGAGCAAGTGCTGAGTGCCCAATTTGTTCGGAGATGCCAGAGGACGCAGTTCTTACATCGAATGTGCCGTGAGTGCCTATTTAATAGCTGGTGTACTAGCGCCGGAGGTCCCTGTCCAATATGCGAGGTAACATTTTTTTTTTCTCGAGCTCTTTTCCATATCCATAGCTATCATGCAGGCGTTCCTGTACGAAATAGGAACTCATAACTGTACCAAGAAGTAATCGGTTTCGAATAAATGTCGAGGAGCAGTGGAAGGAGTCGTCCAAAGTCGAGGCTCTGCTGCACCACCTCCAGACGTTAAGTGAGGCCGGGTCGAAAAGAGTTGTTTTTAGTCAGTGGACAGCGTTTCTCGACTTGTTAGAGATACCATTGAAAAGGTACGAGCGTCTTTCCTTTTGGTGCTTTCTCTTTGTTTGTGTTTCTAACAATGCACTGCCAGGAAGAACTTCTGTTTCGTCCGCTTGGACGGAACACTATCGCAGCGTCAGCGAGAACAAGTGCTCAAAAACTTCAGCAATATTCCAGCCGTGGCCGTAAGCTTTTTGTGTTGCTTACCTCCAAGAAACCACTCTATTTTGTGGACAGGTCATGCTCATGCTTTTCTCATGGTACGCGCTATAGTTTTCTTTTTTAGCCATCTCTCCGAGTCGAGAATGTGGACGATCGAGCATCGGTCAGACGATCATCGTCAAAGTAAGCGCCACTTGAAACTCTCTTTGACGTTTCTCATGTCTCTAGAGCAGGACTCGGTATGCAACAGGTCCAAGCGAGGAAGCAGCGATTGATCGCGGGGGCTCTCACAGACAAAGTGAATCGAGGAGCTCAAAATGCTATTTAGATGAGAAAAACTGGAGTCCTTAGCATTTTTTTAACTTATATAGTTAAAGAGGGGAATATGCTTCTAGCATCGGCGCGTATATTCTTCGGATAGTTTTTCCGCCTTGACTGCCACTACTCAGGCCGAGGATGAACTGGGCGTGGATGTGTCGTCTCCCAGCGGCGATTTGCTACTCCATTTTCTCAAGAGCGGTGGGGGTGACGAGCAGCTGAGGAGCAGTAGCAGCTACAGGACCCAGCAGTCGCAGCTCACCGTCCCTGCCACAGCTTTGCTCCTTCTGGAGGACCTGGAGGAGGAGGAGAAGGTCCTGCACGACCACTCTACGTCCCAGCAATAAGATTTGGTGGGTGGTCACCTCACTTCCAGCAGCACCAAGACCCACTTTTCCCTTCGGATCCATTCTTGACTCCGTCGGACCACTGATTTCTACGCTCGTTTGCTCCTCTTCCAGTCGAGAGACCGTTCCATCCGCCAGTGCCGTATCCTTTTCCAAATGCTCCGACTTTCCAGCCTGCTGATAATGTGGTTCATCCGCCGCATTCCTCTGGGGAGCTTAAAGCTCGTCCTGCCCTTCACTTCGAGTCTCCGGTGCTTGGACCCAGCGCAGCAGAGACCTCGGACTCCAAACGCGCCCCAGAGCAGCCGAGGAGATCGGTTACACCTGCGAAGGATGACAAGCAACAATTCCACGGCAATGGTTCCGAGCTCCTTCAATTGTTACAGGGTGGTCCTGGTCGTGTGAAGCCCACAGCCTCCACAAAGGTGGATGCTACACAGGACAGTGGGGATTCTGGAGAGCCATCAAAGAAAGGAAGTCCATCTGCTGTTCACGGCCCATGTCGTTTCTCCTCCGAATGACCTCCTTGGACGTTTGTGGCCTGCTCTTCCGTCGTCAAGCCACACTTTGTTTGGCGGAGAAAGCGAACGCAAGACGTCAGCCCGGAGCTTTGGCGTTGAAGTGAACGATATGTCCCGGGAAGTCGATGGAGGTGGAGCTGCTGGTTTCGCACTTTTGAAGCGAAGGGGATCGGAGCCTGCCGCCTCGCACCACCTTTAAACGACTTCGACTATAACGACTCTAAGACAAATGATAAGCCGAGGACAAACTCAGCATCCGGAAGACTACAGGACTATCGTGGGAGATACGTAAATGGAGAGGCCGAATTTGAGCCCGGAGGCGATGACTTTAGAGGCTGACTCAAAGGCAGCATTTCCAGCGGAGAAAAAACCGGACTACAAGGTTCCAAAGGCACGGTCTTTGGCATCTCAACTTGGCATCTCAACTTGAACGTCCAGGCTTGCCATCGGGAAGTACGCAGAACTCTTCCGTTGGTGCGGCTTTTGAGGAGTCCAAACAGAGGCTCCATAATCTAGATGCTTTGGAAGGAGAAGGCGTGACGACCTCTCTAGATCTCGAGGAGCTACAAATTGACGGTCACCGTCGTCAGGGTAAAGCTCCACAGTTTTACAAGGTTTGTGCTTGCTTTTTTTCTTTCTTTATTTCCATGTGTTTGTATCTCTGGTTGCAGCCGAAGGAGAACCGTTTCAGGGAGTCCAGACACGTCATTCCCATGCACAGACGTGATCTTCTTTACCGACTGGATCTGCAGAATTTCACTCGTGAGCTTTTCTGCCTCTACGACGAGCTTTTCTGCCTCTACGACGAACCGAAGAAGGGGAGGTCCGGAGAAGGAAGTCGAAGCTTGAGTCCCTTTTCGAGAGAGAGCTCCCGGGAACACGGCTCTTTCTTTGCGGATCGTGTGTTAATGCTTTTGGAGTTTGTAACAGTGACATCGATGTTTGCCTCTCCGTTGATCAGGAAGAACAGAACAAGATCGAGCTGCTTGTTCAAATGGCAACTATCCTCGAGTCAGATGCCATGTTAAACGTACAGGAGGCGTACGACTCAACGTGACTCATGGTACCCATAGTTTCTTATCCGAATTTTTAGCCATCCTCGGAGAAAACTTTCCTTTCATTGTTCTTGGCAACAAGGTCGATGTCGATGGAGGGAACAGTAGAGTGGTGAGCTCTTTTGTTTCATCTCTCGCCTCACTTTAAAGCTTGTGTGTTTAGGTTTCCGAGGAGAAAGCCAAGGTCTGGTGTGCTTCCAAGGGAAACATTCCATACTTTGAGGCGTCTGCCAAGGAAGACTACAACGTGGAGGCTGCGTTTCAATGCATTGCCAAGAATGCCTTGAGGAGCGAACCCAAGGAACACTTGTAAGTTTTGCTTGTTTCTTCTTGTGATGTTTCAATCTCACATTTAACTTCTGGCAGCTATCTTCCAGAGACGATCGACATTACAAATAACAATTGATCTACTACTACTGTCCCTCTATCGATAAGTGTTTTCGCTTTCAATTTATATGGTTTTTTTCTTTCTTTTTCTTGTCACTCTCTCCTTTCGCTCGTTGGCCTTGGATTTTTTAACTTCTCAAATACGTTTTTTTTTTTTTGCTACGAAATAATTTTTCTTCTTCGATCTTGTATCTAGTTACTACTAGTAGTGCGCAAATTGTTGTGTTTGTGTATTATTAAATTTTCTTCGTTTCTAATGGATTGCTAGTTGACGAGAATGTGTCACAACATGCCTAGTTTTTCTCGATTCCACAAGTCTGGGTTGCAAATAAGCAAAGGCTGTGATTGACACTGCATCACAAGAGTTTCCAATCCTTGGCAGCGATGCAACTTCGAAGCTGTGCAACCCTTTCATTGTCTTATTCAGCCGCCAATTTCATTATCCAAAAGTATGGGGAATGTGGCGATGTGGATGGCTTCCACAAACCAAAGCAATCAGGATCGAGAGAGATCGCTACATTGATCTCGAAAAGTGCATATTCTTAATATTCCTATGTTTTCCATATTTTACCATTTACTCTGTACACCAAAACCACGAGAGTAAAGTAATATCCCGAGAATACGATTTGTAAGAAAAAAAGAAACTGTTTCTTCTCCAAACGCTGCTGACGCTGTGAAATCTCTGTTTTCGTTTTTTGATGTCCTGCTTGTGATGCAAAATAGTGTAGCATTTGCGCAGATCTTCAAGAACCCAATCGATGTCCACTGAAGGAGCAAGGTTTGAAAGTGTCGATGTGGAGATCCGGCCGTTCCACAAGCCAAGGTGGAACTTTCGTACCTTTTGGGCACCATAGGGATTCGAGCCTTGGAAATAAGCCAAGGCCGTGATTGTCTGAACTCAATTGGGGCCACACTACATCATCATGACCAAAGAGCACAAGTTCCTCCAATCCTGGAAGGGATGCAATGGATGATGGAATATTTTCGTTCCTATCCAAGGTTACTTTTGTTAGAGCAGTCATCTGGTCTGTTGGCTCAAAGAAATCATTGGGGGAGCTGCTTAATAATAGCCTCCCTCGCGAATAATTCGACCTGTTTCACCTTCAGCTGTGATCTTTCGGTTGGCATCAAGAGTCTCCTCATGTAACCTTCTACTCTCAGTTCATCAAGGTCTTTGGGGAGTTGTGTCACAAAGAGAGGCAAATGCTCCCATGTATTATCAGGAGCCAGATAGAATCTTAACCTCTTCAGGTTTGGAAGACTTGCTGCCAAATCGTCCTTGAACTCGGACTGTGCAATGTGTAGATTTTGAAGGCCCAGAACTTCAAGGCATGGGAACAATCCATCCAGACTGAAGAACTGGATGCCACTGCAGTCTATGTGAAGTACTTGTAGCCGTTGAAAGCCCTTTAGCCAAGACAGGTCTTTCATTGTCCCATTGTTTTCACCGTCTTGTACCCCGTCAATCGAAAAGTGCTGAAGCTGTTTGGAATTCTTAAACATTCGCTTCAAGTCAAGTTTGATAGTCGATTGCACGCTAATGTCACATAGTCTTAGATTGACAAGTTGCCACGGGCCGGTGAAATCACCAAAGTCCATGCTCTTTGCACACAACACCAGTGTCTCAATGTCCTCTAGTGCACCAAGGCTGTGCGGTATTTTTATTGTTGCATCGTGGAGGTGTAGGTCTAAATGTCTTAGCTTGTGTAGGCTTGAAATTCCACTCAGATCCACAGCTAACTCATTGGAAAGAAGCTCCACACGTTCAAGGCATGGGAACGATCCATCCAGACTGAAGAACTGGATACCACTGTAGTCTAGGTGAAGTTCTCGTAGCCGTTGAAAGCCCTTTAGCCAAGACAGGTCTTTCATTGTCTCATTGTTTGTGATCCTTAAAAATTGTAGCTGTGGCCATTCGAGGCTATCGGCATTGTTTTCACCGTCTTGTACCCTGTCAATGGTAAAGTCCTCAAGCTGTTTCGAATTCTTAAACATTCGCTTCCAGTCAAGTTTAATAGTCGATTCCACCGTAATGTTACATCGTCTTAGATTGACAAGTTGCCACAGGCCGGTGAAATCGGCAAAGTCCATGCTCTTTGCCCGCAACTCCAGTGTCTCAATGTCCTCTAGTGCACCAAGGCTTTGAGGTATTTTTATTGTTGCATTGTGGAGGTTTACCTTTAAATGTCTTAGCTTGTGTAGGCCACTCAAATCCACAGCTAACTCCTTATAGGAATGAAGGTCCAGCTCTTCCAAGTTGAATAATTGGGGCAGTAATGCAAAGTTGAATTTTGTGATGTCATTGTATTTCAAAACCTTCAGTGATGTCAAGCTGAAGAGCCCATCTGGCAATTGAGGCACACCTGAATCTCGAAGGTCAAGCACTTGAAGGTTTCTCAGCTTGGATATGCTCTCTGGAATAAAACGGACCCAATTTCTATACAAGCTCAATACCTTGACATTTTGGATGTGATCTATAATAAGACTGACATCCACTCTAGAATGACATCCATCGAGAAGCAAGACATCTCGCACATGAATGTCAGACAAAAGGCTCCTTGTAACATTCTTTTGAATGAATGAAACTTTAGAAAATGTTGGAGAAATCCCAGGTGGACAATCATAGCCAAACAGACATCCCTTCTCGTGCTCTTCCTGGGGTGGGTACTTCCCTTTCAAGATTCTTATGCACAGCTTGCGTACCATATCGTGCACAGTTACATACTTTTCCCGAAGTATACTAGTTGTCTTCACTAGGCATCTTCGTTCCAGTTCACTAACAATCTGCAGAGGCGAGAGTTCTGACCCAACCGCTATCCAACATTTTCTCAGATCATCAAACTCGATTCGCCGATCTTCTGGAAACGCAGCCACATAGAGAAAGCACTCTTGCAGCTTTTCATCCTTATTAAAGCGTCCCAGCTCGTCATAGCTAAACTTCAAGCGCTGGAACATCCGCTTCTCAATGTCCCCGTCATTCAACAAATGCATCTTCTGATAGCGTTCTTTCCACACCTGTGGCCCCTCATTCCTGTAGACAGCCATGGCACTGCCAATCACTTCAAGAGCTAAAGGGAGCCCCTCACATTTGCTAGCTATTCTCTCGGCAACTTTCACAATGTCCGGATCACTAGGTAGTGAATCATAAAAGGCAAACTTCCAAAACATCTTTTTGCTCTCGGCCTCTGATAGCTCATGCACAGGAAATGCCTTTGCACCCAGCATGCTCAAAATGCCTTCCTTTCTGGTTGTTACCAGCACCCGGCTGTAAGAGGACGGCCCTGCTATAAAATCCAGTCCCTTGGCCCAGCTCATGTCCCACACATCATCCAGTATCAGCAAGACACAAATTCCACGAGCAACATTTTGTGCCAAGTGCTGCACATGCTCAAGGGTGCCTGCATTTTGGGCCCTCTCTTTCATGCCGCCCCATTCAAGAGTGTTGAGGAGCTGGGCCCTGAGATCGTCCTCCGATGCATCTTTCTTGACAGTGATCCACACAATGTTGTCATGGAAATGCTGCCGGACCCTCTCGTCATTGTGCACGAAGCTTGCAAGGGTGGTCTTGCCACACCCTCCCATTCCCAGGAGTCCAAACCATTTCCCCGGGGCTTGTGGATCCAGGAGGGCATTCACCACCTCATCCAGCTGCTCCCCATGGCGGCCAAACATGTCGCTGGGCTCGGGACCACCACGCCGTACATAGTTTACGAGACCTCTGTCTTGTGGACAACTCCGTACGGAAAAGCTGGTGCTCGGCTGTATCACTCTCAACTCTTCTCGCTCGTACCTTTCAATCTGCGGGAGGAGATCGTCCTCGCAAGTGCGTACCAGCTCCGAAATCGCGCCAGATCGCTTCTCCCTGCGCGACAGATCCATCTTTTAGCTCCATTGCTTCAAACATGAATTCGAATAAGCCTTACTGTGATCCAAGCAGCGCTTGCGCCTTCTTAGTCCATTCAGTCAGTTCAGTCAGCCACGCCTCAGCCTCACCAGAGTAGCGGAAGTCTGGATTCCTGTGCTTGGGAGCATTAAACTTGTCAAGCGTGGCCTGGATTCTGGATGCCCTCTTCTTTAGCTCCTCAACGTGGACATTCAGCTCATGCTCGTGACCTTGGATCTGCGACAGGAGATCGTCATAGGCACTTAAGGACTTCGCGATCTCGTCACTCCGCTTGTACCTATAGGAAGTGGAGAAGTTCAACCAGCTGCCTGCTATTTCTAAACACACACACACACACACACACACACACACAAAAGATAAAATGCTACTGTACCGACCGCTTTATGGGGCTCCAGATCCTGTTGTCGCGTGATCCCAAGAGTGCTTGTGCCTTGGTGTTCCATTCCCTGACACGCTCCAAGCATTCCTCGGCCGCTTCAGAGAACGTGAAGCCAGAATTCTGCTGCTTGTGATCGCTGAAAGCGTTGATCTTGGCCTGGATGTGGTGCGCCTTGTTCTCCAGCGTGTCAATGTTGGCATTGCAGTCCCATATCTTCTTAGCAGGGCCCAGAGCCAAGCCACACAAGGCGCCTGCCAAGGAGCCCACAACCTCCATGCCTGTAAACCTACAAGTAAAGGTTCCCAGAAAGAAGCGCAATATTAACTCTTGACCTTGTAGATCGGACTTTTTTCACAGCTGTGACTCACTCACTCTAAGAGATTCACAGTGAGCACCGCAACGATCGCTACATCGCTTGAGAAACACCTCTATTTGTACAAACAGACAAACGTGGAGCACGTAAAGTCTTTGGCCTAAAACGGGCATCTTAAAGATGCGACACGTCGTCTTTTCTCTTGTACGGCGTTGATCCAGGCGTACGGAAATAGAGGGCTCCTCTGCCTATCTTTGATGGGATCCGGGCGATCTTGTCACCGACGTCTTGAAAGATCTTAGATTCTATCCGCAATCGCCCAGTCAATGCGATCCTGGCGATGGGTGCTCCATATCATTCTATTCCCGCCCGGACGTGATCTCCAGGATTTGCGAAGAAGAAGGTCGTCGATCAGATGCGCGATGCTGGCGCGCAATTGATTGGGGCTTCCCGCTACATTTTCCCGCGCTATCGTCTCTACTTCTCCATTCTAGGGTTCTTTCTTGGAGGCGACGTAGGTTTTCTATTGCCCGCGTGGTCGAGGAGACGGCGCTGGGGGGCGGCCTTGATCGGCGTTCTGGAGCTGCACAGGTAATGGGGCTCGACACTCCGGGTTTTAGAAATAGGAAGAGGCTCCAGCTTAAGGCTCCGACGAGCAGTGCCAAGGCGAGGAGCCCCAGCCAGCGTTGGTAAATCGTGGACGACAGGGAGCTCTAGATCTACGGTGACAACAAAGGCCCCTACGGCAAAATGTTCCATCGGCAGTGGATCGCCAAAAACTCCCGCAAAAGCTGAGGCTTCTAGGACAGCAAAAATTGCCGAGGTGATTGTTGATAGTGGAGCAGAGGATTTAGATGATTCGGGAGTAGAAAGTGGAGCAATCGATGGTGGGGAAGAAGAGGTAAACAAGATTAAGACTGGAGGAGGAAACGATGCCGAGGTGGAAAGAACAACAGTGGTCGAGAGCTCCATTGAGACTGTCTGGAAACATGGCGAGGCTGTTTCTAGCGCCTTAGCTGGACTTTCAATCAGAGGTAGTGCCTTGACCCACGGTAATCCCGTTAAGATGGAAGCTGGTTGTGGTTCCGTGAAAGCTGAAGCGTCGGTTTCGATCGCAGCTGGATGTGATCCTATGAAAGTAGATGGGTTGGTGAAGATGGAAGCTGGTTTTGAGTCTGCAAGAGTCGAAGCTCCGGTTGGCTCGGTGAAGATGGAACCTGGTTATGATACTGTGAAAGTTGAAACTCCATTCAGGGGTGGTAAAGCTGCCCATTTGTCTGAAGCGAAGGTGGTTCCAATAGAAAATGACACGGCTAAAGCTGCAGAGAAGCAACCAGTTGTTTTAGATGCAGAGAGGTGGTGGCTTCTCCAAGGGACTGAAGCTGCCGGGGACTCGACGTCCAGGGGATGCCGGATTCGTGTTGGCGAGTTCGTGTCCTTCAATTTTCCCAAGCCTGAAGCCGAAAGTAAGAAGAAGTTCTTTGAGCACAAGAAGGTTCGGCCGAAAGCGAGCTCCGACATTGTAAGGTTCTTGACAAAAGCTTCAGGAGAGGTACGTTTCACTTGACTTGTTTCTTCGTTTTAATTCTAACCATTTGCTCACAGATAGGACGGCTTCCAGCCGACTGGGCCAAGTGTTTGATACCTTTGGGAAGTGCAAAATGGCACCAGAGGCTCTTTCTCTTATGAGCAGCGTAGTTCTCCATTTGAGGTTGAGTTTTCTGTGTTTACCAGAGACGTTACGTATATGATGTGCTTGCAGAGTTTATATCAACAAGTCAGAAGCCTTACGAGGAGGGGGATGAGCGCGGATTGAAGCTTCTGCAAGCTATCTTGAAGCCGTTAATGCTTCGAAGAATAAAAGATTCAACTGATAAAGAAGGAAGGTAAGCTATCATGCAGGCGTTCCTGTACGAAATAGGAACTCATAACTGTACCAACAAGTAATCGGTTTCGAATAAATGTCGAGGAGCAGTGGAAGGAGTCGTCCAAAGTCGAGGCTCTGCTGCACCACCTCCAGACGTTAAGTGAGGCCGGGTCGAAAAGCGTTGATTTTAGTCAGTGGACAGCGTTTCTCGACTTGTTAGAGATACCATTGAAAAGGTATGAGCGTCTTTCCTTTTGGTGCTTTCTCTTTGTTTGTGTTTCTAACAATGCACTGCCAGGAAGACCTTCTGTTTCGTCCGCTTGGACGGAACACTATCGCAGCGTCAGCGAGAACAAGTGCTCAAAAACTTCAGCAATATTCCAGCCGTGGCCGTAAGCTTTTTGTGTTGCTTACCTCCAAGAAACCACTCTATTTTGTGGACAGGTCATGCTCTCATGCTTTTCTCATGGTACGCGCTATAGTTTTCTTTTTTAGCCATCTTCCGAGTCGAGAATGTGGACGATCGAGCATCGGTCAGACGAAGAACGTATCGATCAAGCGATTCATCGTCAAAGTAAGCGCCACTTGAAACTCTCTTTGACGTTTCTCATGTCTCTAGAGGAGGAGAGAGTGCAACAGGTCCAAGCGAGGAAGCAGCGATTGATCGGGGGCTCTCACAGACGAAGAGGTGCGAAGCGCTCGAATCGCGGAGCTCAAAATGCTATTTAGATGAGAAAAACTGGAGTCCTTCGCAGTTTTTTTAACTTATTATATCAGTATACATAGTTAAAGAGGGGAATATGCTTCTAGCATCGGCGCGTATATTCTTCGGATAGTTTACTGAATGAATGTGTCATAGGCTATCGATATAGGAGCTATGGCTCATTTCTAGGTTTCTTCGACAGCGAAGGAGCAGGCGATCGCGTCGCAAGCGGCGACGAGCAAGGTATGCATGCTAAGATCGCCTCGAGAAGCAGCAGCAGCGCCGGCGCCGGCGCCGCGCCGCGATTTCGCTGGCCTAGAGCCGGAGTAGCCGAGCTAGATTCATGCAAGCATATGATCTCTAGGAAATTGAGCTGAACGCTGAGGCTTTGCAGGCGATCGCGTCGATTCCTCTCGTCTCCGCGGCCGGGGCGGCTAGAAAGCCGGGGCGCATTCTAGAGTTTCGGGGTTTCTGGGGCGATCAGTCATGTAGCGGGCAGTGATTCTCTCACAGGGAGCTCAGCCATGACGTGGAATCCGCCACAAGTTCCTCCCAGCTTGTCCGCCTCGACTGCCACTACTCAGGCCGAGGATGAACTGGGCGTGGATGTGTCGTCTCCCAGCGGCGATTTGCTACTCCATATTCTCAACAGCGGTGGGGGCGACGAGCAGCTGAGGAGCAGTAGCAGCTACAGGACCCAGCAGTCGCAGCTCACGGTCCCTGCCACAGCTTTGCTCCTTCTGGAGCACCTGGAGGAGGAGGAGAAGGTCCTCCTCCACGACCACTCTACGTCCCAGCAATAAGATTTGGTGGGTGGTCACCTCACTTCCAGGAGCACCAAGACCCACTTTTCCCTTCGGATCCATTCTTGACTCCGTCGGACCACTGATTTCTACGCTCGTTTGCTCCTCTTCCAGTCGAGAGACCGTTCCATCCGCCAGTGCCGTATCCTTTTCCAAATGCTCCGACTTTCCAGCCTGCTGATAATGTGGTTCATCCGCCGCATTCCTCTGGGGAGCTTAAACCTCGTCCTGGCCTTCACTTCGGGTCTCCGGTGTTTGGACCCAGCGCAGCAGAGACCTCGGACTCCAAACGCGCCCCAGAGCAGCCGAGGAGATCGGTTACACCTGCGAAGGATGACAAGCAACAATTCCACGGCAATGGTTCCGAGCTCCTTCAGTTGTTACAGGGTGGTCCTGGTCGTGTGAAGCCCAGCCTCCACAAAGGTGGATGCTACACAGGACAGTGGGGATTCTGGAGAGCCATCACAGAAAGGAAGTCCATCTGCTGTTCACGGCCCCATAGGACCGCCGAGGCGTCATGTCGTTTCTCCTCCGCAGAGTCCAAATGACCTCCTTGGACGTTTGTGGGCTGCTCTTCCGTCGTCAAGCCACACTTTGTTTGACGGAGAAAGCGAACGCAAGACGTCAGCCCGGAGCTTTGGCGTTGAAGCGAACGAGATGTCCCGGGAAGTCGATGGAGGTGGAGCTGCTGGTTTCGCACTTTTGAAGCGAAGGGGATCGGAGCCTGCCGCCTCGCACTACCTTTAAACGGCTACGACTATAACGACTCTAAGAAAATGATAAGCCGAGGACAAACTCGGCATCCGGACGACTACAGGACTATCGTGGGAGATACGTAAATGGAGAGGCCGAATTTGAGGCCGGAGGCGATGACTTTAGAGGTGCGGGAAGGCGTCGAGGTACCGGTCGTGCAGACGCCAGACGCGGTGGTCGGGGTGCTGTTGGCCAGTGGATTGCGGTAAATGAGAGGCATAAAGATGCTGAGCCAAGTGACATCACCTCCTGCGATATCTCTGATGGAAGGGACGAGTCGCTTAAATCTTCAAACGGGACTTAGTCGAATGCTAGGAGAAAACATCAACAGGAATGGAGGATAAAACAGGCCGACTCAAAGGCAGCATTTCCAGCGGAGAAAAAACCGGACTACAAGGTTGCGAAGGCACGGTCTTTGGCATCTCAACTTGAACGTCCAGGCTTGCCATCGGGAAGTACGCAGAACTCTTCCGTTGGTGCGGCTTTTGAGGAGTCCAAACAGAGGCTCCATAATCTAGATGCTTTGGAAGGAGAAGGCGTGACGACCTCTCTAGATCTCGAGGAGCTACAAATTGACGGTCACCGTCGTCAGGGTAAAGCTCCACAGTTTTACAAGGTTTGTGCTTGCTTTTTCTCTTTCTTTATTTTCATGTGTTTGTATCTCTGGTTACAGCCGAAGGAGAACCGTTTCAGGGAGTCCAGACGCGTCATTCCCATGCACAGACGTGATCTTCTTTACCGACTGGATCTGCAGAATTTCACTTGTGAGCTTTTCTGCCTCTACGACGAGCTTATACCAACCGGAGGTCCGGAGAAGGAAGTACTTCTCGAAGCTTGAGTCCCTTTTCGAGAGGGAGATCCCGGGAACACGGCTCTTTCTTTTCGGATCTTGTGTTAATGCGTTTGGAGTTTGTAACAGTGACATCGATGTTTGCCTCTCCGTTGATGAGGAAGAACCAAACAAGATCGAGCTTGTTGTTCAAATGGCAACTATCCTCGAGTCAGATGCCATGTTAAACGTACAGGAGGCATAGGACAACGTGACTCATGGTACCCGCTATAGTTTCTTATCCGAATATTTAACCATCCTCCGATCCAGAGAACTTTCCTTTCATTGTTCTTGGCAACAAGGTCGATGTTGACGGAGGGAACAGTAGAGTGGTGAGCTCTTTTGTTTGATCTCTCTCGCCTTACTTTAAAGCTTGTGTGTCCAGGTTTCCCACAAGAAAGCCAAGCCTGGTGTGCTTCCAAGGGAAACATTCCATACTTTGAGGCGTCTGCCAAGGAAGACTACAATGTGGAGGCTGCGATTCAATGCATTGCCAAGAATGCCTTAACCGAGGAAGACTTGTAAGTTTTGCTTGTTTCTTCTTGTGATGTTTCAAGCTCACATTTAACTTCTGGCAGCAGCTATCTTCCAGACACGATGGACAATAAAATACTCAAAACCACGAGAGTAAAGTAATATCCTGAGAATACGATTTGTAAGAAAAAAAGAAAATGTTTCTTCTCCTAACGCTGCTGACGCTGTGAAATCTCTGTTTTCGTTTTTTGATGTTCTGCTTGTGATGCAAAATGGTGTAGCATTTGCGCAGATCTTCGAAAACCAATCGATGTCCACTGAAGGAGCAAGGTTTATTAGGCCTCGAAGGTTATATGGACATCCGGCCGCTCCTCAAGCCATGGTGGAACTTTCGTACCGTTTGGGCAGCGTAGGACTTTGAGCCTGGGAAATAAGCCAAGGCCGTGATTGTCTGAACTCAATTGGGGCCACACTACATCATCATGCCCAGAGAGCTCAAGTTCCTCCAATCCTGGAAGGGATGCAATGGATGATGGAATATTTTCGATCCTACCCAAGGTTACACCTCTTAGAGCAGTCATCTGGTCTGTTGGCTCAAAGAAATCATTGGGGAGCTGCTTAATAATAGTCTCCCTCGCGAATAATTCGACCTGTTTCACCTTCAGCTGTGATCTCTCAGTTGGCATCAAGAGTCTCCTCATGTAACCTTCTACATCCAGTTCATCAAGGTCTTTGGGGTGTTGTGTCACAAAGAGAGGCAAATGCTCCCATGTATTATCAGGAGCCAGCTTGAATGTTAAAAGCTGCAGGTTTGGAAGACTTGCTGCCAAATCGTCCTTGAACTCCGACTGTGCAATGTGTAGATTTTCAAGGCCCAGAACTTCAAGGCATGGGAACGATCCATCTAAACTGAAGAACTGGATACCACTGCAGTCTAGGTGAAGTTGTCGTAGCCGTTGAAAGCCCTTTAGCCAAGACAGGTCTTTCATTGTCTCATTGTTTGTGATGGTTAAAAATTGTAGCTGTGGCCATTCAAGGCTTTCGGCATTGTTTTCACCGTCTTGTACCCTGTCAATCGAAAAGTGCCGAAGCTGTTTGGAATTCTTAAACATTCGCTTCCAGTCAAGTTTGATAGTCGATTCCACCCTAATATCACATCGTTTCAGATTGACAAGTTGCCATAGGCTGGTGAAATCGCCAAAGTCCATGCTCTTTGCCCACAACTCCAGTGTCTCAATGTCCTCTAGTGCACCAAGGCCGTGAGGTATTTTTATTGTTGCCTTGTGGAGGCCTAGCTCTAAATGTCTTAGCTTGTGTAGGCTTGAAATTCCACTCAAATCCACAGCTAACTCCTCAAAGGAATAAAGCTCCAGCTCTTCCAAGTTGAATAATTGGGGCACTAATCCAAAGTTGAGATTTCTGGTAGCCTTGCATTTCAAAACCTTCAGTGATGTCAAGCTGAAGAGCGCATCTGGTACAAGGCACATCTCTCGAAGGTCAAGCACTTGAAGGTTTCTCAGCTTGGATATGCTCTCTGGAATAAAACGGACCTGATCAGAGCAGTGAAGCAAGCTCAATACCTTGACATTTTGGATGTGATCTATAATAAGACTGACATCCACACCAGAAATTTTATGACATCCATCGAGAAGCAAGACATCTCGCACATGAATGTCAGACAAAAGGCTGCTTGTAACCTTCTTTCCAATGAATGAAACTTTAGAAAATGTTGGAGAAATCCCAGGTGGACAATCATAGCCAAACAGGCATCCCTTCTCGTGCTCTTCCTGGGGCGGGTACTTCCCTTTCAAGATTCTTATGCACAGCTTGCGTACCATATCGTGCACAGTTACATACTTAACCCATCGAAAATCAGTTGTCTTCACTAGGCATCTTCGTTCCAGTTCACTAACAATCTGCAGAGGCGAGAGTTCTGACCCAACCGCTATCCAACATTTTCTCAGATCATCAAAGTTGATGTTCCAATCTTCTTGAAACGCAGCCACATAGAGAAAGCACTCTTGCAGCTTTTCATCCTTATTAAACCGTCCCAGCTCGTCATAGCTAAACTTCAAGCGCTGGAACATCCGCTTCTCAATGTCCCCGTCATTCAACAAATGCATCTTCTGATAGCGTTCTTCCCACACCTGTGGCCCCGCATTCCTGTAGACAGCCATGGCACTGCCAATCACTTCAAGAGCTAAAGGGAGCCCCTCACATTTGCTAGCTATTCTCTTGGCAACTTTCACAATGTCCGGATCACTAGGTAGTGAATCACGAAAGGCAAACTTCCAAAACATCTTTTCGCTCTCGGCCTTTGATAGCTTACACACACGAAATGTTTTTGCACCCAGCATGCTCAAAATGTCTTCCTTTCTGGTTGTTACCAGCACCCGGCTGTAAGAGGACGGCCCTGCTATAAAATCCAGTCCCTCGGCCCAGCTCATGTCCCACACATCATCCAGTATCAGCAAGACACAAATTCCACGAGCAACATTTTGTGCCAAGGGCTGCACATGCTCAAGGGTGCCTGCATTTTGGGCCCTCTCTTTCATGCCGCCCCATTCAAGAGCGTTGAGGAGCTGGGCCCTGAGATCATCCTCCGATGCATCTTTCTTGACAGTGATCCATACAATGTTGTCATGGAAATGCTGCCGGACCCTCTGGTCATTGTTCACGAATCTTGCAAGGGTGGTCTTGCCACACCCTCCCATTCCCAGGAGTCCAAACCATTTCCCCGGGGCTTGTGGATCCAGGAGGGCATTCACCACCTCATCCAGCTGCTCCCCATGGCGGCCAAACATGTCGTTGGCCTCGGGAACACCACGCCGTACATAGTTTACGAGACCTCTGTCTTGTGGACAACTCCGTACGGAAAAGCTGGTGCTCGGCTGTATCACTCTCAACTCTTCTCGCTCGTACCTTTCAATGTGCGGGAGGAGATCGCCCTCGCAAGTGCGTATCAGCTCCGAAATCGCGCCAGATCGCTTCTCCCTGCGCGAAAGATCCATCTTTTAGCTTCATTGCTTCAAACATGAATTCGAATAAGCCTTACTGTGATCCAAGCAGCGCTTGCGCCTTCTCAGTCCATTCAGTCAGTTCAGTCAGCCACGCCTCAGCCTCACCAGAGTAGCGGAAATCTGGATTCCTGTCCTTGGGAGCATTAAACTTGTCAAGCGTGGCCTGGATTCTGGATGCCCTCTTCTTTAGCTCCTCAATGTGGACATTCAGCTCATGCTCGTGACCTTGGATCTGCGACAGGAGATCGTCGTAGGCACTTAAGGACTTCGCGATCTCGTTACTCCGCTTGTACCTATAGGAAGTGGAGAAGTTCAACCAGCTGCCTGCCATTTGTACACACACACACACACAAAAGATAAAATGCTACTGTACCGACCGCTTTATGGGGCTCCAGATCCTGTTGTGGCGTGATCCCAAGAGTGCTTGTGCCGTGGTGTTCCATTTCCTGACACGCTCCAAGCATTCCTCGGCCGCTTGAGAGAACGTGAAGCCAGAATTCTGCTGCTTGTGATCACTGAAAGCGTTGATCTTGGCCTGGATGTTGGGCGCCTGGTTCTCCAGCGTTTCAATGTTGGCATTGCAGTCCCATATCTTCTTAGCAGGGGCCAGAGCCAAGCCACACAAGACGCTTGTCAAGGAGCCCACAACCTCCATGGCTGTAGACCTACAAGTAAAGGTTGTCTCCCTCCCAGAAAGAAGCGCAATATTAACTCTTGACCTTGTAGATCGGAATTCTTCACTTTTTTCACAGCTGTGGCTCACTCACTCTATGAGATTCACAGTGAGCACCGCAACGATCGCTACATCGCTCGCAAAAAACACCTCTATTTGTACAAACAGACAAACGTGGAGCACGTAAAGTACTTGTGTCTTTGGCCAAAACCCTAAACATCGACACGCCCGAGAAGAACATCGTCTTTTCTCTTGTACGGCGTTGATCCAGGCGTACGGGAATAGAGGGCTCCTCTGCCGATCTTTGATGGGATCCGGGCGATCTTGTCACCGACGTCTTGAAAGATCTTAGATTCTATCCGCAATCGCCCAGTCAATGCGATCCTGGCAATGGGTGCTCCATATCATTCTATTCCCGCCCGGACGTGATCTCCAGGATTTGCGAAGAAGAAGGTCGTCGATCAGATGCGCGATGCTGGCGCGCAATTGATTGGGGCTTCCCGCTACATTTTCCCGCGCTATCGTCTCTACTTCTCCATTCTAGGGTTCTTTCTTGGAGGCGACGTAGGTTTTCTATTGCCCGCGTGGTCGAGGAGACGGCGCTGGGGGGCGGCCTTGATCGGCGTTCTGGAGCAGTGCCAAGGCGAGGAGCCCCAGCCAGCGTTGGTAAATCGTGGACGACAGGGAGCTCTAGATGTACGGTGACAACAAAGGTCCCTGCGGCAAAATGTTCCATCGGCTGTGGATCGCCAAAAACTCCCGCAAAAGCTGAGGCTTCTAGGACAGCAAAAATTGCCGAGATGAGCGATGATAGTGGAGCAGAGGATTTATATGATTCGGGAGTAGAAAGTGGAGCAATCGATGGTGGAGAAGAAGAGGTAAACAAGATCATGACTGGAGGAGGAAACGATGCCGAGGTGGAAAGAACAACAGTGGTGGAGAGCTCCATTGAGACTGTCAGGAAACATGGCGAAGCTGGTTGTGGTTCCGTGAAAGCTGAAGCTTCGGTTTCGATCGCAGCTGGATGTGATCCTACGAAAGTAGATGGCTTGGTGAAGATGGAAGCTGGTTTTGAGTCTGCAAGAGTCGAAGCTCCGGTTGGCTCAGTGAAGATGGAACCTGGTGGTGGCTTCTCCAAGAGACTGAAGTTGCCGGGTACTCGACGTCCAGGGGATGACGGATTCGTGTTGGCGAGTTCGTGTCCTTCAATTTTCCCAAGCCTGAAGCCGAAAGTAAGAAGAAGTTCTTTGAGCACAAGAAGGTTCGGCCGAAAGCGAGCTCCGACATTGTAAGGTTCTTGACAAAAGCTTCAGGAGAGGTACGTTTCACTTGACTTGTTTCTCCGTTTTAATTCTAACCATTTGCTCACAGATAGGACGGCTTCCAGCCGACTGGGCCAAGTGTTTGATACCTTTGGGAAGTGCAAAATGGCACCAGAGGCTCTTTCTCTTATGAGCAGCGTAGTTCTCCATTTGAGGTAGAGTTTTCTGTGTTTACCAGAGACGTTACGTATATGATGTGCTTGCAGAGTTTATATCAACAAGTCAGAAGCCTTACGAGGAGGGGGATGAGCGCGGATTGAAGCTTCTGCAAGCTATCTTGAAGCCGTTAATGCTTCGAAGAATAAAAGATTCAACTGATAAAGAAGGAAGGTAAGCTATCATGCAGGCGTTCCTGTACGAAATAGGAACTCATAACTGTACCAACAAGTAATCGGTTTCGAATAAATGTCGAGGAGCAGTGGAAGGAGTCGTCCAAAGTCGAGGCTCTGCTGCACCACCTCCAGACGTTAAGTGAGGCCGGGTCGAAAAGCGTTGATTTTAGTCAGTGGACAGCGTTTCTCGACTTGTTAGAGATACCATTGAAAAGGTATGAGCGTCTTTCCTTTTGGTGCTTTCTCTTTGTTTGTGTTTCTAACAATGCACTGCCAGGAAGACCTTCTGTTTCGTCCGCTTGGACGGAACACTATCGCAGCGTCAGCGAGAACAAGTGCTCAAAAACTTCAGCAATATTCCAGCCGTGGCCGTAAGCTTTTTGTGTTGCTTACCTCCAAGAAACCACTCTATTTTGTGGACAGGTCATGCTCATGCTTTTCTCATGGTACGCGCTATAGTTTTCTTTTTTAGCCATCTTCCGAGTCGAGAATGTGGACGATCGAGCATCGGTCAGACGAAGAACGTATCGATCAAGCGATTCATCGTCAAAGTAAGCGCCACTTGAAACTCTCTTTGACGTTTCTCATGTCTCTAGAGGAGGACTCGGTGGAGGAGAGAATGCAACAGGTCCAAGCGAGGAAGCAGCGATTTCGCGAGGGCTCTCACAGACAAAGAGGTGCGAAGCGCTCGAATCGAGGAGCTCAAAATGCTATTTAGATGAGAAGAACTGGAGTCCTTAGCATTTTTTTAACTTATAAATAGGGGAATATGCTTCTAGCATCGGCGCGTATATTCTTCGGATAGTTCAATGAATGAATGGGCTAGGGTACAAGCATTTCTAAGTTTCTTCGCGGCTATGGCGGACAGCGAAGGAGCAGGCGATCGCAAGCGCGGTTGATTCCGGCAGCATCGGCGACGAGCAAGGTATGCATGCTAGGATCGCCTCGAGAAGCAGCAGCAGCGCCAGCGCCGGCGCCGCGCCGCGATTTGAGCCGGAGTAGCCGATCTAGATTCATGCAAGCATCTGATCTCTAGGAAATTGAGCTGAAAGCTGAGGCTTTGTAGGCGATCGCGTTGATTCCTCTCGTCTCCGCGGCCGGGGCGGCTAGAAAGCCGGGGCACATTCTAGAGTTTCGGGGTTTCTGGGGCGATCAGTCATGTATCGGGCAGTGATTCTCTCACAGGGAGCTGGAAGTCAGCCATGACGTGGAATCCGCCACAAGTTTCCTCCCAGCTTGTCCGCCTTGACTGCCACTACTCAGGCCGAGGATGAACTGGGCGTGGATGTGTCGTCTCCCAGCGGCGATTTGCTACTCCATTTTCTCAAGAGCGGTGGGGGCGACGAGCAGCTGAGGAGCAGTAGCAGCTACAGGACCCAGCAGTCGCAGCTCACGGTCCCTGCGACAGCTTTGCTCCTTCTGGAGGACCTGGAGGAGGAGGAGAAGGTCCTCCTCCACGACCACTCTACGTCCCAGCAACAAGATTTGGTGGGTGGTCACCTCACTTCCAGCAGCACCAAGACCTACTTTTCCCTTCGGATCCATTCTTGACTCCGTCGGACCACTGATTTCTACGCTCGTTTGCTCCTCTTCCAGTCGAGAGACCGTTCCATCCGCCAGTGCCGTATCCTTTTCCAAATGCTCCGACTTTCCAGCCTGCTGATAATGTGGTTCATCCGCCGCATTCCTCTGGGGAGCTTAAAGCTCGTCCTGGCCTTCACTTCGAGTCTCCGGTGTTTGGACCCAGCGCAGCTGAGACCTCGGACTCCAAACGCGCCCCAGAGCAGCCGAGGAGATCGGTTACACCTGCGAAGGATGACAAGCAACAATTCCACGGCAATGGCTCCTTCAGTTGTTACAGGGTGGTCCTGGTCGTGTGAAGCCCACAGCCTCCACAAAGGTGGATGCTACACAGGACAGTGGGGATTCTGGAGAGCCATCACAGAAAGGAAGTCCATCTGCTGTTCCCGGCCCCATAGGACCGCCGAGGCGTCATGTCGTTTCTCCTCCGCAGAGTCCAAATGACCTCCTTGGACGTTTGTGGGCTGCTCTTCCGTCGTCAAGCCACACTTTGTTTGACGGAGAAAGCAAACGCAAGACGTCAGCCCGGAGCTTTGGCGTTGAAGTGAACGAGGTGTCCCGGGAAGTCGATGGCGGTGGAGCTGCTGGTTTCGCACTTTTGAAGCGAAGGGGATCGGAGCCTGCCGCCTCGCACTGCCTTTAAACGGCTACGCCTATAACGACTCTAAGACAAATGATAAGCCAAGGACAAACTCAGCATCCGGAAGACTACAGGACTATCGTGGGAGATACGTAAATGGAGAGGCCGAATTTGAGCCCGGAGGCGATGACTTTAGAGGTGCGGGAAGGCGTCGAGGTCCCGGTCGTGCAGACGCCAGACGCGGTGGTCGGGGTGCTGTTGGCCAGTGGATTGCGGTAAATGAGAGGCATAAAGATGCTGAGCCAAGTGACATCACCTCCTGCGATATCTCTGATGGAAGGGACGAGTCGCTTAAATCTTCAAACGGGACTTAGTCGAATGCTAGGAGAAAACATCAACAGGAATGGAGGATAAAACAGGCTGACTCAAAGGCAGCATTTCCAGCGGAGAAAAAACCGGACTACAAGGTTCCAAAGGCACGGTCTTCGGCATCTCAACTTGGCATCTCAACTTGAACGTCCAGGCTTGCCATCGGGAAGTACGCAAAACTCTTCCGTTGGTGCGGCTTTTGAGGAGTCCAAACAGAGGCTCCATAATCTAGATGCTTTGGAAGGAGAAGGCGTGACGACCTCTCTAGATCTCGAGGAGCTACAAATTGACGGTCACCGTCGTGAGGGTAAAGCTCCACGGTTTTACAAGGTTTGTGCTTGCTTTTTTTCTTTCTCTATTTTCATGTGTTACAGCCGAAGGAGAACCGTTTCAGGACCTCTGAAGAACTAAAGGTATGCATATGCATATTCTTAATATTGTTATGTTTTCCATGTTTTACCATTTACTCTATACACCAGATTTTAAAATACTCAAAACCACGAGAGTAAAGTAATATCCTGAGAATACGATTTGTAAGAAAAACAGAAACTGTGTCTTCTCCAAACGCTGCTGACGGCTTGGAAATCTCTGTTTTTGTTTTTTGAGTGATGCAAAATAGTGTAGCATTTGCGCAGATCGAGAACCCAATCGATGTCCACTGAAGGAGCAACTAGGACCCGTATATCTTGAGATCCGGCCGCTCCTCAAGCCATGGTGGAACTTTCGTACCTTTTTGGCAGCCTAGGACTTTGAGCCTGGGAAATAAGCCAAGGCCGTGATTGTCTGCATCATCATGATCAGAGAGCACAAGTTTCTCCAATCCTGGAAGGGATGCAATGGATGATGGAATATTTTCGATCCAATCCAAGGTTACACCTCTTAGAGCAGTCATCTGGTCTGTTGGCCCAAAGAAATCATTGGGGAGCTGCCTCATACAGCCCTTCCGCAAAGATAATGTGAACCATTTCACCTTCAGCTGTGATCTCTCGGTTGGCATCAAGAGTCTCCTCATGTAACCTCCTACATGCAGCAAATCAAGGTCATTGGGGAGTTGTGTCACAAAGAGAGGCAAATGCTCCCATGTATTATCAGAAGCCAGATAGAATGTTAAACACTTCAGGTTTGGAAGACTTGCTGCCAAATCGTCCTTGAACTCGGACTGTGCAATCTGCAGATTTCGAAGATCCAGAAGTTCGAGGCATGGGAACGATACATCCAGACTGAAGAACTGGATACCACTGCAGTCTAGGCAAAGTTCTCGTAGCCGTTGAAAGCCCTTTAGCCAAGACAGGTCTTTCATTGTCTCATTGTTTGTGATCGCTAAAACTTGTAGCTGCAGCCATTCGAGGCTTTCGGCATTGTTTTCACCGTCTTGTACCCCGTCAATCGAAAAGTCCTGAAGCTGTTAAACATTCGCTTCCAGTCAAGTTTGATAGTCGATTCCACCCTAATGTCACATCGTCTTAGATTGACAAGTTGCCACAGGCCGGTGAAATCGGCAAAGTCCATGCTCTTTGCCCGCAACTCCAGTATCTCAATGTCCACTAGTGCACCAAGGCTGTGAGGTATTTTTATTTTTGCATTGTAGAGTTTTAGCTCTAAATGTCTTAGCTTGTGTAGGCTTGAAATTCCACTCAAATCCACAGCCACAGCTAACTCCTTATCGGAATGAAGCTCCAGATGTTCGATGCATGGGAACAATCCATCCAGACTGAAGAACTGGATACCACTGCAGTATAGGCAAAGTTTTCGTAACCGTTGAAAGCCCTTTAGCCAAGACAGGTCTTTCATTGTCTCATTGTTTGTGATCGCTAAAACTTGTAGCTGCAGCCATTCGAGGCTTTCGGCATTGTTTTCACCGTCTTGTACCCCGTCAATAAAAAAGTCCTGAAGCTGTTTGGAGTTCTTAAACATTCGCTTCCAGTCAAGTTTGATAGTCGATTCCACCCTAATGTCACATCGTCTTAGATTGACAAGTTGCCACAGGCCGGTGAAATCGGCAAAGTCCATGCTCTTTGCCCGCAACTCCAGTATCTCAATGTCCACTAGTGCACCAAGGCTGTACGGTATTTTTATTGTTGCAATGTAGAGTTCTAGCGGTAAATATCTTAGCTTGTGTAGGCTTGAAATTCCACTCAAATCCACAGCTAACTCCTGATTGGACTGAAGCTCCAGCTCTTCCAAGTTGAATAATTGGGGGAGTAATGCAAAGTTGAATTTTGTGATGTTATTGCATTTCAAAACCTTCAGTGATGTCAAGCTGAAGAGCGCATCTGGCAATTGAGGCACACCTGAATATCGAAGGTCAAGCACTTGAAGGTTTCTCAGCTTGGATATGCTCTCTGGAATAAAACGGACCAAATTATAGCATCCATTCAAGCTCAATACCTTGACATTTTGGATCTGATCTATACTAAGACTGACATCCACACCAGAACTTCCATCACATCCATCGAGAAGCAAGACATCTCGCACATGAATGCCAGACAAAAGGCTGCTTGTAACCTTCTTTCCAATGAATGAAACTTTAGAAAATGTTGCAGAAATCCCAGGTGGACAATCATAGCCAAACAGGCATCCCTTCTCGTGCTCTTCCTGGGGTGGGTACTTCCCTTTCAAGATTCTTATGCACAGCTTGCGTACCATATCGTGCACAGTTACATACTTATACCATCGATCATCAGTTGTCTTCACTAGGCATCTTCGTTCCAGTTCACTAACAATCTGCAGAGGCGAGAGTTCTGACCCAACCGCTATCCAACATTTTCTCAGATCATCAAACTGGATTCGCTCATCTTCTGGAAACGCAGCCACATAGAGAAAGCACTCTTGCAGCTTTTCATCCTTATTAAAGTGTCCCAGCTCGTCATAGCTAAACTTCAAGCGCTGGAACATCCGCTTCTCAATGTCCCCGTCATTCAACAAATGCATCTTCTGATAGCGTTCTTCCCACACCTGCGTCCCTTCATTCCTGTGGACAGCCATGGCACTGCCAATCACTTCAAGAAACTTCCAAAACATCTGCTCAAGAAACTTCCAAAACATCTTTTCGCTCTCGGCCTTTGATAGCATACACACACGAAATGTTTTTGCACCCAGCATGCTCAAAATGTCTTCCTTTCTGGTTGTTACCAGCACCCGGCTGTAAGAGGACGACCCTGCCATAAAATCCAGTCTCTCGGCCCAGCTCATGTCCCACACATCATCCAGTATCAGCAAGACACAAATTCCACGAGCAACATTTTGTGCCAAGTGCTGCACATGCTCAAGGGTGCCTGCATTTTGGGCCCTCTCTTTCATGCCGCCCCATTCAAGAGCGTTGAACAGCTGGGCCCTGAGATCGTCCTCCGATGCATCTTTCTTGACAGTGATCCATACAATGTTGTCATGGAAATGCTGCCGGACCCTCTGGTCATTGTGCACGAAGCTTGCAAGGGTGGTCTTGCCACACCCTCCCATTCCCAGGAGTCCAAACCATTTCCCCGGGGCTTGTGGATCCAGGAGGGCATTCACCACCTCATCCAGCTGCTCCCTATGGCGGCCAAACATGTCGCTGGGCTCGGTAACACCATGCCGTACATAGTTTACGAGACCTCTGTCTTGTGGACAACTCCGTACGGAAAAGCTGGTGCTCGGCTGTATCACTCTCAACTCTTCTCGCTCGTACCTTTCAATGTGCGGGAGGAGATCGTTCTCGCAAGTGCGTACCAGCTCCGAAATCGCGCCAGATCGCTTCTCCCTGCGCGACAGATCCATCTTTTAGCTCCATTGCTTCAAACATGAATTCGAATAAGCCTTACTGTGATCCAAGCAGCGCTTGCGCCTTCTTAGTCCATTCAGTCAGTTCAGTCAGCCACGCCTCAGCCTCACCAGAGTAGCGGAAATCTGGATTCCTGTGCTTGGGAGCATTAAACTTGTCAAGCGTGGCCTGGATTCTGGATGACCTCTTCTTTAGCTCCTCAATGTGGACATTCAGCTCATGCTCGTGACCCTGGATCTGCGACAGGAGATCGCCGTAGGCACTTAAGGACTTCGCGATCTCGTCACTCCGCTTGTACCTATAGGAAGTGGAGAAGTTCAACCAGCTGCCTGCCATTTCTACACACACACACACACACACAAAAGATAAAATGCTACTGTACCGACCGCTTTATGGGCCTCCAGATCCTGTTGTGGCGTGATCCCAAGAGTGCTTGTGCCTTGGCGTTCCATTTCCTGACACGCTCCAAGCATTCCTCGGCCGCTTGAGAGAACGTGAAGCCAGGATTCTGCTGCTTGTGATCACTGAAAGCGTTGATCTTGGCCTGGATGTTGGGCGCCTTGTTCTCCAGCTTTTCAATGTTGGCATTGCAGTCCCATATCTTCTTAGCAGGGCCCAGAGCCAAGCCACACAAGGCGCTTGCCAAGGAGCCCACAACCTCCATGCCTGTAGACCTACAAGTAACGGTCGTCTCCCAGAACTCTTGGCCTTGGTACCCCCTCTTAAAATGAACAGTAATTTTCAGTGTTACAAGTGACTTCAGTTTAATTGGAGTTGATTGCTTGCAGTAGACTCTTGCAATGCCAGCTGTGGCTCTCTCTCTCTCATACACAAAATAGCTGGGAGGCCTTGACAGATTTTCGATGGCCTGCACAAACCAAACCAGTTCTCGTGGAACATCTTGCTGCGAACGTATGTTGCAAATCGTAGGATGCCAACGATTCCATGGGAACAGGTTTATGGATGAGGAAGAGAAGCTGTTTGATTCGATCTCTTCATGTGAAATATTATGATCAAGGGGTTCGAGGAAAGATGCGATCTCTTCTGGCAGCACCTGGCCGAAAAAGGCATTTGGAAGACGCAAAAATTTTCCTTTCAACGTGATGCCTCGGAGAAAAACGTGCTTGCAAGAAACAGAATGATTATCAACCATACACAATGATACTCAAAGAGCCTATTTGACCAGAGCCATACAGGAATCTCATGTCTTGGGCATGCTACAAGCATATATGGGCATCTTGAGAGGATGCAATGCATCTTTGAATGAAGATGGAAGTTGCCGGGTATTCAACTTCTATGATGCCGAACTAAAACTTTCCCAAGCCATAAACCCAAAGTAAGAGAAGACTTTTGAGCACATGGGCTTGTCTAAGCAAGCTCTAACATTGTAAATTTCTCTAGGAGAAGTAATGTTTTTTGGGATTGGGTTCATATGTAATGTTAGATAAGTATAGAATATAAGAAGGTTGAAACTTTTTACTTACTTTTATTGACAGAAGCCTCTTTCTTTTAATATCATCCTTAGTCTAGCAAAAAGTTTTGGCTCTTTGAGCTAGGCAAAAATTATTTGTTATTCTCTAAAGTTATAAAGGTTTTAGTGAAGATCTGATTCATATCTTTGTGCATCTAGTGTGTCAACCATGTTTTTAAGTGATTTTTTATTTGGTTTTGGAAATCTTTTGTCTACAATTCTCATATTGTTCCTAAAGCTTACTATTGCATCCACATTAACATCCATATATTTTCAATTGATCTTGATATGATCTAAGCTAGATGACTGTATTCAAGGATGCCCTGTAATTTGCAAATAATTTTAAACCATGGTGTTATTTAGCCTACAAAGCAATTAAAATTGGTAAACTGATATTTTTAATTATATATTTTTTAATATAGTTATGTGTTTGGATTATTATGGTATAATTTGTAGCTTTACGTTTGGAATAAACTCCATACCCCAGAAGTAATTGAAGAGGAAAAATGGTCTAATGATGCAACTATGGAGATAGAAAATCTTTTTGGAGATACCATAATATTGGATATCGTAACAAATAAATTTGATCTTGGAGAAAGTGAAAAAAAAAATTTAGTGCATATAGTTATAAGAGCATAGAATATTAAGTGAAGACTTAGCTAAAATCAATATAGGTTTATTAATCAATTTGTATATTTTTTTTACATTTGAACTTCCCACGTGTGAGCTAGGGTTTGCATAGTAGAGTTTAGTAGGTGACAAAATTGTAAAGGTGCTAGGTTTTGTATTTGCCCATCGTTTTGGTTGAATCGGTGAGTTGAGATAAGGTAAGTAATGAGTGAAAATGCACAAAATGAATCCTTTTTTTTTTCCTTAAATATTGATGACCCTAGCGAGATTGAATGGACCATTTGGCAAGGGATTGTGTAAATATATTGAAATTGTTTATTTGGTTGAAGTGTTGCCAATTTCTTTAATAAGATTGAGAATGATGGTTTTTTGGAGAAAACCATTTCGAGCTTAACATTCTAACATGGATAAGCATTGGAGCAAAAACAAAAGATGCAATCCAATTGGTGAAGACGCTCAAGAAATCTCAATGATTTGTTAGAGTAAGTATGCAACAAAAGGCAGGCCCAAAATGAAAGCCCTTTACGAAGATAATAGTACTAGCCAACACCCACTTAGGAACAAAACACACCAAGTCAAAGATTATGAGAGTGGCAACCAAGGTTTGTAACACCAATTTTCAATATTAAGAAGTACTCTAAACATTTACTAAATCTCCTACTAGCTTTATTTAGCAAGAATCTACTTTATAAGTTATTGTAGATCTTCCTTAAAGATACTTCAAATATGAAAGGCAGGTAAAGCAAAGAACTAAATTAATCAAGCGAGTCTATGAGTGCAAATTGGACAACCATTCCTTTTGTGTTTGTGAGCTCAAGATAGAATTGGATTATGGCATCGACTTAAGAAAGCAATGGTTGCTAAGATGGAGCAAATAAAGGAGTTCATAAAGTATTAATATGGCTAAAGTGTTGTGGAGCTCCTTGCATTCAAGTTGAATATAAAGTTGGCATTGATAGATCTTGAGTTTGTGAAGGTCCAAACCATATTAGTTTCAATGCTAAAAACCTAGTAAGGATAAAAAATTTAGATAAATGGCAATGAGTTAAAACTACAATAGTTGAGAAAGCTTATAGTGACACATCCATTCAAAAGTACAAAGTCGTACGAGTGAGGATAATTTCACTCATAGATGAGAAACAAGTATCTAGTAAAAAAGAAAGGTCAAAACAAGAAAACCATACATATTTAGCTAGACATCAAGAAACTTTCTCTAAAACATCATCCTCAAGCAAGAACAATCTCTCTCACAAAGACCAAGCAACACTTCCCTTTGAAATGGAAACACCACACGATACACACTAAGCAAATGAATGAGCTTCTCAAAAGACTACCAACCTCCACCAGCTCCTTGCACCAATTCCAAGTACCAAGAAACCCTAGTTGCAAAAAAACCCTAGCCAGTAAAACCCTTGCTGCCACGGAAAACCGCTGGAAAACATGAAAGAGTTCAATCCAGCTATAGCAATAAAAAATAGGTCTAGAAGAAAAGAAGAAACCAAGTAAAGTGGCTGGAAATCCACTCTCCCCATCAACATCCCAAGGTCAAGAGATTCCAGCAAGAAACCACTCAAATCCTGGATCTCTCTCTATTTCCATCAGATCCAAGCCAAAGAGAGCTAGCTAGAAGAGAGCAAAAGAGAGAAAAACTAAAGATCCAAAGCAAATATATCTCCTAATGTAGCAGAAAAGCACAAGTAATTGAACCCCTATCTAGTGTGCCAAACTATAGCATCACTACACAACTTGTATTTCACCAAAGGGGCTACATTGCCTTCTCAATCTTGTTAGGGTTTTCAGCCCTAACACTAATTATATACTGATATAGCATGTGATGCGGCATCCAGGTGGCAATCCATAACATGGCAGATTAGTTGGCAACTCCACTAATCGTACACGAATATGCCTTAATAGGATTATTGAGTAGACAATGCAGCCAAAGCCCCTGAAGGTGGATCCCAGGAGGTAGTGATCTACGTGATCGAGATGTTCCAGTCGGATCTCTTGTCGGTGCTGGTTCTTATGCTCATCGCCGCCACCAGCTGGCTCAAGCTCGTCTCGTACGCGCACACCAACGCCGATATCCGCACGGTGAAGGACGGTGGCAAGATAGAGCTCTCCGCCGAGTACCTAGCGATTGACTACCTGGACAACATCACTGTGAGACACAAAATCCCTAGTCCCCAAAGTGGAGCCGAAAAGGTGCCACGTGGTAGTGGCCGAAGTGAAAGCCAAACGAGCGTAACATGTTTGGACTAAAAGCTCCAACTTGAAATGTCGAGAGTGGGAGTGGAACTCCCAACAAAGTGCTCAAGGAACAAGCATGGAACAAGTAATAAGTGAGTCTCTAGAAAAGGGACTCGAGATGGACCCGAGATGGAGTTCGAGATGGAGTCCGAGATGGACCCGAGATGGACCCGAGATGGAGTCCGAGATGGAGTCCGAGATAGACCCGAGATGGATCTAAGATGGACCCGAGATGGACCCGAGATGGAGTCCGAGATGGAGTCCGAGATAGACCCGAGATGGAGTCCGAGATGGACCCAAGATGGAGTCCGAGATGGACCCGAGATGGAGTCTAAGATGGACCCGAGATGGAGTCCAAGATGGACCCAAGATGGAGTCCGAGATGGACCCGAGATGGAGTCCAAAGTCGAGACCAAGACCGGGACCGAGACCGAGACCGGGACCGAGACCGAGACCGAGATCGGGACCAAGACTGAGACCGAGTCCGAGCCCGAGTCTGAGTCCGAGTCCGAGTCTGAGTCTAAGTCCAAGTCCAAGTCCAAGTTTGAGTCCGAGTTCAAGTCTGAGAGGGTGAAAGCCCAAAGCATTCGTCTCCTAGACCCTGGGGGCTTTGGTGAGCTCCAAAAGTATAGTGAGGGGGAGAACTGTAGTGGAGCTAGTTTGGCCTTGGAATGCTATACCCAGTGTTGGGTGATGAGCTGCTCACTAGGAAGTCCAAGACTAGAGTGAACATAGACCGACAAGCAGGGTAGCTTGGTGAAATGTTCAAGAGCCGGCTTTAGTTCCCCTGGGAGATCGACTGGCCAATGCTCCTAGTCCAAGTGTGGGTGGCACTACCTACTTGGATACCTGGTGTGGCTCAACGAAACCTTGCTCTAAGCCCATGGCTAGAGCACCCAAAGGCAAAAGGCAAGGAGAGTACCCACGAGGCCCGCGTAGGGCCACGGTGTTCCAAAATGTTGCCCCAAAGTCCCAGACTGTGGAAAGGAAGAGGAGTAGCCCTCTGGTGTGGTGATAAAGGACACAGTTACATAGTGAGGAAGTCCTAGAGGACAATTGGACTTAGTGGTCGGGTCTGTGGGCCTTGATCCAGTGACAGTGTTGGCGAACATGGCCATGGACAGGAAGGGACTTGGTGGGGACCGGAAAGGAGACATTGGGGAAGGCTATTTCCCATGTCTGCAGGCATCATGAGGATGCTATGGAGTGGATTTGGGATAACCACTCATGGATGGATGGCCTAGTCTTTAAGAGACAGGATTGCAATGCAGGTGGTGTTGGACCACTAGTGTGACCAAGGTAAATGGGCATGGCCTTAGTGTAACGGGTTGAGAGGTTAGTGGTACCTTGGGGTGTCGGTTATGGGATCGGACGTGTTAAGCACTTGGACCAAGTGCAAAGGTTGAGTGGCATGGATGCCATTCTCGAGGTTAGTAAGCCCCAAGTCCTAACTGGGACTTATGGAGGTTGTGAATCAGACTCCTCCAAGTGGTTGAATGTGTAGTTAAGTGACTAAAGTAAAATGGAAAAATTAGTCGCTTACAATTTGGTATCAGAGTTGTTCCTTAGTCCAACTCTTATTGGTGGCCAAGTATATCACCACTTGTATTAGAATAGGAAGGTCCTAAGTATAGACCTATCCTCAAGGAGTAGCATGGCGAGAGGACATGGCTCCCCACTCAAGTTCATGCGTGAACTTGTGCACAATGTGGTGGATGGAAAAGGGCCAGTAAGGGAACGACTTTGGGATCTTGGGAACAGTATAAAGGTTTCCTTAGAGAGTTAAGGATGTGATCCGGATGAGCGTTTGACGCAGCAAACAGGCTAATATAGTTGTGGTAAACAACTATAGTTGGGATCACAGGAAAGAGGTAGACTCCAAAACAATAAAGGAGTCACAAGATTACCCTCATATAGTTGAGGTTGGTGCTCATAAGTTTGAGACCGGAATTGATGACTGTGGGAAGTCAAATACGGAAAATGACATAAGTCCTTGAAATGGTAGCCAGGGCTACCTCTAATAAATGCTGGAACAACCCAAGGAGTTGGGGGTGTACTTAGAGGATGAGTTGGTATTTTCATCACATGGACAAGTGGTCATAAGGGGCAAAAGGTTGCCCTTAGAGAACAAGTCAAGTGTTAGAGTAACATTTGCAAAAGATGGTCCTTGTGAGTAGGACATGAATACAAGGAGTTGTATTCTAATGAGCTAGCACCTCAAAAGTAGGACCTCATGGGTCGTCAGATTAACAAAGTCCAAAAAGTCTGATGACTTTAATAGAGTCAAGGAATAATCGTAAGGGATTGATAGAAGCATTTGGACTGAGGTGTGTGGTGCCCCACGAAAGATGGGGAGGATCTTGAGATCCAAGCATGAAAATAGTGTGTATCTCATTGATGGCAAAAGGTGCCATGCTAAAGTCGTGGGAAAGAGTTTCCCGGAAGAAAATAACATTGACACAAAATTGTGTGTGAACTCTATAGTAATTGACATAAGAGACAACCATATTGGTCTCGGCAAAAAAACCTAGACACAAGTAAGAAGTGTCATAAAGGTAAGCTCGTAGAGCCGATGGTGTGAAGACACCGAATGTGCCAAGGCGTGCTGCCTTGAGGTTAAGTTGGCGGGTTTATGAGAACCCTTTCCAAAGGAATCCCAATGGAAATGGGAATAGCTGGAAGGCATGCAATTAGAGTGTGGTGACTTAGATAATGATGGAGGTGTGGAAGCACCAGCAATGAGTTGGAGGACTTGATAACTATGAGGCAACTAAGCAAAAGGTGGAAAATAATTGGTTAAACTGGTAGAAGGTGACTACCTAAGAATTTTTATTGGGATAAAGAAGTTAAATATACCCTTATGAAGGATAAATTGCTTATGCTGCGAAATAGTAAGTCAATGTCATAAAGGGAATGCTCATTGCCAAATAAGTCATCATTGGGACACCCAAGCACTCTAGAACACCAGAAGGTGGTGTTTGGTGTTATGAGGGTAATGGATAATGCCTAAGGGATAAAGTCCCTAGCAAATGAAGGATAGGAAGAGCTATCCAAATGTCCAAGGTTGTGGAGACGGAAGAAGTCCATTTACCCAAATTGGACAAAGCCAAAGAAAGATTTTGGCAAGGCTAATGATGGGTATATAAAGGCCCATAAGTAGCAATGGTAATCCCAATGTGTGGGATTACAAGGTGAGTATACCTAAATTGAGGAACCACTCCCTAAGTTATCGGGTAGGTTCATCCCTTGAATACTTACCAAGGCATGGTAGAAAATGCAAAGCTATCTTCCTAGTTTGGAGGAGAATGACCAAAGGAAATGTATGAGGCCAAAAGGTAAGTAATAAAGGGATAGAACTGAACCATAGAAATTGACAAGCATGACCAAGGGTGGTTATGCAAGTTGGGAATGGAAAATCAAGTGGGTGCTCAAGCATGTTGTTACTAACGACTGGGATGCCATGGAGAGTCTAAAACATAGGATTGTCCATGTTAAACTATATGGCAATTGGAAAGCTTGCGAAATGAGAGACCTTAGCAAGCTAAAGAACAGAATTCCTTGAACGTTCCCCCTAGGTAGATAAGTACCTAGACATCCAAGTGTAAATGGTTTATAGAGCGTGCGAAATTAGAGTGGCACAACAAAAGCATGGTCTTGAAGTTTGCCAAGAGGCGAGGCTATCAAGGTTAGAGAAGTAGTTCCCGAGTGTTCAAAGAGAGGGCTTTGAACAAAAGTCAATGGTTAAGAACTTTCACACTTATGCATGAACCATGTTATGGTGGCCGAATGACTTGCTAAGTGAGATTGACAAGTTGGGGGAACGAATACCCTAGTTGAAAGAGCCAACTTCAAAGGGGTGGCCCATGGGGCCGAGCATGGAGGAGTCCATGCATGATCACAGACATGTCAAGTGAGAGGACTTGGCAGTGTGGAGGAACTAAGTTCCTAAGCTGTGATCTGTAGCGCGCTTTAAGTATAAGTTGGTGCACCGACGTAGGGAGTCATGCCAGGCATCCTATGTGATGCCATTCGTAGATGCATATACAGAGGTTGGGTTCGAATCCCAACCCTCTAGTGCTTGGGTTCAAGTCCCAACTCACTAGGGCGAGGTGATGGTTTGGAATATGAGGACACTCATTTTTCGGTGGTCATGGACTCTTAGTAAGGAGACTAACTTGGGCACACTGCCAAGCGGGGGATGCCACAGAGTCGTGATGCACAGTTAGATTGCTTAGTGTGAAAGCTTGGCATATCTAACTTGAACACTTTGGTGCAAGTGGCACCAAGGACGTGGTGAATGAGATGGGGACACCTAATCTCAATTCCTATGGACCCTTGGCCAGATGGGCTGGCTTGGGTGCACCGCCAAGTGTGGAGGATGCCCCTGGGTCATGGTGAACAACTTAAAGGTCTGGAAAACCTAGTACATGTTGGCAAACCTATTAACGTGCCAAGGTTAGATCACTATGTGATCTTATAGCTAAAACAAGGACAAAGTCCTTATGAGGTTAAGGGATAAAGTTCTAAGTTCAAAATGTTAATTAGAACTATTGATGATGGTGTGGCTTGATCAAGGTGACCAAGTGGGAAGAACACCTAAGGGAAATGAGCTATGTTAATGTGATGGCATAGTAAGTTCGAGGAAAATAGTTTCTATAAGGGATCCATGAAAGGGTCTTAAAGTTAGGCCGTGGATAGAGCCCATGGCAGAGAATGTTAAAGAAACATACTAGGGGTGAACACCCTCTGGACTTGGCAAAGCAAAGTGTTTGCTATGGAACTGAAGGGATACCTCGAGAATAGAGGTAGCGATCCTATGTTGCTAGGTGCAACAATCACGGATAGGAGCAAAAGACTAGTGGCTAAGAAAAGAGCCATGGGAATCATGGGAAAGAATCCAAATGGCAAAGTTAGGCCAAAAACACTAATGTGTTGCATGCTAACAAATTGTGGGAAAGGCAATGTGTTTCCAAGGATGGATTCCCAATTGCTCTGATTTGGCGAAAGTAAAAGCTCCAAGGGTGGGAGTGGTAAAGTAGCCAAATGATAGGGCTGTGGACAACCCTAGTACAAATTATGAAAACTGAAACTTAATGTCAAAGGTGGCACAAAATCGAAGAGGGGATGATGGTGCCCTCAAGTAGAGAACTTCATAGGATGGGGAAGTGGAGCTGCACAATATGTGCAATGCAAAATGTCGGAGACACCCAGGAAATTGACTTCGAGAAGTCAGGATTAAAAATTCCAAAGTGCAAGAGTTATATCGATGGAAATTGAGACTACTCAAGAATGAGTAGTGAGATTGAGTTAGAGAAGGTGTCTCTAACAGGTTTAACGAGAAATAAACCAATAAAAAGAGAGAACCACCACAAGTGGTCGAATGAGTCTTTAAGTTGGAGAGACTATGCTCCTTAGAAGGTGAACAAGGCATGGTGAGCCTTCGGTGTCAAACCATTGACGAATATTGGTGAGGTGCCAAGGATGGAAAGGGTAATACATGTTGGTATTACTTTATAAAATAGTTTATTGTTTGATGAGGATATCAAACTTCGTCTATGGGTGGTGGAGTTGTGAGACACAAAATCCTTAGGCCCCAAAGTGGAGCCGGAAGGGTGCCACGTGGTAGTGGCCGAAGTGAAAGCCAAACAAGCGTAACACATTTGGACTAAAAGCTCCAACTTGAAATGTCGAGAGCGGGAGTGGAACTCCCAACAAAGTGCTCAAGGAACAAGCATGGAGCAAGCAATAAGTGAGTCTCTAGAAAAGGGACCCGAGATGGACTCGAGATGGAGTCCGAGATGGAGTCCGAGATGGAGTCCAAGATGGACCCGAGATGGACCCGAGATGGAGTCCGAAATGGAGTCCGAGATAGACCCGAGATGGATCTGAGATGGACCCGAGATGGACCTAAGATGGAGTCCGAGATGGAGTCCGAGATCGACCCGAGATGGATCCGAGATGGACCTGAGATGGAGTCCGAGATGGAGTCCAAGATGGACCCGAGATGGAGTCCGAGATGGACCCAAGATGGAGTTTGAGATGGACCTGAGATGGAGTCCGAGATGGACCCGAGATGGAGTCTGAGATGGACCCAAGATGGAGTCCAAGATGGACCCAAGATGGAGTCCGAAGTCGAGACCAAGATCGGGACCGAGACTGGGATTGAGACCGAGACCGAGATCGGGACCAAGACTGAGACCAAGGCCAAGCCCGAGTCCGAGTCCGAGTCCGAGTCCGAGGCTGAGTCTGATTCCGAGTCCGAGTCCAAGTCCAAGTCCGAGTCTGAGTCCGAATTCGAGTCTGAGAAGGTGAAAGCCCAAAGCATTTGTCTCCTAGACCCTGGGGGCTTTGGTGAGCTCCAAAAGTATAGTGAGGGGGAGGACTGCAGTGGAGCCAGTTTGGCCAGGAAAAACCAGTTTGGCCTTGGAAGGCTATACCTAGTGTTAGGTGATGAGTTGCCCACTGGGAAGTCTAAGACTAGAGTGAACACGGACCGACAAGCAGGGTAGCTTGGTGAAGTGTTCAAGAGCCGGTTCTAGTTCCCCCGGGAGATCGACTGGCCGATGCTCCCAGTCCAAGTGTGGGTGGCACTACCTACTTGGATACCTGGTGTGGCTCAACAGAACCTCGCTCTAAGCCCATGGCTAGAGCACCCAAAGGCAGAAGGCGAGGAGAGTACCCATGAAGCCTGCATAGGGCCACGGTATTCTAAAATGTTGCCCCAAAGTCCCAGACTGTGGAAAGGAAGAGGAGTAGCCCTCTGGTGTGGTGACAAAGGACACAATCACATAGTGAGGAAGTCCCAGAGGACAATTAGACTTAGTGGTTGGGCTTGTGGGCCTTGATCCAGTGATAGTGTTGGCGAACATGGCCATGGACAGGAAGGGACTTGGTGGGGACCGGAAATGAGACATTGGGGAAGGTTATTCCCTATATCTGTAGGCATCTTGAGGATGCTATGGAGTGGATTTGGGATAACCACTCATGGATGGATGGCCTAGTCTTTGAGAAACAGGACTGCAATGCAGGTGGTGTTGGACCACTAGTGTGACTAAGGTAAATGGGCATGGCCTTAGCGTAACGGGCTGAGGGGTTAGTGATACCTTAGGGTGTCAATCATGGGATTAAATATGTTGAGCACTTGGACCAAGTGCAAAGGTTGAGTGGCATGGATACCATTCTCGGGGCTAACAAGCCCCAAGTCCTAACTGAGACTTATAGAGGTTGTGAATGAGACTCTTCCAAGTGGTCGGATGTGCAGTTAAGTGACTAAAGTAAAATGGAAAAATTAGTCACTTACAATTACATCGTCTACTTCATGGCAGCGCCAACGCTGTGCTACCAACTGAGCTACCCGTGCTTGCCGCGGATTAGAACCGGGTGGGTGCTCCGGCAGCTGGGCAAGTGGATCATCTTCAATGGATTCATGGGCTTCATCATCGGGCAGTACATTAATCCAATCATCCGGAACTCGATGCACCCGCTCAAGGGGAACCTCTATGTGATTGAGCACGTGCTCAAGCTGTTCATCGCTCTACGTCTGGCTGGGCTTCTTCTACTGCTTCTTCCACCTCTGGCTCAACATCGTGGCAGAGATCCTGTGCTTTGGTGACCGCAAGTTCTACAAGGACTGGTGGAACGCCAAGTCAGTGGACGAGTACTGGTGGCTGTGGAACATGCCCATCCACTGCTGGCTCATCCGCCATGTCTACTTCCCATGCCTCCGGCTGGGCCTCCACAAGCAGCTTGCCATTTTGGTGGTGTTCGTCATCTCCGGGATCTTCCACGAGATTTGCATCGTGGTGCTGTGCCACATGCTGCAGGGTTGGGCGTTTTTGGGGATCATGTTCCAGGTGCTGCTGGTTCTAGTGACCAACGTCCTCCAGTGCAAGTTCCAGAGCTCCATGGTCGGCAACATGATCTTCTGGTTCTTCTTTTGCATCGTCGGGCAGCCGATGTGCGTGCTGCTCTACTACCACGACGTTGTCAACAGGCAGCAGCTCCAGCTAGCCGGGCGGTCCAAATAATCCTGGGTGATACGTCACAGTCATAGCAAGGCATAATGGTATAATGATTCATCTGATCGACGCAATTTTTTTTGGTGATCTTTAGTCGAGGCCGCCCACTGCTCGTCCTGGAGCTGATAAGACACCTTAAAGTTTGGTAGGATTAGAAACCTTTGGAAACAAAGTCTTATGTTTCTCACGCCACCACAGGACTGTCTGTAACCATGACACATCAGAAAAGTTTGGAAAAACAAATCACAACTCTCGAAAGGAAGAGTGATCACGCACAAAAGCATTATGAGGAGCTTTGGAAACAACAAAGAAAGTTGCAATGCAGCTGGAAGGAAAGAGTGCTGGACTTATATAAACAAAGTTTAGCAGCAAGGCAGCAAGGAAACAACGCACTCATGGCTGAGGGAAACTTTGCAAGAGCAGTGCGCAGGGAGGCGAATCAGGGCCCGGAGCTTGTCAAAGTTCCCAGGCCCGGAGCAGCCTAGCCCGGGAGTGTGGTGGTGCGCATCATTGCCAGGCCCATCCATTCCTTCGATCTCATGACCATCAAGCAGTCTTTCTCCATTGGGATCTTTGACAAGAAGTTTGTTCCAGGGAGTGAAGGCTTTGGCATAGTTGAAGAGGTTGGTTTCATAGAAGAAGAAGAAATTCTGATTGTGTCCAACCTTTTGAAGGTGGGAGAAGGTGTAAGGCGTGTGAAGAAAGGGGATAGAGTGGTTCCTATATTTCTGTGGAACTATTTCTATGCCAAACAAGGCTCTTTGTCACTGTCTCGGAGAAAGACGTGATTTTGATGCCTCATGACATCTCCGACGAGGATGCGGCACAGCTGATTATCAATCCTTGGACTGGCTATGGTCTTCTCAAGGATATCAATGCTCCAAAAGGAAGCTACATTATAGATAAAGTTATATGGGAAACTAAAGATGACATGAAGAAAGTGTTTCCAAGTTTTGAATGACATCCTCCAGAATGGCGCTGGATCGGTGCTTGGAAGAGTCTCTCTACTCACAGAAACGATCTTTCACGCACTAGGATCATTATCAAGCTTGCAAAGCACTGGGGCATCAAGACCATCAACCTTGTGAGACGTGACGAAATCAAGGAAGAGCTCAAGAGCATCGGTGCTGACGAAGTTCTCAACGTGACAAAAGAAGGTACAATTCTCCCACACCTGGAGTTTGCGTGATCTTGGTGGGAAAGATGTTGCTGCCAAAGTAAAAGAACTTACAAATGGAGCCGGAGTTGGTAGCGGGGTCGCAAACAAAGCTGGCTGCCGCTTGCATGAAATCCGGTGGGAAAGTCTTCACTATCGGCAACCTCGAATCATGGGACTTGGTGATATCGGTGAACGATCTCGCGAGAAAAGTTTCCCATTCTTTCTGGAGCTTCGCAGCTGCTTCAGGGGCCATGCAAGAGCTGATGGCCAAAGAGATCCCAGAGCTCTTCCAGGCAAAGATCATAGGATCACTTCCAGTGGTGGCTAAATTTCCTCTCGAGGACTACGAGATCGCCATGGAACAATCAGAGAAGCAGGCCAGACAAGGCAAAGTCCTCCTTGTTGGATGACGAAGCTTTGAAATTGTCCCGTCCCTCGAGACTTTCTCCCACTCTATAGACTGAAGAAGCTTTCTTACTTAGACTTCTATCTTGGATCGATCACCGACTGTGACAGTGGAGGAAGAAAGCTCGGACTATTCCCACTCAGCACTTTCTCCGACTCTAGCGTTGGAAACGACGGCACAGCCACCTCCAAGTCGGGCTGCTCCAGCATTTGCACCACCCGGCTCATGCTCGGCCTGGAGCTGTCCACGCCATTGCGGACCGGGGCTTAAAAACTTGGAGTGGAACGAGTTCGAGTGGATGATCAAGGTGGCGTTTTGATGCATCCAGCTCGACCTGCTCTCCGGCCACGTACTTTTGGAAAGCCCACACTGGAAAGTAGCGGTTCTGGCTGATTCTCGACTTGTCGTTGCCACTGAGCAGCTCCAGTAGCACCATGCCGTAGATGTAGACGTCCACTTTGGAAGTGATGGGACGGTCGCCAACCCACTCAGGTGCCATGTAACCTCGAGTTCCTCGGATGGTGGTCACGTCGAGAGCCCGCTCTTTGTCAATGAGCTTGGCCAGGCCAAAGTCCGACACCTTTGGACAGAAGTTCTCGTGGAGGAGAATGTTTTGCGGCTTGATGTCGCGGAGGATGCAATCGTAGCACTCTTTGTGCAAGTACGTGATGCGCTTTGCAACACCAAGAGCAATCGAGAACCTGCAAACCAACTTAGTAGACAAACTTTGGAAAGATCACGAACATACCTCATTCCCCAGAGATCAATACACTCTTGGTCCAGTGATCCGTTGCTCAGGAACTCGTAGACGAGTAAACGATGGCTTCCCTCAGCGCAGTAGCCCAAAAGTTTCACTAAGTTGACGTGATGAACCCTTCCAAGGGTGGTGACCCACCGTCATATCCGAAAGAACACCCTTGTAAACACTTCCGAATCCACCGGCCCCGAGCTTGCAGCTAAAATGGTTTGCGGCAAGAGTTTTCCATCTTCACCACCAAGAAGACTACACCGTTTTGTCCCCGCGAGCATGTATGTAGCACTCAGGCAGCGGCAATCCTTCAAACAAGAGTCCTTGCACTGCTCGAGGGAAATCGGATCTTTGGAGAGTTAGATTTCCAACTACATGGCCCTTGGAACTTCCACCATCTTGCTCGCAGAAGAAGTAGCGCTGCCAGAAGAACAGCTGAGTGGAAAGTTGCGGACGCATCCGGCCGATTCACTGGAATCCACTGTAAATGTGTGTTTTTGTGTATGCAGAATGCTCTGTCGATTTCATTGCTTTGGTATGGTTATGTACATAATGGTATGGGTGTGACGCTTGGTGGTTGGTGTCTTGGATGAATGACTTGTCTTCTTTGCTGACGTGGAGACTTGTCATCACTTGTCTCCACACTCCTCCTCAAGGCTTGCACTGTCAGTCAAACTGAGTGATTTGAGGAAGAGTTCATGCTTCACTCGAGGCAAGGACTTCGTCAGGATATCAGCGACCATTGAGCTGGTCGGACAGAATTCCAGGTTGATTATTCCATTGTTGACTTGATCCCAGATGAAATGGAACCTCAACTCAATGTGCTTGGTGCGTGAGTGAAATCTCGCATCCCGAGTCAACGCTATTGCCGACATATTGTCGCAGTAGAGTTTGACTGCTGGAATTTGAATCCCGAGGTCCTGCACCAACGTCTTAAGCCAGATGACCTCTTTCGCTACTGCTGCAGCTGTGATGTATTCAGATTCGCATGAAGACATCGCAGTGATCTGCTGCCTCCTGGAACACCAACTAACCACGTTATGGTTGTACATGAAGACATACCTTGAGGTGGATCTTCTGTCATCTGGATCTCCTGCCCAGTCTGCGTCTGTGAATCCCACCAGGCCGTTGTCTCCATCTCCTCTTGCATATTTCAGTATGAATTTCCTTGTGCCACTCACATACCTCATGATCCGCTTCACAGCGGCCCAATATGAGGGTGATGGATTGTCCAGGAACTTTGAGACTGCTCCCACACTAAATGCGAGGTCAGACCTAGTTGAGACCATCAAGTAGATGAGGCTCCCGACCACTGAACGGTACAGTGTTGTGGTCTCCTCCTCAGGAGTGTCATCAGAGGTTGATGTCAAACTAAAAGCCTTGGACAACTTGGAGCCATAAGAGTAGCCACCGGATTAGTGTTAAGCATAGAGTACCTCTGGAGAATGTCATGGATGTATTTCTCCTGGGAGAGCTTAAGTACTCCATGTTGCTTATCCTGGCAGACTTGAATTCCCAGACAGTAGTGCAAGGTGCCCAGATTAGTCATCTCGAATTTAGTAGCGAGAGAGGCCTTGATGTGGTGGATGAGTCGCATCTGGTTGGAGGCTAATATTGTATCGTCCACATATAAGGCTAAGAATAGAAATCCTTGGCCATCTCAATATATGTAGAGATTATTATCAGCCGTGCTGCGAGTAAAGCCCAACGAGGTCAGAAAGCTATTAATTTTATTGTACCATGACCTGGGGCTTTGTTTCAGCCCATAGAGAGCCTTGTGCAAGCGGCAGACGAGATGCTCCTGTCCGGGACGTATAAACCCAGGAGGCTGGGCAACGTACACCTCCTCCTCAAGATCACCGTTCAAGAATGCAGTTCTCACATCAAGTTGATGGAGCTCCAAGTCAAGCTCAGCTGCAAGGCTCATCAAAACATGAATTGTTGTCAGCTTTACAACAGGGCTATAAGTTTCAGAGTAATCAACTCCCTAGATCTGAGAGAAACCACGAGCTACAAAGCGTGCCTTGTAGTGCTCAATGCTGCCATCAGCTCGATATTTCTTCTTGAACAGCCACTTGGCTGTGACTGCCTTCCTGCCGGGAGGGAGGGGAACTAATGTCCAGGTTCCATTCTTGATCAGTGAGTCATACTCGTCTTGCATGGCCGCTTGCCAGTGTGAGGCATCAGGGCTAGAGAGAGCAGCTTGGTAGCCACGAGGTTCAGCAATGGAGCTCATGGCCTAGTAGAATCCCTTCTTGCGTGCAGCTTGAGCAAGAGATTCTAGAGCTTTGACTGTTGGCTTGCTCACTCATCCTAAATGGGTAACAACTCCAATCTCTTGATGAGGTGGTGGTGTCATGAAAGAACCTAGAGGAGGTAAGCAGGAAGATCCTCCAACTGTTTCTTCACCAACGAACAGCTCGTCCACAATAGCAGCAAGATTCTGCTCACTGGATGAAGTAGTGTTGCTGCTAGTAGCCACCGAAGTGACCAGAGGAACTGGTAGCAGCGGAGTTGCTGGAGAAGGCTCATCACCATGTGGAGGAGGTGTTCCTCCTTCTGGAACAAGCAGCCTCTAGACTGCTGGTACTAGTGGGTGGGTGAGCTTGTCTTCCAACACTGGGGTCAAGTCCACCAAGTTAGAACTTGAAGGAATAGTACCTTGAATGTGGCGATAAAGCTCTTGCTCATTGAAAGAGACATCTCGGTTGACCACGAGCTTCTTGAGAGCAAGATTATAGAGGCAGTAGGCCTTGGCATGAGCATGATAGCCCACGAAGATGGTCTTCTGGCTCCTAGGATCCAACTTCTACCGAGTCGCATCTGGAATGCGAGCATATGCTGTACAGCCGAAGACCCTCAAGTGCCCTAACTGAGGACACTTCCCAGTCCAAGCTTGATAAGGAACCACACCAGTGCTCCTTGTGGGAAGGCGGTTATGGATGTAAACAGCCGTGTTAATGGCTTCACCCCAAAAAGAGTTGGGTATGCCTGCATGCTGGAGAAGGCAACGAACAGTCTCTAGCAGAGTGCGATTGAGGCGCTCTACCACACCATTCTGTTGGGGAGTATAGGCTGTCGTGTACTGGTGAACGATGCCAGCCTCAGCTAGAAAGTTGAGAAACTCTCTATTCAAGTACTCTCCACCACCATCCGTGCATAACACACGAATCTTTCAGCTAGTAGACGTCTCTGCCCAGCTCTTAAAAACTTAAAGTGGTTGAACACTTCGCTCTTGGCATGGAGAAGGCTCACCACAGCATATCTGGAATGGTCATCGATAAAAGATACAAAGTACCTCTTGTGGCTGAGTGTTTCCATAGGCAGGTAGCACATGTCACTGTGAACCAGATCTAGTAAGCCTATAGCTTGGTCCTCCATGGTTCTCGATGGAAAAGGAAGGCAAACTTGCTTCCCAAGATAGCAAGTTTCACACACGCCCAGATGGCCAGCTGGGAGCGTGATGCCTTTAGCATGCTAGTGACGAGCCAAGGCGTGCAGATCTGGTTCATTGACATGCCCTAGATGAGCATGCCAGAGCTCAATGGTGTCTTGTGCTTGGAAAGCAAGCACTTGAGCTGGAAAAACTAGTTTTGCGTTTAAACAGTAGAGTGTTTCATACCTCACGCCATTGGCTACAGGAATACCATCACGACCATAAATGGTGCACCCTTTTGGGAAGAAGGTGGTAGTAAAGCCTTGATCTGAGGCTGCACCTATAGATAGAATTGTCTACCCTGCTTCAGGTACAAAGTGCACGTGATGAACCTCCTTAAGAGGTCCATCGGATAGCCTGATCACCACCATGCCACGACCTTCCACCTGGAGTGGTCGCTTGTCGCCAACATAAACTTGTTGTGGAGCTTGAAGAGCTTTGTAAGTGTGAAAGGCAAAGCTTAAGGGAGTCATGTGAAAGGAGGCACCACTATCCAGCCATAGAACCTCAAGAGCAGACACCGGTGACGGGGTAAGAGCCATCATCAACAACAAGTTGCTCTAGGTAAGCATGCGCTGGGTAGCAGCCTTCTTTGCATGACACTCATGCTCGACATGCCCCATCTTTCCACAATAGTTGCAAGGACCCTTTTTCTTCTTGGAGAAGTTAGATCCAGAGCTGGGAGTTGTAGCAGAAGAGATACGAGGCCCACGGCTAGTGCCTCCTTTCCTCTGCTCCCCACTCGATTGTTTCTTTCCAAGAAACAAGGCCTGCTCACAAGCAGCCTAAGGGGATCCTTGATGGCCAGCTTGATGCTTGCACTCTTCCTCGAGCAAATCAAAGTAGAGCTTTTCCATGGTTTTGCCTGGGACAAAAGAAAGCATGGAGGACGATTGTTGCAACTCTGGGGATACAGAGTAGAGCAAAAAGGCTTTTGCATAGTCATCAAAAACTGCAGCACCTACTTCCTTCAGCTGCTACATTAAGCCCTTGAGCTTCCCGATGTATGTTGCCATTGTCTCACTAGGCTGCATGCGTAGGGAGAAAAATTTCTGGGTCAAAACCAATTTAGCATTAGCGGCTTTGGCTGCAAAGACTTGGGAAAGGGAGTCCCAATTGGCCTTGGTGGATTTTTCTAGATCAAAGAGATGAATAAATTCATCTCCAAGACCCAGTCCAATCACGGAAAGGGCTTTGCGGTTCTTGGAGTCCCAAGTAGCCTGCAAAGCTACTTCTGTATCTTGAGGTCTCACTTCAGTTCCCTCCACCAAATCCCAACAATCTTTTGCCATTAAGATTAATTGGACTTTGGTCTTCCAAGTTGTGAAGTTCTCGCCCGTGAACTTCTGGAATAGCTTCTCCCATCCTGCATCCCAGTTGCCAGCCGGGATGGCCATGGTGCTTGCTAGGGTGGTTCTAGATGTAGTGTGAGGTGGAGTACTAGTAGCCATTAGTTTCTAGGAGAAAGGACAAAACAACGGAGTAAGCTAGAAGCGAGGAGGGGGAGGAGGTGGTGGGAATCGCTGGAAGGGACGCCCACACGCTGTGCACACAAAGTGACAATGAGGGCAAAGGCACAGCTGGACATCACACTGCGCTCGCTTGCGTTCTTGAATCTATCATTCCACCTTAGCAAGGGCTGCGAGAGCCTTAGCGTGGTCCCGCTTGTCGCATTGCTGTGTTTGCTAGTGTTTCGCCATTAGGATCAAAACAAACCCAATACTATGTAGATGTGTGTTTTTGTGTATGCGGAATGCTCTATCAACTTCATTGCTTTGGTATGGTTATGTACATAACGGTATGGGTGTGACACTTGGCGGTTGGTGTCTTGGATGAATGACTTGTCTTCTTTGCTGATGTGGAGACTTGTCATCACTTGTCTCCACATCCACAGCATGAAATCCCAGTGGACACGAGCAGCTCTTCCACACGTCCCAAAAACTTCACATTCGAGCAATGCCAACTGCCATACCATTCTCCACCTTTTTTCCCCGCTGCCACAGCTATAACTCCTCAATGTTCCATTTTTTTTCTGGCGTGAGCCTCCAGATCACGCTCTTATTGCCAAGATCTATCGGGTACTTTTGAGCGTTTTCGAATTTGTAGCGGTACCAGGAGCTGTTGAGAGTAGATGCTTAGCTAGGCAGTTAGGATGATGTGGCATTAGGCAGTTGCCACAGCCCGTGTATATATAGCTTCATATATACAATATAAGCAGTCATTGCCAACAGTCGCTGCCTTTTTTATCATGGTATCAGAGCACAGATCTTGAGGACCTGTGAAGGATGAAGAAGAAGAAGAAGCTTCCAGATGCCAACGGCAGAAGCAGAGTAGCCTAGAGCGCAGCAACAAAGCAATGGCAGAGCCATACCAGCAGCGAGGAGTGGCAGATAGTGACTCAGAAGCCCTGGAGCGGCAGAAGATGTTGATATGCTCCAAGAGAGGAGCAGCAGAGCAGCCAAGAAGCCCAGGAGCAGCAGAGCAGTGACTCAGCAGGCCGAGAAGCAGAACGGCCAAGATGCTTGAAGAGACGAGCAGCAGCAGCCAAGTGAGCGGCAGCAGATAGCAGCGGCAGAGTTGGCTGAAAAGCCCAGCAGTGGCAAAAGAGCTCCAAGAGAGGAGCCAAAGGAGCGATGGCAAAAGAGCTCCAAGAGAGGAGCAGCAACAGCCAAAGGAGCGATGGCAAAGCAGCCAAGAGTGGCAGAGGCAGCAAGCCCTAGAGCAACAAGATGTAGTTGCTTTGAGTGGGAGTCAGTGTCAGTTGTATGCATGCTGAGCATCTTATGTTCAGGCTTTGTCTTAGTTTGTAGACAGAGTGGGAGTGTTGAGAGTAGATGCTAAGGTAGATGCTTAGCTAGGCAGTTAGGATGATGTGGCATTAGGCAGTTGCCACAGCCCATGTATATATAGCTTCATATATACAATATGAGCAGTCGTTGCCAACAGTCGCTGCCTTTTTTATCGAGCTTCCGTTGGCATCAAAAAAGGCAAGATGACCATCGATGCCAAAAGTGAACTTCGGAGTGGAAGTCATTGTCAAGTCTGAGGTGTTGAGCTGCTTGTTGATGATGCCCCAGTAGGATTGATTCAAGTAGTCTTGGAAGTAGAGTTCAATACCCTGCCTGTTCATGCTAAGCCGGTATTTTCCAGCAACCAAAACTTTGCCAAAGCTACGGTCAAGAAGCACGAAGTTGCCAGTTTCTTCCAAGGACGCGGCGGTGATAGAACAATTATCACAGCGGACAAGCCATACTATCATGGACTTGTCTGTAATCACGAGTCCAATTTCTTTAAGCTTGAGTTCTTGCCTACTTTGATCCTCGGTTTCTCAGTCGTACTATTGTTCTTGATGAGCACTTCAGTGGCCTCCCATACTACTGCAAATGCAAAAGTGTTGTTGAGTAACATCCATGGTGGTTGCCCTGCACCAAGTTTGTCTCCCAGTCCAATCCCTTTGCAATTTGAGACCAGGAGCATCACTAGAACTAGCGTCATTAGTTTTTCCACCATCTGGAAAAAAAAATCGTTCTCTTGCAAATGAAACTCACTAGTTAGAAAAGAAGACTCCAAAACCTAGAACTACAATTTGACTTGGTCAATGTCAACTACGAGATATCCTCCATGATTTCTCACATCCTTCTGATTTTTGCTACGAATTCAAGGCGTTAAAAACAATTGGAAAGAAAACTGATCATACCTCACAAGAACGTGTTGTGTTTCTAACATAATAGTATTGAAAGCAAAGTCAACCTGAAAGTAGCTGACTTTCACAACGATTGACTTGGGCTTTGATCAATTCAATCCGGGAACGTAACTCCATACAAAAGAATCACATAGCTTAAAACGATAGAACTGCCAAAAAGAAGAAAAACTTGGTGAGAGAAAGCTTTGGAGAACATGAAACTACTTACTCTCATGCTGCTGCTCTCTTCGATTTACTACAGCAGAGTCCTGGCCGACTTCTTGCGCGGAAGCACTGTCACAACAGGAAGCCCTTGGAGATCACCCGGAGGAACCTTTGGATTGGGATTCGTAATGCCTGAGTCTTCAAGCACCCGGAACTTCAATCTAGCGATCTGGTATGATATAGATCCGAAGAAGACTGTCATCTGGATGGCAATGGCAAACGGGCTGCTGGTCCAGGTGAGTGAAAATGCCAAGCTTGAGTTGAAAGCCGAGGGAGGACTTTCCGTAACTGATGGCAGCAGCTCCGTCCCCTTGTGGCAAACCAATCCCGGACAGTGTTGTGCTGAAAGTGCTACGCTGCTCGAGAACGGGAACTTAGTTGTCCTTGGGAAAGACAAGAAAGTTGTATGGCAGAGCTTCGACTCTCCAACGGACAACCTTTTGCCCGAGCAGCAGCTCCGCACGCAAGGAAATCCGTCCTTGGGATACACGAGGTTGATTTCCCAGTCTGGAGCATACCAGCTTGTTCTCAACAGTGGTCAGGTGCTGCTCAAGAACTTAAAGCTGGAGATCCCGCAAAAGTACTGGTCTATCGCGAATCCGACACTGAACTCCACCATGACTTGCCTGGATGACGAAACCGGAGAGCACGTCTTGAACAACAATGCTTGCCAGCCTGATCGTTCTCTCAAGTTCCCGGCCGTCTTGAACTTGAGCTCTCAAGGGGTCCTTTCCTTTTACGACGCAACTGGAAAGAGCTGGGCATCAGGATCAATGAGTTCACAAGACTACGCGCTTGACTATGACGATGCGAATGTGTTGAGGAGACTTACGCTGGACGACGATGGCAATCTCAGGATCTACAGCTTCGGCCCGAAGAACAAGAGTGGCTCCTGGAGCGTCGTCTGGCAAGCCGTCATGCTCGAGTGCGACATCTTTGGAACATGTGGACCTTTCGCTCTCTGCACCTACAGGCCCACAAAAATTTGCAGCTGTCCTCCTGGATTTCACCGAGTTGATCCAAACGACGAATCGAAGGGTTGTGACTACGATATACCTCTGGGAGCTTGTCAAAACTCCCCGAACTCGGTGAAGCTCGTCCAGGTGAACCGAGCAGACTACTACTTCAATGATTACAACTTCGACTCGAGCATCAAGTCGCTCGAGAAGTGCAAGGACACCTGCATGCAAGACTGTAAGTGCCTGGCAGCCGCGTACAAGTACGACGGCACGGGCTTGTGCTTCCTCAAAGGCAACTCCAACAAGCTCTATAACGGTAAGCAGACCTTGAACGAGATGAACATGGTGTTTATGAAGTTGTCGAGCCTGGACACATCTGCAGCCGACGACCAGCACGATCCCTTCCTCGCGGATGCAAACGCCACGGTGAGTGACCAAGTCATGCCAAAGATAAATAAACGGACAGTCTACCTCTCGCGGCACCTCCAGTCCATCATTCTGTCCGTGGCCATCGTCGAGTTCGGGCTGTTTGCCACTGGAGCCGCGATCGTGGCGGCTGTGTGGAAGAAAACCTCCCGCAAGAAATGGGAGGAGATGACGGCAGAGATCGAGGGGCTCCCGACCAAGTTCACGTATCGCCAGCTCCAGGATGCTACAGACAACTTCCGCGACGAGTTAGGCTCGGGAGGATTCGGGAGCGTGTATAGAGGAAACATACCGGAGAAAGGTGGCATTGTGGCCGTGAAGAAGATCACCACCGTGAACCAGGCCAAGAAGCAATTCAAGGCCGAGGTGAGCACGATTGGAAGAGTACACCACGTCAACTTGGTTCGCCTCCTCGGCTACTGTGCCGAGGGAGACCACCACCTCCTCGTCTACGAGTTCATGCCAAACGGTTCTCTCGACCACCACCTCTCGGCCTCGTCCTCGTTCGCTGCCTCGCAAGAGATCTTCTCAACCTGGGAGACACGACATTCAATCGCGCTGGGGATTGCCAAAGGATTGACGTACCTCCACGAGAAGTGTGGCGAGCGCATCGTTCACTGCGATATCAAGCCACAAAACGTGCTGCTGAACGAGAGCTTCCGGCCAAAGGTGTCCGACTTTGGGCTGGCGAGGATGATGACAAAAGAATCGATGAGCATCACCACCGTGCAAGGAACCAGGGGATACCTCGCCCCGGAGTGGCTCGAGAGCCAATCCATCACCCCCAAGGCCGACGTCTATAGCTTTGGGATGCTCCTGCTGGATATCTTGGGCGGCAAGAGGAAGGCCCTCATGGAGCTGGGCAGCGGAGACAAGGAATACGAGAATGCGCCACTGCCACCGCCCCGCGAGTGGTATTTCCCGATCTACGCCTTCCACAAGTACATGACCTCGGAGCTGGAGAGCGTTGCCGATCCAACCCTGGCGAGCGGCAGCGTGGATTGGGGGCAATTCGAGACGGCGCTCAAGATCGCGCTGTCGTGCATCCACCAGGATCCAGGATCTAGGCCAGCGATGAGCCGCGTGGTGCAGATCCTGGAGGGCAAAGCGGAGGCACCGCCGCCGCCATTTCCAGACGCTGGCGAAAATGATCTGTTCGTGGCGCTGCAAACCTCGACTATATGCTAGGACTTTAAATATTAAATTATTTGAATTTGTGAGTTCAATAAACAATGAATTTAATGAGATTTTAATATCTGTTGAATTGGTTTCAATCTCTTATATATAACTTAGAGTTTTTGGGCTAATTAATATATATATTTCTGTATTTCCTTTTCATATTCTATGCACTCATAAATTGAAATTATTATATGAAAATAATAAATAAAATTTAAAATTATTATGGTTATAGACAAGATAACTGATATACCAAATGGACATATATGAAAAACTGATGTAAAATCTTTGATTGCCAAAACCTCTTTATATCCAACCATTCACTATTCCCATTTTATAAAAGGACTGTACAAGTGAGAGGTGAGCATTTTGGTTTTATATTTCAAATAGAACAAAGTTAATGGAATAACATGAAATGAAAAAAAGTGATGGAGTAGATGTTTGTGATTTTTATGGCTTTTGGCTAATTCCTTGGATCATCCTTTCATTATCTAAGTTTAAATATGGTTAAGATTAAGCCAAACCCAAGCCAAGATTTTCTCACCCTATATGCATGCCCGCTCATGCTGGATTCTAATTAAGCTCTTCAAAAGAAAAATATTTTATTTTTATTTTTATTTGAAGAAAAATATGATGTTGAAAATAACAAGACTAAGAATGGTGATCAATTGCAGCATCTTAGGTGTGGGTAGAGGTGCCTAATTTCATTGCAAGAAAGTGTGAAAGCCAAGCCAACCTAGCTCACCCTATATGAACTCTCCTGTCAACTCACTATTGCTGGGCTGGATTCTAGATTGAAAGTATTAAGCCCTTCAACCAAGACAGACCTTTTGGCCCTCCACAACCATGAAAGTAAACCCAATAATAAAGAGGTTGGCATTGACATCAATGCTTTTATAGACTTCTAAAAAGAATATGACATAGTTGAAAATAGCAAGACTAAGAGGTGTTGACCAGAACTTAATCAATTGAAGCATCTTTTGGAAATCCACACTATTTTCACAAATAACATCCAAGTACAATAATGATTTAGCTGCTAATTTCTTGAGCATTGCATGAAAGTGTGAAATGGAAGACACAGAATATACTTATTTACTTTGACCTTATGACCTTGAAAAGAAAAAGAAACGTTATTCTGAGAATATTCTCTTAGACTAGGTTAAAGGTTAAAAGGAGATTTACAGCTTACACATATAAAAACTTTTGCATTAGGAAATTTGTGGTCCATAGAGATCTAGGTGAGATGAATGATGTTAATATATATACACCTATTCAGATGCCCATGTGGCAGAAGGATGGGCATCTAGATAAATTCAACTTTGAGAATACTAATCTCGGTGTTAAAAACCATTTTAATCAATTAAAGCAATACTTTCTAAATAAATTTACTGAGTATTATTATTATTACAATTTTAAGAAAATATTTTTATTAAATATTAATTTTTTCTGCAAAATTCAATAAATAATATTGAATATTCTTTCTTATTGGATATATTGTAAATCACTTACAAACTTTGCTAAAATAATAATGGTTAGTTCTTTTCAATCAATGTATAGATAAAAGTTTATTCTTTCAATAAAGTTTATTATGAGCTTATTATTGTTATGAGCAAGAGTATTAAAAGCATAAAGGTAGCCAGATAATTATTCAAGGATTTGGGAGGATGGTAGGTATCATTAGAAGCTGAGAGTCTCATGCAAACACTGTGGATGGAGGTAATGATGGAAATAGTGGAAGTGTAAGGTGGTGGATTGCTTTCAGATCTGGGCGGGAGAATAAGAAATCTAGGAATGCTTGTGGAGTGGCTGTGTAGAGCATCCGCATGATGATATTCTGCTGAAAGAGGCTAAACAAGCTTAGGAGAGAGGAGAAAGAAGCAGAAGGGTGGACGATTTCTAAACTACTGGACATGACAGGAGCAAAGCAACTTTCAACTAAGCCTAAGCTTAACCTCTGAGGAAAGAAGTGTCTTATTCAATCTGGTGTCCAGGAGAAAAACTTGCTTCATTTTTTTCATCTCATAGATGTTCCAGCTCTCTGTCCTGCTTGCTTTTTAGTCACGCCAGGGATGTCCAAGTGTAGAGCCAACTTCAGGGCGAGATAATCTCGGACTTTGGTACCGCCGGGGATGCTTGGGATTGCATGCCTTACGTACCAGATACGTCGAAGTGGCGATGCTTCGTTTCTCTCTGCAGGAGCCACAGACACTATGAGGATAGAGCTAACTGCGAAGCAAAAACTCGGCAAGCAACTTACGGAATGAAATCGAAAACGTACCTTGTTAGCTTACACGGTGCTGCTGTTTAATGCTTAGGCGGAACCAAACTCTGCGAGCCACTTCTCGTGCCTTTCAATGTCTGCCATCGACACACTTCTCGAGATCTTGGACAGTGCCTCCTCAAAATCGCACATCGCAACCGGGTCGTGGATGTCATCCTTTTTCATGTTCTTTATCTCGTCTCTCGTCTTTCCAGCAATCTTTCGCCGCATGCCGTTCATGGATGCGTCTCGACAGATGTTCGTCAGGTCGTCTCCACTGTAGCCTTCTGTTCTTCGTGCTACTTCTTCGATATCGACATCCGGAGCCACCTGGTGATACGAGGTATTTGAATAAAACAGGACTGAAACTGCATCTGCGACTCCATACCTCCACGCTCTTCAAGTTTATGCGAATCAATTCCCGTCTGCTTTCTTGGTTTGGAAGTGGGATATAAATCCTTTTCTCCAGCCGCCTCCTGCCAATGGTGGTATGTAAAAACAAAACTGGAGAGGATATCAAATATCACCTGAGAGCCTCGTCAATGTCCCACGGGAAGTTTGTAGCTGCCAGTACCATGACAATCTTCTTCTCGCCATCCTCACTGCTGTTATTTACTCCATCAATTTGTACCAGAAGCTCTGATTTTACTCTTCTGGATGACTCGTGTTCTCCAGATGCCCTACAACACAATAGCATATATCACGCAAGATTAACGGGAAGAAAAGATGGATAAAAACTTCTCACCCTCGGGCGTTGCACAGGGAGTCGATTTCATCAATGAAAATCGTGCTCGGAGCATAGGCCCTGGCAAGGTCGAACAAGCAGCGGACCATTCGCTCACTTTCTCCACGCCACTTAGAAGCCAAAGTTGCCGAGGAGACGTTGAAAAACGTCGTCCCGCATTCAGTAGCCACGGCCTTTGCCAAGAGAGTTTTCCCAGTACCTGGTGGCCCAAACATCAGAACACCTTTCCATGGACGACGAATTCCCTGACAGAAAAAATCGTCGAAATCCTTGAAGTCTTCTAGGTAGTGACATAGTCAAGCTCACCTGGAAAAAATCAGGCATCCAGAGAGGTAAAACCACGGCTTCTTCAAGCAGTCGCTTTGCTTCACTAAGCCCGGCAATGTCCTCCCAGTGCACCCCTGGCGAGCTTTCCAACACATCCCTTTCGAGCATGGCAGCCAACTCCTGATCAGGGCCATCGTAGCGACCCCTCCTGGCTTTACCATCCTCCTCTTCTCCACTCTGAAAGACAAAATGAGACACCAAACAACAAACGGGAAAATTCGGGCGCTTACCGTCGACTCCCGCTTGCTCGGAGTTGATCTTCCAGTATTCGTTGCCTTTCTGGTGGCTTGAGAAGAGTTACCAGCAGCTTTACTACCTGCAGCCGCTCCAGCAGCGGGCGCTGTTCGACCCGAAGCACCAGAAACACTTGTTTTCCCACCTCTTGCCATCTTGCTGTTGTTGTTGTTGTTGTCTCCACTCTTCCGAGCCCACGAAGAAGAGCGGTTGTCTCCCATGGACTTTTGCGCCGCCAGTTGGCCTGCCTTGGTCGGTCTCCTGCTTCCATATTGTTCTCGAGCGTCTCTAGCAGGCGGCCTCCAAACATCCGGATCGTCAGGATAGCTGTCTTCTCCAGAAAAGTTCATTGCCATGAATGACTTTGAGACCAGCCGAGGAGAGCCAGGGCCTCCTGGAACCTCTTTGAACGCCTGCTTCTCGGCATCCAGCTGCTTGACAAGGTCCACTTCTTCTGCTAGCTCCTTCTTGCACTTAAGCCACTTCCCTCGAATACTTGAATCGTCCACCGTATTCAAATGCCTGGAATTAAAAAAAAAACTATGAGCTTTGAAAAGAAAGTTTCTACTGAACAAGCACAAGAAGCCCAAGAACTCTTTAGCTCCAGAAGCAACATAGAAGGGAACTTGAGCTAAAGAATGGATCCTTTGACAATGTAGCTCCTAGCATGCATTCGCTAGGCATCAAAATGGTCTAAGCAGCTCCAATCACAAAAACCTCAAGCAAAACCAAGGAAATCCGGGAGAAATCCCACAATGTAGCTCCGCCAAGCATCACACAGGCATCCCAAAGCGAGCTAGAGGCAGATCTATCGAAATGCAGGGCGGATACCGAGGGACACGGGCACTTACTTGTTGATCTGCGCGATTGCGCCATCGTAGAAGATGATAGAAGTGTCGTAAGATCCCTCCAGCGCGTACTCGCGCGCCAACTTGAGATGCTCCTGGAGCCCTGCTATGGCGCCTACCATTTCCCCCCTTCTACTCGCATTCTAGGGTTCTAGGGCTTGCTCGAGAGCAGGGTTACCGCTGGCGTGGAGCCCACGTGGAGCCGTACCTTTGAAACGAAATGAGCGGGAAACGCTCGAGATAGCGAATTTGGAGAGCTTGGAATCTCCTGTAGAGAAACACGACTTTAGCGAGACAATGGGGAAGAACTAGGAACTCCAGCAACTTCTTTGAGGCACGAAAGGGAAAAACGAGAAAACTCTTGGTCGTTTTTGCCTAGTAGAATACGAAGGCTTGTTTGGATGAGACCATTCAATCCAAGCTAGCTTACCGGGACTCAATCTGTATAAGAGATCATTCGAAAACCATCAGATGAAAAAATGCCTGCTGAGCATACAAGGAACTTACCAGCAAGAAGCGGTACGTTTTAGATCAACGCATGGTTCCTTTCCTTGCCTGTGATCTACAAAACATGAGAAACAGCGATGCATTGAAACAAAAACCCATTAGGAGTACCGTCAAGAACAGTGATATACCGAAACCTCCCATCGGCATAGCGATCTTCAGGAAAAGGAGGTGGAGAACGTCCTGTCCATCACAGAAACTCAGAACTAGAAGAAATAAGCATAGAAACAACGAAGGAAGAAAGCGTAGCTTACCTCCAACCATGTTTGCCTATGATCGGAAAAGCTCGAGAACACAGCGTAGCGTTTTCTCCCTCCACTGTAAATGCTCCGCCACCATACTCATGGACGGTGGAACGAACATTAAATCCAGAAGGAGCGATATCTTCCACTTGCGCATTCCCATCCACGCAAGAAAATCCTTATTTCTAAGCGCTAGAGATTGCTCTCAAAAGAATTCTTGGAAGGAAGAAGCCTCATTGCAAGGATTCTCGCAGAGAAGATTTCCATTCGCATAGTCGTGAATCCTCCGAGGCGCAGTGATGGTGAAGGAAATGGAGCTTGTCGTCCACCATCGCGACTCGAGAGGAAATAGGAATTATTCTAGCACAAAATATTTAGGGCTTTGTCTGTCCAGTCCATGGAATCGCATCACGCTTCGCTGGGGCGCCGCAAGGTGAGCTCGCCGCCGTGGAATCCGCATTGCTCTAACGTTGATCCAGTGTAGCTGGAGGAGATCCGGCAAAAGAAAGCGTCGGAGAAGAATTCCGCGAAGCAATCGGAGCTAATTCCATCAGGTAGAGGCTCGAAAACCGACGAATCTCATGTTTTTTTGCTTTCCCTTTCTTGTGCTAGGCCTGGATCAGGATGTCGAGGGTCTCAAACAAGAGGTGAATTTTTTTCTTGTCTTAGAGAAGAGAGAACTTGTTTGTGAGTGAATATCATAGTTAAGTTTTAGTTTTTATCTGCAGCTAGAAACAACTCAAAACGAACGAAATGCGCTGCAAAGGCAATTGGACGAGAAGATCGAGAAAATACAAGTTCTTGTCCGGGACCTTCAAACTTTTCAAGCTTCAGCCAGTAACGTATGTGCTTGTTAGTCTTCATGTCTTGTAAGATTCTAAGTTTTCTTCCTCGCAGGATGCAAAGCTTGTTTCGGAGCTGAAGCAGTCTGTAAAAAACCTTACTGTTGATAGAGATGCCGCCATTACATCCAAGGTAGGCTTTATACGTCATTGCTTCAAGCAACAAGGGAAAGCTTCGATTTTGCTAGGAAGATGTTACAGCTCAGCTGCGTCTCGCAAGAAAAAGACTCCAAGAAGCCGAGAACGAGCAGTACAAGGTCCATTAGCTTGTCAAAAAATACTCTTTGCAGAAAGCTAACCTCCACTTGCCAGGCTGAAGAAGATGCTGCTGTTTTGAGAGCAGAGCTCAAGCAATTGCAACAGCAGATGGAGCACTCAGCCAGCTCTCAGTCTTTCCATGCAACAATGCTTACAGACCAATATGCGATCAGCGACCAAGAGCACAAGGCCGTCAAAGAGGAGCTCCATGTAGGTTCCTGCAAGTTTTTGCGTTTCTTACTTCTCTTCTGCTACAGGATGCGCTTTTCCAGCTTCAAAACAATCGGCAACTGTTGGCCATGGAGCAGCAAAAGATTGCTCAACTTCTTGCTGAGAAAAAAGAGCTCGAAGCTGCTCTTGCGTCATCCCGGAACAATGAAGCCGGTACTAAGTTTTCCCGTTCCTCATTTTTAAGCCATGTCTTGCCTGTCTGCCAACAGAAGCAAAGCGAGCACTTGCGAATGCTGCAAGCACTACCGAACAACAATTCACGAGTAACAAATGGAGGTCCAAGGTTCGTTTTCCTTGACACGGTAGAATTTTTTAATAGTTTTGCTCCAGGTGGACAGAGGGAAATACGAGCAACACCTTCGTGAGCTTGCCTCTATGGTTGAACGACTTGAAAATGGCCGGCAGAAGCTGCTCGCAGAGGTAGAAACGCGTCACCAGTATTTCTAATGGTAGCCTTTTTCTTTCTTTGCTAGATTGACCGGCAGTCCCTGGAGATTGAAAAGCTCTTCATGGAAAACGAAGGTCTAGTGAGTGGGTTAAACGAAACCTCGGAGATTGCAGCACAATGGGAACGCCAGGTACTCGAGACAAAAGAACTTTCAGAACTCTAACAAATCCTTTTGTTTTTCCCAGCTTCGTGAGTGCGCTAAACAGAACACAGAGCTACGAAACAAGTTGCAAGCGCATCAAACATTATCCCAACCAGAGGATTTGGTCAAGGAGGAGGATTTGTCATCGACAGAAATACCAAAACTTAAGGTAACGCGCTGGCCGCTCGCTCGTCTTTTTGTCTGTGGAGTCTTAAACTCTCGGCTCTGGTGTTTTTCTTCTCCCTGCAGATGGATTTAACAAAAGCATTGGGCGAAAGAGACCAGCTGGCTTTGGAGTTGGCGAGTGTCAGGATCACCTTGAATGGATTCAACAGACTGTAAGCTTTTCTCCTTTGTTTTTGCTTTGTTTGGTTTTTTTCAGAGTTTTTTAACAGGCTGCTTGCAGATATAATCCGGTGCTCTCCAGCCTGGAGACGAGGCTTGTACAAATCAAACAAAACTCCGCGCAGCAAATCGATGTAAGTTTCTAAGGATATATGTGGAAGTCTCCGTATGTTTCTAATCTTTTTAAGGCCCGGCAAAGGGTGTCTCTTCGTTCTTCTTGCTTCTATGTGACAGCCTTTTAAGTACACGCACAATGAAAGATCGAGGGCATTAGGGCTTTTCATCTTGTGGTGGTCGAGTTTTGAAGTACAATGCGGCAGCGCGCTGGAAGTTTTTGCGCTCTCGATCGCAGCAATCGTGGCCGTATTCCGTGCTGGGCAGCTCCATTTTCGAGGTAGGGATCTGAATTGCTAGGCTCTCGGGAAGAAGATGAGCTAAACTCTTGGCCGGGAGGATCTTCTAGAGATTCCAGTGCTCTTGAGTGATGAAGTGGGTCTCCTGGAGAGAGACGGCAAGGAGGAAATAGATCAGTGGAGCACAATGGGATCGAGCAGAGCGTAGTATAATTCATGTTTAGTGGGGATGGAAGTCATGGCGGATCGGTAGCGGTTCAAATAGAAGGCTTTCGCTACAATGGCAAGGGACTCAAGAGAAAAGTGTCCGAGGTGCAGGGCACTGTTTTGACAGTGTCCGAGGAGGAAGAGGATTGCGAGTCCGAGGTTCTGGGGGGAGCTTATGGGAACTTGCAAGAGATCTTGGCAAGAAAGGAGAGGAACAAGAAGAAGAAGAAGAAGCAGGGATTGGACGAGGGATTTCCTTGCGAATCAAACTTTGTAGCTGTGGATGAAGAAGTCAGCACGACGACATCCTTGGAGACCGAGGATCAGCGGCGCTGGCAGGAGCAGCAGCAGGGGAAGCAAGAGGAGTGGATCTTCGCGCGGCGGATTGGGAGGGTGGACGAGGAAGAAGTGAGCAGCGGTGACGAGTTTATGGAGTTTTGCGAGGAAGAAGATGGGGTAAAGATCGTCGCCAGTGATGATGCCAATGGCGATGACGAAGAAGATCGTGACAAACCCGGCTCGACTTACATCCTCTCGTCTGGGCGACAGACATCCCAAGTTGAGAAGAAGATCCCCACCATTGACGACGAGTTTGAGGAGTACTTTCGCCAACTCATGCTTTGATATAAACAAGAAAAGTTCCAGTGAGAACATTAAACCCTAATGGAATATTCTACGGATTTGAAAATGATTTGCTTTAATTGATCCAGTCTAAGATTCCCGGACGTGGAAGAAGCAACCATGCAGTCGCCGACAAGCACAATCCCTCCGACATTACCACTAAACCTAAAATCGACAAGCCGCCCCTCCTTTTCAAGCAACACCTAGGTCGCTCGCAATGTATCCAAGTGTGTGCTCCAACATCAACGTCCTATTGTGGGGTGGATCATGCAAAATAGCGAGCCATGACCTAAAATATTCGGGCTCTAGATGATAATAACCGCGACCACGTAACAAAAAAGACACCTGACCATCGAGCAGCGTAAGAAAGTTGGTGGATTTGTCGGAAGCGGTCAACCAATTAGGTTAAATGCGACGTCCACTTCATCCATGGCGCGGGTGGCGTGGGCCGTACAGGTGGTCTCTGGCCGTACGGATGCAAGCGGCCAAAGCAACGTCCACATTTCTTGCCAGAGTGAATGTCCGTACGCCAACTCCTCCCAGGGAGCGGAGATCACGGGTCTCCCTGCCGTGCCCTAAAATCCGTGCGTTGTATCCGCCCTAAAGAGAGGAAAGTCTGAGCTCCACGGGTACCCCAGTCACTCTGACTCAATGCAAGTGTAAGTGGGCCTCTAGATTGGATAACACAATATTATACATTACAACTATACACTGTATTTTATTCGAGGAGCTAAAAATTATCTACACGCGGACGTGGCAGGAGTACGAAGCTGGTATTCCCTGGGCACGTCTACAGGGTGATTCGTTATTTGAATTGCAAGCTTGCGGGGGATATGCCTTCGCGGGGACTGGCCACTGCACGTGGCCATAAACCAGTTTGCACGGCAAAGTTATGGCCCAAAGTGGCGCCGCGCAGAGCCGTTAGATTCCCGGGATCGTGCGGCTGATGGATGGAATGATTATGTGTATGGGGTATGGGTAAAGTGGGCGTGTAAGTGTGTGTAACTTTCAGTGGTTGCCCAGTCGCATTCTTCTTAGGTAAAGACGCGAAGCTCTCTTTTGTTTCTTTAGGAGGTTTTTTGTTTTTTAGGGTAGGAGAAGGCGGCTTTCTTGCATCTGGCGATGGTGGAGCGATCGCGAGCGAATAGCGAGCGAATAGCGTTGCGCCAGGGAGAAGGTTTTGTTTCGCAGGGAAATTTGGCAATGCAGGGCACTTCTGCGCGTGATGGTGCGTAATCTCGGTGGAATTCGTCCAAATCTATGGATTGGATCTAGAAATTCTCTCCCCCCTGCCTCGCGAAGCAAGGAATCGCCGCTGCCGGCCTTCTTATCTCGCTTGGAGTGGCTTGGCTATCGATTGCTTCTCTTCAATCTCGTGCTTCCCTCCCATTCTTCGTGCTTCTTGAGTGATATTTTGGAGGGAATCAATGGAGAAAGGAATCCGGGACAGGGCAGTAAATGTATCGGTGGCGCCGTGAAGCAAACGAAGGGAAAAGAATGCCCGACAAAGGCGCGGTGAAAGTGTTTGGTCCTTGCCAAGCGCCTCTCCAGACAACATACAGAAATGATAGTATCTTTAGTCCTTTGGTACGTACCATTCTCATAATTGGAGTTTTCCAACGCTTTGTTTGTAGGATTCTTTCAAACGCACGCACTCTGCTTGCTCTAATGGAGGCTTTGGACACACTGTAAGCTTTCACGAGTGTTTCCAAGTTTCTCCAGCAATTGTTTTGCTCTACAGATGATCTGCGCACAGCTCTTGACCAATGTAGCCTCCGGGATGAGTGACAGGTATAGTGGTCTTGTATTGTTCATCACAGGAACTAACACTTCACTCTTGTGATGCGATGCGATGCAGCAATTCTCCTCAAAAGCAGACGAGGAAGAAGCACAAAGGGCGGCACGCCACGGACGCAAAGGTCCACGGTGAGCCGCTGGAGCGAATCGATGAAGAGGTACTGATCTGTTTCATGTTTTTCGGATCAGCCTTGAGAACTCTTTGAAACTCCACCGTTTCAGGATTTGTGCGCAGAGGATTCTAGACGGAGGGACGCCTCCCGGCGCTTGTTTTCGTCATCCAGTGACGTTGTAAGCTTTATTCTTCTGCTAACAGGAAAAGCATCCCTGACGCTAGTCAGTTTTAGACTGTCGCCAACTCCATTGAAGCAATCAGGAAGGAAGGCTTGCGTGTACGCCGTTCTCGTCTCGAGGAGGACGTGAGTTTTAATGGTTTTGTGCATTGAATGAATAGCTAATGCAGCGATTTCTAATTCGCAGATATTGAGGCTTCACAAGCGTTTAAGAAATGAGCTAGATCTGCGCGAAGCGCTTGAAATTGCCTTATCCGATGCGTCCGCGGCCATCCCTGAACATGTTCCTCTGAAGGTTTATATCTTATTCCTTGATTATATAACCAGTTTTGCATAAAATATATCGTTGACTGATTGATGCAGGTGCGCAAACTACTGCAAGATATTGCAATTCTCGAAGTCACTGTTCTAAGCTTGGAAGACCAAGTGCTGGCATCCCAGTGGCAGCTGTGTAAGGAACGTAAAGAAAGTGCTGCAATTCAGAACTCTGCTCCATCGTCGTTCAGGCAAAGCAAAGCATTCGACAGGATCCCGCAAGCTCAATATTCACAAAATTTATTTTGTCAAGAGGATCCTTCGTGCAGCGCTCTAGTAGACGAACTCTCGCCTGTAACCCCAGGTCTACGAAAGTCCTCTAGCCGTCTTTCGAGGTACAGCGATGCTGAAAGTTCGGAACAACAGGAAGATTCCTCCTACGAGCATGGGAATCTAGCTTTGACAATCTCGGGAGAGCCAGATACTCCAAGACGATCAAGCTTTTGGAGTAATTGCTCTGACGAAGACTACGGGAAGTCACATAAAAGAGAAAAATGCGACTTCGCTGAGGTACTTCTTGCAAGCTCTTTGGCAAAACTTGAGCTTTTTTCTGCAGAGCGAGAGGATAAAACATAGAAAACATCAACGAAAGAAGACTAGGCAAAAGCATTCTGAGCTAGTCGCTTGTTCAAGTTGCCCTGTAAGCTACAGTTTTGTTCTCTGATGTCATTTTACCTTGTATTCTCGACAGGAAACTCCTCCACAAGAGTTTGATGACACAATGACGCTATCCCGGAGGAGTAGCTTGCTTTTAAAAGGCCTCGCTTTACATCCTAATCGGCTTTCGGAGAAAATGCTTCGCTGCATGATGGATATATATTGTCACCTTTCAGACACTGCCCCTTTCACCGCGTCTTCGTCACCGACCTCGCCTTTTACGCAAGCGATCACAACACCTTCTATGTCATCGCTTTCAGAATCTTCGTTTCTGTCTTTTGGTAAAAGCCCACTGGTTGAGTTGCCGAACAAGGAAGATATTGTGGGATCCGAGAGCTTGTTTGATCCTTACAGGACAAAAGAGAAGCTATCCTGGGTGGATATTGGAGTTTATAGTTCGGCGTTGGAAATCAGGTGGATAGCTGTTGGCAAGGAACAGCTTGGATATGCTGCTCGAGCTCTTCGAGAATACAAGTACGTCTTTTTCTCTTTTTTTTCCTTGTTTTTGTTCTTTCTTGCTTTTTCTTCTAACTTAACTTTTCTCCACGGCAGATTGTTGGTCGAACAACTAGCCAAAGTGGACATCTTGTCCATGGCACACGAAGAAAAACTAGCTTTCTGGGTGAATATTTATAACGCTCTAGTTATGCACGTAAGTATATACTAGAATTTCCTCGTTTTATTGATCACAACTTCAGGGATACTTGGCGTACGGCATTCCGAATAGCGAGCTTAAGTCATTCTTCCTCCTGCAAAAGGTAGATGGAGTAATAAAATAGCTATGGACTCACCACGATCGTTCTTTTACAGGCATCGTACGTGATCGGTGGACACACCTTTACAGCGCTTGCTATTGAGTACCATTTACTCAAGCATAAAGCTCCTGCACATCGTCCGCAAATCGTAAAGACAAAGCATTTTATTGTTCTCGAGCCTAATTCACAATTGTCTACTTTTCAGGCCTTACTACTGGCACTACACAAAATCAAACTTACATTGGAACAAACGAGTTTTGCAGTCGATTATCCAGAACCTTTGACAGTGTTTGCTCTAAGCTGCGGTGCGCGATCTTCACCATTGGTAAGCTCGCAGTTGTATAGTTCTGTCATTCCAGATTGACAAACGGTTTGATTCTTTGCAGGTAAAGGTGTATACACCAGATAATGTTATTCAGCAGCTAAAGTCTTCGCTTCACGACTACATCCGAGCATCAGTTGGGCTCGGCGTGAGGGGTAAAGTCCTGATTCCCAAGCTGCTCTACACTTACGCGCACGAAAACATGGAGGACTCGAGCTTGCTCGCGTGGATTTACCTCCACCTCCCGAGCCCGCAGGTGGCTGTTATCAGGGAGTGCCTGCAACAGAGGCGTCACAGGTTCTTGAGCTCGAGGAATTTTTCAATCTTGCCCTTTGATTTTCGGTTCCAGTACCTGTTTCTTAGGAGCTGAGGGGAGAATGCAATCGTGTACCATATGTGAATAGAAGTAACTTATTCTTTGATTCTAATGATATATAGTTTTCTAGTGTGATGGAAGAACTTCCATCCTTTAAGCTTCGTATCTACAAAAGCGCTTGCTCACCTGTAAGTGAGTTTGGTTCTTCAATTTGCTACTTCTAACTTCTCTTTTACAGGAGCATCCTTTCCGAGTCTATAGATGCTAGACAGAAGAACATACGCCGCCCCATCTCCGGGCTCCAGCGCGAGGATCGAGCTCGTAGCACAGGCCCCGGTGTGGAAGTCCCGGTGGCCAGTGGAAGCTCCCAGCAAACACCGCCACTCGAGAGCCTCGGGAACGTAAGGCATGTTTGTGACAAGTTCCAACGCAGCGTCCAGGTGACCACCTCGTCCCAGGAGATCAACCATGCAGCAGTAGTGCTGCTTAGTGGGAGAGATCCCATAGTCGAGACCCATGGACACCATGTAGCTCCTTCCAAGGTAGAGCTTCCCGGTTTGGCTACAGGCATTGAGGATGGACACAAAGCAAGTTTGATCTGGGAGCTCCACAGCTTTCATCTCATGGAAGACGTTGAAAGCTTCGATCGCTCGAGCGTTTTGCGAGTAGCCTGTCAAGATGGAGCTCCACGAGACGGTGTCAATCTCTGGAAGCCTGTGGAACCATGCTGCGGCATCGTCCACGCGCCCGGACTGGGTATATCCGCCCAGCATCGCATTCCAAGATGCCAGGTTCCTGTGTGGCATGCTGCAATAGAAGAGCTCTTTGGCCTCGAGGATATGCCCGTTTTGGGCATATGCCACAAGCATCGCGTTCCAAGATACCAGATCTCTTTCAGGCATCAAAGAGAAGATTCTCAGCGTCTCGTCAAAGTGGCCGTGCTGCATGTAAGATGCAAGCATCACGTTCCAGGAAACTAAATTCTTTCCGGGCATCGAATCAAACGTACATGCGGCTTTCTCCAGATTCCCACTCTGGGCATATGCCGCTAGAATGGACGTCCACGAAACCACGTCCCGGTGTGGCATGGAATCAAAGACTAGGCAAACATTCTCCAGATCTTTTGCTTGTCCGTAAGCATCTAGCATAGCATTCCATGACACTAAGTCGCGCTCTAGCATGGCATCAAACACTTGCTTTGCTAGCCACATATGCCCTGACTGGGCATAGGCTACTAGTAAGGCTGTGGAAGATACCAGGTTGTGTTGCGGCATATTCTCCGCAAGCTCGATAGCGTCAAGAATATACGCGCTTTCTGTGTAGGCAGTGAGCAAGGTTGTGCACGAGAAGAGGTCTTTTGCTCCCATCGCCGCAAGGATATCCTTTGCTTCTCGAATATACCCATTACGGGCATATGCCGAGAGCATCACGTTACACGATACCCTGTCGTGCTGTGGCATCTTGTCATAGAATCTTTTTAGAGCCTCGAGATTTCCTGTGTCGCAGTAGAGCTCCAGCATTGCCGTCCAAACAACGAGATCCTGCTGTGGCATCTCTTCGAACATTCTCTTGGCATCGTTAATATGCCCTCCGCGGGCACACGCTATTAGCACTGTCGTCCAGGAGACGAGATCCCATTGTGGCATATTCTCTAGGAACATTTTAGCGTTGTGGATGTCGCTGTTGGTCGAGTAGGCCGTGAGAAGAATATTAAACGAGACGATGCTTCTCTGTGGCATCTCATTAAAGATCTCTTGAGCATTGAGCATATGCCCGTTCTGGGCATATGCTGTGAGCATAGAGTTCCAACAGACCAGCGTGCGATCCGTCGCCCTGTTGAAGATTTCTCTGGCTCTTTCAAGGCATCCTGTTTTCCCATATGCAGCGATCATGACCGTGTGTGAGACGATGCTCGGCGACGGCATATTCTCGAACAAGCTCTCGGCATCTCGCAGATGCCCATTGCGGGCAAATGCATAGAGCATGATATTCCAGGTGAAGGAATCTTTCCATGGCAGGGAATCGAAGATCTTCTTGGCTTGCTTCGCGTTGCCCGACCTGCCGTACGACTGGATCTGCCTGTTCCCCGCGAGAAGCTCTTGGCTAGTATGGCATTCTTGGGTCATTGGGCGGCTTGGCTGTAGAGACGAGGCGAAACAATTGATATAATATGGATCAAAGTGGCAGACGAAGAACAAGATGGACAATAGCTCATTAGCTCAAAAGTGTTGCTGCTGTGGATCAATCTCTTCATCTGTAAGGTATCATTAATAAAGACCATGATCAGGGCGAAAAACTTTACGAAAGAATTGATAAAGCGCTTACTTTGGAGATGGGGGATGCTAAAATGGAGTAGCTTACGCTTTTCGTGCAGCCAAAATTGCTGGACCATCTCCATGACCACACCAAGCTGGTCATAGTTCCAATTATTTTTCACGGCACCTCTAGCATCTTCATGACCACCACCAAAGGGGTCCCAGATTCGTCCTTCTCGACATGGACTGAGCACTATAAAAACTCGACCTGGTTCAAACATTTGAGACATCATCCCAGGGTGTTCAGTGTCTTGAGCGTTTCTGTTGATTGCAATCATGCAGGCTAGCAAAGAAGTTGCTGTTCTGTTTGTCAATGAGAAGCTGGAGAAGAAACAGAAGCTTGTGTCGGAGTGTGGCAAGTTCTTCCTTGTGATGCAGGACGATGGGAACTGTTGCCTCTACGATGACACAGGCTGTATGTTTCAGACCAACACCTGGCACCAGGGTTCATATGCCAAGCTGACCGAGTTTGGTGTGTTTGCTGTCTATGACGCCTCTAACAGGCCCATCTGGACCAGCACTGCACAGCCTTCCCCCAAGGACAGCAGCTACAAGATGATTGTTCTGAACGATGGCAACATGGTTATCTTTGATAAGCATGACAAGCCGCTTTGCCACACCAACACTCCCAAGGCTCCTAACGTCATGAAGCCCAAAGCGTAAGCAAATCCTAAATATCAAGGTGTTTGAAACTCACAGTTCAAGAGCACTACGTATATGTATATTCAGCTTTAAGTTTCATGAATAAATAAAATCCTATCGTTTTATGTCATTCGATTATTCATTCCATTATGGGAAATGATTGTGCACGAGTTTGCTCCCATATCTTTTGCTTCGAATGTACCCATTATGGGCATATATGCGGAGAACATCACATTCCACAAGCAACGATTCAACATTCTCTTATGAGATGCCACATGTTTAAATATTCTTCTCACAGCCTATGGTGCAATGGGATCTCGTCTCGTCGAAATAGCGGGTATACCAAAGATGCCAAGATCTCTTGAGCTCTATGAATATACCCGGTCTGGGCATATGCCGTGGGCATAGAATTCCCAGCAAACGCGCATGCGATCTTTCCTCTGTTGAAACAGCTCCCGTTTTTTCGAAAGCAAACCGTAGGTGACAGCGCAGAGCATATTCCAGGCGATGCCGTTCATGAAATTCTTTTTTGTTTAAAGGGTTTGAAAATGTAGGGTTTATGGAAATGGCGGGTAGGGCTCCAGACGAGTGCAAGGTCTGCGAGATCAAGACGCTAGGGCTGGAGAACGATGGCGAGGCGAAGCGACTGCTACGCGCTGTGGCTGCGCAGGTACAACCGATCATGCGGCGGCGGCGCTGGCGCGTCGGCGTTCTCAGCGAATTTCGGTATGCATTTTCCCCCTTTCTCGTCGAAATCACTGTTGCTGCTGCTGCCAGGCCGAGAAATCCTTCTTTGCTTGGGCTCAATGTGAATGGAGGACGCGAGATCAAAATCAGGCTTCGCCGCCATGGGCGAGACTCTGAGTTTTACGAGTATGATTTTGTATTGGGAACCATGCTTCACGAGCTCACTCACATCGGGCGTGGGCCTCACGATGCCAAATTCTACAAGCTCCTCGACGAAGTCACAAAGGTAAGATTTCTCTCCTTTTTTTTTTCAAGCATCTTCTTGCATAGAAAGTTCTACCTTTGTTTTCGTCAGTTTTAGCTTCCTAGCTTCGTTTACTCACGTATCTCTTTGTTTCCCCTTTCACGTAAGGAATGCGAGGATCTCATGGCCAAAGGAATCACTGGCACTGGCCAAGGCTTTGATGCTTCAGGAAAGAAGCTGAGCAACGCTTCACACAACCCGCCGGCCTCGTCGCTACGTAAGACAGCTCTTGCTGCCGCCGAGAAACGCCAGCGGCTGGGAAGCCTCTTGCCGGCGGGGCCTCAGAAACTAGGAGGAGATATCAGCATGAGGAACTCTCTCAGTCCTGCTCAAGCGGCTGCTATGGCGGCCGAGAGAAGATTCAGAGATGATTTGTGGTGTGGCGCTCCTGAGACCATTGGAGAAGACGGTGATGGCAAAGCAAAAGACAGAGAGAACAGAGGCAACACTTTAGAAGCTGGTCCCAGTGAAGCGTGTCGCTACAAAGAAGCACCCCCGCCATCAAAGCGAGCCAAAGTTCCCGAGTGGGAGTGTAACGTTTGCACTCTATTAAATCCGGTATGTTCTTCGTTTCTTTCTTTCTTTCTCTTCGTGATTAGACATTGTTTTTGCAGCCCCTTGCGCCAATCTGCGCAGCATGTGGATCCACACAGCCCGAAGCGAATTTGTCGAAGAACAAAGCGTGGGCGTGCAAGTTTTGTGCGTCGCAAAATCCAGTAGCGATTGATCGCTGCGTTCTTTGCGACGAGTGGAGATACTCCACAGGACATTAACAGCAATCACAGGTACTTGAATCTACTGCAAAGATAATCGACTTTTATTAAGAAGATACTGTCAAGTATCTCACGCACGTTTGCCTTCTCCGCGAATTCCTAGTCGACATTGAGCTGAGCCAGTACTCGGTGGTGATCTTGGACGAAGCCCACGAGAGAACACTCAACACTGACATCCTTCTCGGCTTGGTTGCCTTGAGAAAGCCCGAGCTCAAGCTGATCGTTATCTAGATGGTCACAAGATCTCCCAGTTCTTCGGTGGCTGCCTCGTTGTCAACATTCCTGGGAAGCTCTTCCCGGTGGAAATCATGTATAGTACCGAGCAGCCAGTGGAGTAGACTTTGATAGAGATCCACGCCAAGGAGCCTCCGGCTAATATCCTCGTGTTCATGACGGGCCAGGAGAAGATAGAGAAGGTGATCGCCAAGCTGGAGCACAGGGTCCAGGCTTTGGAACAAGGCTCGCGAATGGACGCGCTTGTTCTTGGAGACATCTCTCACGGTTGACGGCGTTGGCTACGTATCAAGAGCTTTGATCTGGGATGCCTGGAAGACGTTCTAGTACTGGCAGCGATGCTTTGCAAATCGTGCTTAGCATTCTTGAGGCCTTGGAGTTGTTTGTGAGTTTCTCCTCTATGGTTGTCTTGAAGCGTTTCCAAAATCTCGTGTTTCATTGTTTCATTACTGGAGGTCCTCAGGGCTCTCGTAGCTTTTCATTATGTAAAGTTGATTCTGGACAAGGTGGTGGTGGTGGTGTGACGGAGATTTCAGCCTATCCTGGACTCGTTCCCTTCTTTTGGAGCAGCCAAATTGATGCTCTCCATTCTTACTTTTGTTTTTGTAATATCTTCCAGATAAATAGTCGTTTAGTGAACTTTTTAAAAGACAACACAAAACAAAACCTTGTTCTTTTTACAAAGCAAACAATTGATATAAATTATACTCATATTGCCTTTTCAAGAAGAAAACTAATATGGATTTAAGTATTACAGTTCTTATTTTTCTACTTTTGAAAGTCATTTACACAACTAAGCTTGTTTCTAGACCAGAAGATACAAATCTTGTAAATTCAAATACTACAAATATAATTGTTTCAAGGTTACTTATGATGGTAAATTATGCAATTCCACAGGGTCACACCATACCATTAGGCCAAGGTATAGATCGTCTTGCTATTATTGAAGATGAAATATTTGGTAATATAACTGTTGTTATGCAAATATGGCTTTTCAGTGTAGAAAGAGGAACAAGTTACAGATATTGTTCTACTAACCCTTCTGGTGAGGAAAGAAACACTACTATAGTAAGATATGAATTAACTAACTTAATAATGCAATATCATCCTACTCTTCTAAATCTTGGATCCAGATTAATTTCATTAACATCAGGGATATATGCTATTTATTACTGGATTATGAATATACCTCCTCAAGGAGGATCTAGAGAAATATTAACTAGTGCCTTTAATGATTGTCAATTTTACTCGCATTCATTATTTAGTTCTACATTATATAACATTTTATTACCCTATTATTTTATAAGCTCACTAAATAAAAAAGCACTTCTATATTTACATCCTAATTGTAAACTAGAACTTTATATAAGAAATGAAGCAAAATGGTCAATATTAGAAAACTATAAAAATTGTTATCTTATATTACAGCCTGATGGAAATTTAGTTTTTTACTCTGAAAACAAAAAACCTTTATGGTCACCAAATAAATATTGCAAAGCTAAACCTAATTGTATAATGAGTACATATCTTTCTTTAAAAAATGATTGTAATTTAGTTTTATATAAAAACTATCAACATATATTTTCTAAAAATATTAAAAATATTCCTCTTTGGTCAACTAATACTTTTTGCTAAGGGTTAAGATCTTTGCTTAATCATAAATTAGACTTATGTCCTACTTTACATTAACATTGGATAGATCCATAAAAAATAAATATTATAAATATATAATATACATTCTCAATATGATTGTTATAATAAAGGGAGGTATGTATTATATTCTTGTTAATTTAGACTCGCACACTTATACTTGTTAGAAAGGAAAAAGGACAATTTGTTTCTGCAACTTTTTCAAAATCAATAATGTGAGTATGTATGTATTTTAGGGAAGCCTCTTGCCGGCCGTAGCCTCAGAAACTAGGAGATATCAGCATGAGGAACTCTTTCAGCTCAAGCGGCTACCAAGAGAAGACTAGAGATGATTTGTGGTCCTGAAACGATTGGAGCAGAACAGGGAGAACAGAGGCAACGCTAGTGCCAGTGAAGCATCGGGAATGTAACGTTTGCGGTATGTTCTCGTTTCTTTCATTCTTTTCTTCGTGATTTGACATTGTTTTGGCAGTCGCTTGTGCGTCGCAAAATCCAGAAGCGATCGATCGCTGCGTTCTTTGCGACGAGTGGAGATACTCCACAGGACATTAACAGCAATCACAGGTCCTTAAATCTACTGCAAAGATAATCGTTTTCGCTTATGCAGTCTCTGTCAATATGACAAAACAACAGAGCTTCCGAGTACACTCTATGCTTCGCTCTAAACAATGGAGATCTCCAAATTCTCTGATCTCTGTCAGTAGGATAAAACAAGAGCTTCTATGCTTCGCTCTAAACAATCGAGAACTCCAGATTTATTGTCATTCGCTTTTATCCTTTGATCCAAAAAAACTGTGTGTCATCTCATCCAGTGACCACCTTCCTCTGGATTTTAAAGTTTTGCAGTGAAGGGCTTCTTTATCTGCTGTCCACACTTCTTTGGCTACGTGTCAGTTGACCCGTCTTCGTACCGCCATCGTACGTAGTGGCCGTACTTGAAGGTCCAATTTGGAGATTTTAGGGCATTATCAGGGTTCATCGATGGCGGAATGGGGCGGTGCGCTATCAGCCGCGAGCCGCGAGGTGTAAGATCCTGCCGCATTCTATCGCTTTCTTCCTAGCGATCGTGTAGCGAGCGAGCGGCCGGCGAAATTCCGGAGCTTCGATTTCATGCCCCAGGTCTTCTTTGGAGGAGAGAGGGCATTTGGGAGATCTTTATGCCGCCATGCCACCGCCAGTGGAGAATGCTGAGGCGAATTCCGGGCGATTCGTGACGCTGCGGGAAATTATGATCACAATTGCGGGGCTCCTGTTGGTGGTTCTCACCCTTGTTCTTGGAAGAGCCAGTGCCATGGTCGTTCTCATCACTGCCAAGAACGAGACGCTGCCATTCCCGGATATGGAAGCTAGCTTCGGTAAGGAAAAGCTTTGGAATTTGTGTCTATCGTGGAATTCTCATCTTTCTCTTCTCTTTCAGCGCCTCGAGTTCCAGCGTCTGGAATTTCCGGCCTGTTCTACGAAGCGTACCCTCTCAATGCATGCGACGCGATCATCAATGGTCCGGGGCTTTTGATCGGCAGCATTCCGGTTTTCGCGATTGTGGAGCGAGGGGGCTGTAAGTTTGACGAGAAGATCTTGAATGCCCAGGATGCTGGATTCAGTGCTGTGATCGTCTACAACAACGAAGAGGGTCATGATTTGATCTCAAGTAAGTGGAGTGTGCTTTTTCCATGAGCAGTTCTTTGATTCTTTCCTTTCCAGTGTCTGGATCATCAGACGACGTGCACATTCCAGCCGTTTTCGTTTCAAAGTCCGCTGGCGAGACACTGCTCGAGTATTCCAAACAGATTGGAGCTCGCTGCTACATTCTCCCGGCCATTGAGAACACGGCCTGGTCAGTCATGGCCGTGTCGTTCATCTCACTACTCGCCGTCACTGCGGTGCTCACCACTTTCCTGTTCGTCCGGAGATACAGACTGCGTCACCTCGGCTCCAGATTGCTCCTTCTGCGAGACTCTTACGGAATGAGCGCACGGGAAGTGAAAGCTCTCCCTACAGTCATATTTAAATGCTTGGGCGATGGCCAGGGGACGTCAGATACTTGCGCCATCTGTCTGGAAGAGTATGAATCCGGTGAAAAGCTCCGAGTTCTACCTTGCCACCATGGTGAGTTTCCTTGTTTTCTCTTCGTGCTATGTTGTTCTTACGCACTTGTTTCTCTTCTTCCAGATTTCCACGCGGCTTGTGTAGATCAGTGGCTTACGACTCGACGGCCATTCTGTCCGGTTTGCAAGAGGGATGCGCACAACAAAAACGAAGAGCCGCCGCCATCCGAGAGCACACCGCTACTAGCAGCCGCTGCCGTGTCTCCGCCGGCTACTACCCAACCAGCGGCTACTCAGACCTCCCCGGTTGGATCCCTGCGTGACGATGGAGCTTGCGACGATGAGTCCGCTCGGGGTGCTTCCTCACTGAGAGAAACTCCCGTGGGATCGCCGTCCCCAACCGAGGAGAGCTCCTCGCCAGGTCGGGCTTTTGGATTTCATAGTGCTCCAGATACGTTTTTGCAGATTGACGATGATTCCAGCGCCGCTGCCAACACCGACACGACCACCACCACCGCTTCTTCTTCAGACCACCATCGCCACAACCACTCGAGGTGCTACAGCGACATAAACTCGAGCAGTAGTAGCAGCGTGGAGCGCTTGTGCTGAGACTCGAAAAGAATTTCACTTTGTCTCTTTCTTACGCGTGGTTTTTGTGTAAATTTCCCTCCTCTCTGGCTTCAAACTTTCGGACTGGCAGAGTAATGTAATCTAATAAAATGTAACCATCTGCCTTTGGAAAATCTTTTTCATGTTTTAGAGTAGTGTAGGGCCTTTTTTATAATTTACTTTTTGTATGAATGAAATTTATCTTTTAATGCAAATTGTTTGTGTGATTATAAGTTTTTAAAAAACATTATACAATTAATTAATAACTTATCATATTAATAATTACTGAAAACATCACGACTTCCGGAATGGCCAACACGCTCAAGGCTAAAGAGTTCTTCTATTGCAGCATGCCACACAGGAACCTGGCGTCTTGGAACGCGATGCTGGGTCGGCGCGTGGACGATGCCGCAGCGTGGCTCCACACGCTTCCAGAGATTGACACCGTCTAAACGCTCGAGCGATCGAAGCTTTCAATGTCTTCCACGCGATGAAAGCTGTGGAGCTCCCGGATCAAACTTGCTTTGTGACCATCCTCAATGCCTGTAGAAGCTCTACCTTGGAAGGAGCTACATGGTGTCCATGGGTCTCGACTATGGAATCTCTCCCACTAAGCAGCACTACTGCTACATGGTTGATCTCCTGGGACGAGGTGGTCTCTTGGACGCTGCGTTGGAACTTGTCACAAACATGCCATACGTTCCCAGAGTGGCCTTGTGCTAATGTAAAAGAGAAGTAATGAAATAGCTCTAATAGCCATAACCCCTGAACCCTAGGACGCTATGGCGATGGCGATGAGCGTCTTCCTGGCGGGCCTTCAAATGCGGGGCATTCGCGGCTCTCTGGTGGGCGTTTATTATCCTTTTTTTCGGATCTAGTGCCATTCTTTTCACTCAGATAGAAGGAAAGCTTCGTTGCATTCTTGTTCCTTTCTCTTCGGGTTTTAAAAGCTGGAAGTGTTTTGTGTTGGATTTTTTTTTTTTTTTTGCTAGCTTGCAAACAAGGACACGCATCGACCACTTCGCTGTTCTTCCAGCGGCGGCGATCAAGACACTGCTAGTTCCAGTTCCTACGCGAGCTTCGACTGGGATTCGGAGGCTCCCTCCGCCAAGGAGCAGCGCCGGCTCATTCGCAAGGAGCTGGCGAGGAAAGTCATGACCGAAGTTGTGAAGAACATGGAGGAAGTGGACTACCCGCTGTGGATGGACGACGAGGGCGATCCCGAGTGGAACGATGACGAGCCCGACGATGGGTGGGGATTCGACGTCTCCAAGTTCTTCGAGAAGCCAGCGGCGAAGAACTCGACCAAGAACAAGCAGGACAGGAGAAATAGTTCTACTTCCAGTGCTGCTGCCACTTTGGAGAGTGATGGTTCAGACTCAGAGGCTGATTACGATGCGTGGGATCTGGAAGACAAGTTTCAGTGGATGGTGTGGGAGATCTCTCAGAGCGAGTGGCACGACGTTGTGTTTGAAGATAAGAGGCCTTTGCTGGTGTTGGTCTATGAGAGATATGGTCCCAGGTAAGTGGAGCTATGTTTCGAACTCCTTGTTCTAACTTGGTTTCATCTATTCCAGATCGAATGCTTGCTTTCAAACTTTGAAGGAGCTGGAGAAGGCAGTGAAGACTTTCTACGATAAGAAAAAGATTGCTCTAAGAGTACGTAGCTTTTGTATCGTTCTAGAGTTTCATATGCTTGATCTATAAGCAGGCTGCGAGGATTGACGCACAGAGAGATCGAGACATGGTCGCAGCTCTCAAGCTCGATAGCTTTCCTGCGTTGCTTGTTATAAGGGAGTCGAAGCTACTCCACCGGATATATGGTAAGTTTGTGTGAGCAATTCTAAGTTTCTCTTCTTTTTCTTGCTTGTACAGGCTCTAGGACAGAGGATGAAATCCTCCAAGCCACAGCACACTTTTTCCACGGAGCTCGAAGGCCTGCGTTTTTGGGAACCGGTTTAACAACCGTGGAAGCGGTTCCAGAGTGCAAGCCATCAAAGAAAAAGGAAAGTAAAGTCAACAAAGCTTTGGAATGATGAATCCATGAATCTTCGCATGGTCTTAACCAGAAAACAAAAAATCTGAGTGATTTAGGCTTCCCATCCACGAAGAACCGTGGCTCGAGCGACTCTTTCGACTCCGAGCGTGAAAGCCCCCATTCGAAGGCTACAATTATGAGTCTTGCATGACTCTTTCACGCTGTTGTATGCATTGGTGATGTATCTCTGCAACTCCATGTTGACTTTTTCTTCGTCCCACATGAAGCCTTGCTTGTTCTATATGAAAGACATGCTCAAACCAAAGCTTGCGTGAAAAAGAGCCTCACTGACCTGTACCCATTCGAAGTAGCTCACTGTGACACCTCCTGAGTTTGCCAAGATGTCTGGCAACACAATGATGCCTTTCTTCGCAAAAATCTAGTCACAAAAAACCATAGATTCAATCCAGAAAGCTTTTTATTTTTCTCATACCTCGTCCGCCTGGGGCTCAATGGGATGGTTTCCTGCTTCTATGATGAATCGTGCCTTTACATTATTTGCATTCTCCCTGTGGTTTCATAGAAGTGAGAAATCAATAAGAGAGCAAAGCTTAAATAATACCCATTAAGAACGCCACCCAAGGCAGCCGGGATGAGCACATCGCAATCTTCCATTAGTATTGAGCTTGGGTCGATTGGATCTCCCAGCTTGAAGCCTTTCACGCCACCATTTTCTTGAGCGTGCTTCATCAGCGCTGGGATATCCAAGCCAGAGTCATTTTTAACCGCTCCAGTGATATCGCTAACGGCCTTCACTCTCCCTTTGGCCTCGAAAAGGAGCTGGGCGGTGTGCTGCCCAACGTTGCCAAATCCCTGCGAAAGTTCTTAATTGATCAAGCTGAGGAAAAAAAACTAGAGAAACAACGGAAGTTCTACCTGGATCACGAAAGTTTGGTTCGAGATAGATTTGCCATGGTCGGCAAGCAATGCTTCAGTCACGTATACGACTCCTCTTCCAGTGGCAGCCTCACGTCCTACAGAGCCACCGAGGTCCTGAGAAACAAAAAAAATTATATCATCATCATCAAGGAAAAATCACATCATCATCAAGAAACAAGCTTACAAGTGGCTTTCCAGTTACTATTGCTGGCGAATACCCGTGGAACTTAGAGTATTCGTCAAGAATCCAAGCCATGGTCTGTGAAGAAACAAAAACATGAAAATCCAACTTCGCAAAGAAAAGAAAGGACAAGTAGAGGAAAAACCAAAGAAAAGAGAGAAAAACCTGAGCATTCGTTCCCATGTCGGGTGCTGGAACATCCGTATGAATACCAATAACATTGTGGATCTTCTGTATGAAAATTCGAGTGAGCCGCTCTAGCTCGTGGATGCTCAAGTCCCGGGGATTACAGCCTATCCCTCCCTTGGCGCCTCCGTATGGAAGATTAGCTACGGCTGTTTTCCAAGTCATCAACTGCGCTAGTGCGTTCACTTCGTCTGGATCAGCCTACAGGAGGATAAGGAAAAGCGCGATTATATAGAGTTTTCTTTTTTGTTTCTTTTACCTCTGGATGATATCGAATGCCACCCTTCATGGGACCCCTCGAGTTGTCATGTTGGACTCTAAAACCCACGAAAGACTGCAGAGTGCCATCGTCCTTTGGAATGGTACACTCAACCTACGAATATGATTGAGATCCAAAAGACCAAGAAAAAAAGGAAGAAAAGTGAAAAAAGAGACCTTGATTTCTCGGAAAGGGATCAGGAGGCTCCTCTCCAACTTTGAATCTATCCCAAGTATCTTTACTGCCTGCCTAAAGTATCGATTTGTAGCCTCTAATGGCTTCATCCTGTGGGAGAAGAACAGAAGGAAGAAGTGGAGAGTAGCTCTAGAGAAAACCAAGTAACTGAAGGAAGAAGTTCAGTGTAGCTAGAAAACCAAGTCGCTCGATGCTCTTTCGTTGCTCTCTCGATCCTCTAGAGAATGTGTATCACAAAAAAGGACACCTAGCTATCACGCATGTGTTTCTAAAGACCCGGTTGAGATATATACGTGCACGGATAAACACGCAGCGCGAGTAGTCAGCAGGAAAAAAAAAACTCCAAACGATTACGCTCACACCTCACAAGAATAAACAAAGAAAAATCCAATACGTTGCAAAAAATAAAACAGGTAGAAAACAAAGATCCAAAGAGGAAATGAAAATGCAATCGGATATGGACTAGCATGCAGGCCTGGATCGAGGATTTCATAGTTCTCCAGATGCGTTTTTGCAGATTGACGATGATTCCAGCGCCGTTGCCAACACCAACACCACCGCCGCCGCCACCTTCCGACCACCATCGCCATAGTCACTCGAAACTCGAGCAGTAGTAGCAGCGTGGAACGCTTGTACTGAGACTATTTGCTCTTTTTCGTTCTTACGCGTGGTTTATGTAAATTCCAAGATCTCGCAAGGAGCTCAATATGAGGTGCTGCCGGTGGAGCAAAGGTATAGATGAAGAGAGTGGATTGCAAATGATTCTCGGAAAATTGCTACCCCAGCTCGAGCGACGACGAGGGAGACGATATATCGACCACATTGGCAGGGGAGTGGCCAGTGCTGTGACTCACGGCCATGTGAAGCTTAACATGGATGCGTACAATGACAAAAACGAAGGTCGGCTATTTCTTTGCACTCTTTTCTTTTCTTCTTCGAACACAATCTTGTTGACGATTATGTAAGTCGTTGCCTTCACTTTCCTTTATGATTTTTTCCTCCATTTTTTCCTTTTTTTTCCTCTGGGAAACTAAAGCATGGCTTTCAGGATGAGGAGGAGGAGGAGGTAGAGGATGAAAGAATCAAGCCTATCTTCTGATTGTGACTGCCAAACCCAGAGATGAAGTTGGATCCTCGAGGTAGTCATTTTTCCTGTGGCTTCGCTTTTCTCTTCCTGTAGAGATTGAACTGGTGAGCTTTCCAGAAATGTAATGCCAACAGTAAGCAGAGTTCTCTTAAGTCTCATACTACAGAAAATGACTGACAGACTTGTACGTAGGTACAATCTGTTAGTTCAATCACAATGGCTTGTAACTCTATTTGCAAGCCAGCAGTTTATCGAGCAAAGTCAATTTGGTTCAGCTGGGTGTGCATCACCTGAAGATTTTCTGGAGCTTAGCTTGCCGGACAGCCACTGCCTCTGGGAGGAGCCACTGACGATTGCAGATCGAAAAGAATGATGATGGATGGACAGATGACATTCAACAGCAGGATTTGTGGCATGCAAAGTTATTTCCGGCAGGAGAAAGAACCGAAAAATGTCTCTTCGCAATGTGGCTGATGGGAGCCATACAGGTACTGAAACTTCCACAGGAACTTGAGACAGAAGTTTCGGCTCACATGGTGGTACCAAACTGCATTTCTCCGATCTCGCGCAAGTAAACTGAAGTTCCTGTCTATCAAGCCATCTTCACGGCAAACTCCTTTTAGTTCAGCGTGGAGGTCGTTCATGCACGAGAGCATTGCCCCAAAATCAGTGAACTCTTGCAGCTCTGCAAAATTGAGTCGTTTTGCAGCTAGCCACGCCTTCGAAATACTGGCAAACAACTTCGGGGACAAAAGTGATTTTTTTGTTTCTACGTGTCATATAGTGTGCTGGGAAGTAACTACTTCATCTTCAACCATCTACTGTAAGCCTTCCCGTTCGGCTTGACATCGTTGGAGTATTGAACGCAAAGGCTGCGTGCTCAACATGGCAGTCTACTACCTGTTGGCTGCTCAAGAAGATTCCTGGCGTGAGTTTAAAAGCTCCTTTCGATGAGAACGATCCGTTTGGCCGCGCTGGTGGTAACAGGCTGGACGAGTCTCAACACTCGAGCGTCTGTTCCCCAGGGCAGTGGTCTAGGCACCTCGAGCATTCTAGCAGCTGCGGTACTCGAAGTGAGTGGCGGTAACAAGGCAAAGGCAGCGTTGCAGCGCTGGTGTTGGTGCTAGAGCAACTTATGGGAACTGGAGGGCAAGTTGGAGGGATCTATCCTGGTCTAAGAGATCACGACGAGCCTGCCATCGAAGCCACTCACATTTTCGGTCGAGACAGTAATTTTGCCTCCAGATGTTCGGGAAGAACTTGAGTATTGAATGCTCCAGTTTTCTTTTCTTTCTTTTTCCAGGTGAGACAAGGTTCTACAAAAAGTTGTCAAGCGCTACTCTGTCATCAATCCAACAAGCTGGCAAAACTGCAACGGGATGGTTTTGTCCAGCATGGGGATGATAATGCAAGAGGCATGGCAAATCCACCAAGAACTCGATCCCACGTTCTTGTCGATGCGATTTTCAAGAAGATCAGCCATCTTAGCTGCGGCTACAAGCTCGTAGGCGCTGGTGGAGGTGGATTTGCAATTGTTATGGCCAAAGAGGGGGACTCGGCAGGAATTATCAGAGAATTTCTCTCCTCCAGCTTCAAGGATTTCGAGCTCTACAGCGCAGTGGCTATGATATCGGCTACGTTACATCGGCTACGTTTAGGAGTTGGAGAATCTTTTGTGTCCAGAGCTGAAGTCTTTTTTGAGCTTGTGCGGTGAGAATAAGTATTCTCTCCCGAGGATAAACGTTTCATGTAGCTTGCCTTCCACCAGCACTCCAAGTGCGGATTGTCAATGAAAGATGATACCAAAAACTCTTGAAAAAAGGCAAGGTCCACATTGTCTCTTCCCCAACGAATGTAAACCCTCCTCAAGCGGGAGTTTTTCACAGGTCAAAACATATTCGCATGACATTCATAAACACACCTTAATGCGTTCAGAAACTTCAAGTCTTGATGCATGAGTCATATCCAAGTGTAGCAAGCTCTCATTCACAAAAGCCAAGCACAAGAGTTCCTTGACATTTTTGTAATGCCACATTTGCATGATGCAGAGTTTGAATAACTTCATGAGCCTTCCTTGATAATACAATCGCCATGAATTCCAGCTCTTGTGTAGGTTAGCTTTCAGAGCGAGGAAGACCTGATTGCCACAGGCGACTTCAAGCTGTAGCCTTCGGCAAGGATGAGCGTCTTGAGCAGCCGACAGTTGGATAGAAAACTTGAGAGGTCATCACTAGTCAAGCTGTGAGTCTGAGCTCCTGTATCAGAGAGAAGCATGAGTTCGTGTGATCAAAAGCTTGCAGCCATGACAAGCTCAACTTCTCAAGCCTGTCACAACCTATAGCTTTCACAACAACGCAATCTCCTACAGGTTCAAATCCAGCTCCACCATCACCATCCGTAACCAGAGTTTTACTTCCATATAGCTTACAGTCCTCTATAACTAGTACTTCAAGCTTCGGACACACTTGCACCATATCATCAAAATAGACTTGGGTATGGAGGCAAAAGAACTGGAAGCCCAGTTTTGAATGCCATTTCCTTTGGTGTCATGCTTGAAACCATTCAAAACCTCCTAAAAACAAAAAACATCAAGTGTTGATAGATTTGTCAAGTTTTGTAAAATCAATGCCACTCACCTCTCTTTTTCAATTCATTACTATACTGCTTCCTCTATGCTTCATGATCACCCACCAAAGCATGAGCATTGTGAGTTTTGATGTGGGATGCTAACCTAACAAAATGTTTAGTTTTTTTTAAAAAAATTATTTTTTATTAATTTTTTTTTTCCAAAAAGGACCCTAAAATGCAAGTTATGATTCCATTTTAACACAGTTGGAGTAGTGGCATTTAATTGGGCATAATCCCATGTTATTAAAATCTTCACTTATTTTTTTCGCAAAAGAATGATATGTTAGAGGTGTAACTATTGTGTAAAAATATATAACAGTCTACTAAAATAAATTAAGGTGTATTTTACTAAAGTTTTTGGACTTGATATTGAAGCATGTAGTGTTTGAAATGTTTATTTCCATGTTCAGGAACAAACTCATTAAATATTTATGGAGTAAATCATAAATGCCTTTTTGGTTTTACCTTCTACAACAAATCCACAAAGTTGGCATTTTGATAAAGCATTTACTTCTAAAATTAACATGAATTTAGATAAATATGATATCAAAGTTTATCTTTTTAAATACCATACCATTTAATGTTGTAAAAAATTTGTATTTTTATGCGATGATTGCGACTGTTTATAATGTTGGACTTGATGCTATATCAAGGATTCTTGGTTACAAGAAGCTTCATACTATTCAACTCACTTTTCACTATACTTTAATCAAATAATAAGTGAATTCAATATTACTAAGTTTTTTGTAACAAAAAATCCTCAATGTAATATAAGGTCTAGCACTACAAGTAGTTGCAATTATTGCTCAAAATATAAATTTTTAATTACATTGAATAATTTAAGAAGATGAATTTTAATATCACATTCATGTTTTTTATATCATCCAAGTATTTCCTCAATGTTATTATCTCATATTCATTTTAAACCACTAAATGATCCTTTATGGCCTACAAAAGCATTCATATGTTGAGATTAATTAACATTTTATATACCATCTCCAGAAGCAAATGCCCCATGAAAATGTCAACTTTGTAAATTTGTTATAAAAGATAAAACTAAAAAGGCATTTGAAATTTATTTTTAATGAGTTTATTCTTGAATATGAAAATGAATGTTTAAAGTATTATATATTTCAATGTCATGCCTAAAATTTTTAGTAAATGTGCATTAAATTGCCATATATTTTTCCATATTAATTAAACCTCCAATTGTTAGAAGCATAAGCAAAAAGTTTGACAACATGGGACCATGCCTGCCATTGCATCAAATGTGCCAAAATCAATAGCTAAACAGTAAAATACAATTGCTGGAATTACTAGAATCAATTAGTTGCATTTCAAGGCACAAATTAAGGTTTTTTGGGAATAAAAAAAGACAAGTATTTCATGAAACTGACCGCGTTCAGCAGCGGTCATCCCAGGCGAATGCAGTCGAGACTCACAATAGTCAGTTCTTGTGTGAGCTTTCGACTGGTATTGACGATGGGTGGGATTTGACGTCTCCAAGTTCTTTGAGAAGCCAGCGCAAAGACCAGTGCTGCTGCCACATTGGAGAGTGATGATTCAGACTCAGAGGCTGTTTACAATGTGTGGGATCTGGAAGATAAGTTCCAGTGGGTGAGGGAGATCTCTCAGAGCCAGTGCACGACACTGTTTTTGAAGATAAGAGGCCTTTGCTGGTGGTCGCACGAGAGATATGGTATGTTATAGAACTCCTTGTTCTAACTTCGTTTGATCCAATCCACGCTTGCTTTCAAACTTTGAAGGAGCTGGAGAAGGCAGTGAAGATTTTCTACGATTTCTTTAAGAGTACGTAGCTTTTGTATTATTCTGGAGATATATATGCTCGATCATAAACAGGCTGCGAGGAATGATGGGCAGAGATATCGAGACATGGATCTCGATAGCTTTCCTGCATTGCTCGTTATATGGGAGTTAACGCTGGTTATATGGTAAGTCTTTGTGAGAATACGTTTTCTCCTCTTTTTCTTGCTTGCACGGGCTCGGATCAAGCTACCACACACTTTTCCACGGACCTGCAACTAGTTTAACAACCGTGGAGTGCAAGCCATTAGAAGAGAAAAGATTTGGAATGAATCTTCTAATAAGTCTTATTATACGAAAACAAAATGCTTGAATAGCTTACGCTTCCCAACCACGAAGAACCGTGGCCCGAGCGACTCTATGGACTCCAAGCGTGAAAGCTCCCATCCGAAGGCTACAATTATGAGTCTTGCATGATTCTTTCACGCTCCTATATGCATTGGTGATGTATCTCTGCAGCTCCATGTTGACTTTACCTTCGTCCCACATAAAGCCTTGATTGTTCTATATGAAAGAGAAATAGCAAATGCTCAAACCAAAACTTTGCGTACAAAAAGAGCCTCACTGACCTGTACCCATTCGAAGTAGCTCACTGTGACACCGCCTGAGTTTGCAAGGATGTCGGGCAGCACAATGATGCCCTTCTTTGCAAAAATCTGGTCACAAAAACCATCAATTCAATCTAGAAAACTTTTTGATTTTTCCTATACCTCATCCGCCTCGGGCTCAGTGGGATGGTTTGCTGCTTCTACGATGAATCGTGCCTTGACATCCTTTGCATTCTCCCTGTGGTTTTACGTACGTTAGTAAGAAAAAAAATGAGAGCAAAGCTTTTACCCATTGAGAACACCACCCAAGGCAGCTGGGATGAGCACATCACAGTCTTCCATTAGGATGGAGCTCGGGTCGATTGGATCTCCCAACGGGAAGCCTCTCACGCCACCGTTTGCTCGGGCGTGCTTCATCAGCGCCGGGATATCCAATCCAGCATCGTTCTTTATCGCTCCAGTTATGTCGCTTACCGCCTTGACTCTTCCTTTGGCCTCGAAGAGGAACTGGGCAGTATGGTGACCAACATTGCCAAATCCCTGCAAGAGCTCTCAGTTGATCAAACTCGGAGAAGAAAAACAATGGAAGCTATAAACTGCTCTACCTGGATCACAAAAGTTTGGTTCGAGAGAGACTTGCCATGGTCGGCAAGCAATGCTTCAGTCACGTATACAACTCCTCTTCCAGTGGCAGCCTCACGTCCTACAGAGCCACCTAGGTCCTGAGAAGCAAAAACAATATCAGAGGACAAATCAAATAATCAGAAAGAAAAACAAGCTTACAAGTGGCTTTCCAGTGACTACTGCTGGAGAGTACCCATGAAACTTGGAGTACTCATCCAGAATCCAAGCCATGGTCTGTGAAGAAACCAAAAAAATAAAAATCCAACTTTGTAAAAGAAACAAAAAAATGAAAAATAAAAGAAAGAACAAAAAAAAGTGAAAAAAAAACCTGAGCATTCGTTCCCATGTCAGGTGCTGGAATATCCGTACGAACACCAATGACGTCGTGGATCTTTTGCGTAAAAACTCGAGTGAGCCGCTCTAGCTCGTGGATGCTCAAGTCGCGGGGATTACAGCCGATTCCTCCCTTTGCACCACCGTATGGAAGCTTTGCTACCGCGGTTTTCCAAGTCATGAGCTGGGCCAGAGCATTCACTTCGTCTGGATCAACCTAAGAACAAAAATAAAAGAGCAATTATAATCACAAGAGCGTTCTTTGGTTTCTCTTTCCTGTCTACCTCTGGATGATATCGAATGCCACCCTTCATGGGGCCTCTCGAATTGTCATGCTGGACTCTAAAACCCACGAAAGATTGCAGTGTGCCATCGTCCTTGGGAATGGTACACTCAACCTGCGAATGTGATTGAGATCCAAAGGACCAAGAAAAAAAGGAAGAAAGGAAAAGACCCTGAGAAAAAGAGAAGAAAACTCGCCTTGATTTCTCGAAAAGGGATCAGGAGGCTCCTCTCCAACTTTGAATCTATTCCAAGTATCTTTACAGCCTGCCTAAAGTATCGATTTGTAGCCTCTAGTGGCCTCATCCTGTGGGAGAAGAACAAAGAGTGTTGCTAGAAAACCAAGTATCTCGATCCTCTCTCAATGCCCTCTCGATGCCCTCTCGATCCTCTCTCGATGCTCTCTCGATGCCCTCTCGATGCTCTCTCGATCCTCTCTCGATCCTCACTCACTGCTCTCTCGATAAGAACTCGTTCCTAAAGATCCGGTTAAGATTTATACGCGCACCGCACGGATATACACGCAGCGCAAGCAACAAGTCAGCAGGAGGGAAAAAAAAGGGACTCCAAACCCCAAACGATCACCTCACATGAAAGAAATCCATAAACAAAGATAAAGTCCAACACGATCAGCGAGGAAAAAATAAAACAGGTCGAAAACAAAAGAGGATCCAAAGGGGAGATGTGAGAATGCAGCCCACCTCGCGCTTGGCCAAAACCCCACCTCCAAAGTGCGCCAAAAACGCTCCTTTCGCGCAGCTGATGATCACGAAACGCTTCTCGCTAGTGACAAAAATCTGATTAGGTTTCAACCATGTTTTTCACATTTGGACATTTCTTCGAATATACTTGAATATTGACTAAAAGGGATGCCACGTATCAGATATATTTTAGGGTTCTTCAATCTCCCTATGGTTTTCGAGAATTCCGGACGGATCTTCTCAACGAGCAGCCTGCGATTCGGGACGCATTTGCGCGCAAGAACAAGGTATGGGATCGCCAATGCCATGCATCTTCTCTCTTTGTTTCTTCGGCAGCATGATATTAAGAAGAATCCAGCGTTCCGGGCTCTATGTTTTTCCTCTACTTTTTTCTTCGTCGAACTTCCCGAATCCGGGGAGCCAATCACGAGCGATGATTGTCTCAAGGTTTTCATTCGGTATGTTTTTCGTCTACCTTGTGAAAAAGGTCTTGATAATCTTGTCCAGGTTGTAGTCTCACAATGGAGGACTAATTGATCTCAACGAGCTTTTGCTTCTCGAAGGAGAGACGAACTTCACGGGAGCCAATCACTCAAGGTATCGAAAAAAGGAAAATACAGGACAGGAAAGAGTCGCTGGATCACATATGTTTTCATTCTGCTCGTCTTTTTTTTCATTGATTTGTTTCCAATTGATGGGTTTGATTTTGCAGACTCGTTCAAGAAATGGTCCCATGACAGTATTGATCACACAAAAGCTTTTGAAGCCTTACAGCGGATCTTTAACGTATCCAGGTCCATGGATTTGTTCTGGTTGAAGACGTAGAACGCGCTCTATTGTGGCTCGAGTGATCGATGCTTTGGGAACATGGGATGCTCTCACTTGTTTCTTTCGAACTCAAGTTCTAGCAATGCGGAAGAAATCTAAAAAGCTTTTCAAAAGTAACGAGCATTCGCTTTATATCAGTATCAACGGTGTTCATTTTGGAATCAAGGAGCTAGCAAAGATGGTGCAAACAGAAAGATAGACTTCAAATGAAAAGCCCCCTGATTTTCATGACAACTCCAGGTTTTGGTCCTGTAATCGAAAAATACCTTACGAAACACAGACGAAACCAATACGGTGTCTTTGTAAGAACAGGCTCCAAGGCAGGAGTCGCCAATAAACCATGGTTCATACCTTCCCTCTTCAACAAAACTCATTGAGGCAGGATCCAACCTCATCAGCACCAATTCGAATAATCTTGGTCTTCCAATGTCAAATGTGAGGAAATGTGAGGTTGATGACACCGGAAAGGGACCTCGAAACCAACGCCATTCTTTAATCTCAAATGCCGCCATCCATTCCATGGATCAGCTCATGTCTTCCAGGTTGAGGCACCACACCCCCCAATGCCCCCGCTGCGACACAACTTTGTTCCAAACCAAGGGAGGAAACTCCAGCGATTGGGAAGAGGTTTGCTACTCCACATCCCTGATCTTGAATCATATATGTTAATGTCATATGAATATCTTACACATAGCCAGTAATGTTGCATAGATGACTGTGTAACTGTAACACATGCACAAGGATTGGGTTCGAATCTTTCAAGCCTAGGCAGTTTTGGGAGCGCCTTTAGAGCTGGTGAGCGGATTGATAACAATGAAGTCACAGCTCCTCTTTCCAAAGAGTAGTCCGCCATAAGCACTGATAACCCTTATATTCTGCTCTAAGAGTATGGGAACCCAATCCTTGTGTCCTTCTCCGGCAACAAATGGATTGCATATATAGACGACTCCTACATCATTCTGAGTGACACCCAAAACACGAGGAGGGCAGCATATTTCTTGGCTCCTGGTATTCTATATGGACTTTTGCAAAGCTTGGTGAATCTATTAGATCTCTCCAGTGTTTACACACTGCTCATGCAAAACATCTTCAACAATCATATATATACCTTTAACCCTACCTTCCATGGTTATTAAGGCATTTGCCCTTTAAAAAAGGCCCCAAAAGGATTTTAAACATCATTGAAATTTTGTTTACTTTAGATTCCTCCATGCTCTATAAAAGATCCCTTTTCAAACTTTCGAATATTCTTTCTACAGCAATCCCGCCTTTTTCCTTCAAGCTTTCTCCTTTTCTTTGGCGGCCTTCTTGTCGCGCTCCTTCAATTCATGCTGGACCCAGTTCAGCATAAACACGTATGGATCTGCGCGTATCGATCAATAGCGCTGAGAATTATCCCGAAGACTGGGCAGGAATGGGGAGGAATTGGATGAAATTCGATGGGAAAATCTTACCGGCGGGCTGGGAAGTAAACATACAAGTGAGGAATTGGAACATCATCGTGTGCACATCGGATCTACAGGTGTAATCTTCCATCGCCGCGCGCCGTGGGTTCTTACGCTTCTCGTCTTCCATCGCGAGAGAGAACCGAAATGCCTTCCCTAATTTGGACGGTGGAGATAAGGAGCTGAATGGACGGCCTACGATGAGCGGCATTGTTTTGTATAGCTCCAGATGTAGGGCTGGAGACTGAGTTGGATCACCGCGATGTTCTCTCGGCGATCTCGAGAATTCAAGTCTGGCGAGTCGAGATTCTCCACCGGATCGGACAGCGATGTCAAGATCGATGACAGCACAATCCGAGCTGTGGAGACCTCTCTCCGCGAGGCGCTCACCCTCAATAACGAGGTATGGCATTTCTTTCCTGCTCGCCGCATCGATCGATCGGACAATTAGGAAGCGAGAGCTTTGCTGGGAAGAATCGAGTTCCAGAAGGAGGATTTCCAGTCGGCTTTGCATATCCTGGAAGGGATCCAAGTCGACAATATATTTCCTCGCGTGAAGTTCTTGGTCCCGGCCAAGAACAAGCACAAGCGAGGGAAAATTCGCAGTGAGATCGTCAAACACCAGCGTCGCAGCGATGTTCCACAGCCGCTAACACTACAATCGGCAATCCTTCTTCTGGAAGGAGTCTACCTCAAAGTGATGTCTCTGGAACACCTTGGTCGATCATCAGGTATGAAAATTCTATAGCCACTTTCGTTTTCTATCCTTTCTATGGACACTCTTGATGCTGTGTTCACAGGTTTTACGTTGCTTATTTCCTTGCAGACGCTGCTGAAGTGTGCAACTTCTTGGTCGAAAGTTTTGATGCAACGTTTCCTCACGGCCTTCCTGATCATCTAGCCGGCACGAAGATCCAAGAGTTTTACAACAAGGTCTTGGAGTTCTTGCCCGAGTTTTTCAAGCGAGAGGGACACTATGCCGACGCTGTGGTGTCGTATAGAAAAGCTCTACGCAGCCACTGGGAGCCCGGCTCGAAAACTCTGTGCTCCTTGCAACTTGGCTTGGCCGTGTTACTCTTATACGGTGGTTTCGAAGCGCCACCTTGCCCGAGTGGTGTCTACGAAGGAGACTTTGTTCCAAGCAACAGTGTGGAAGAGGCCATCTTGTTGCTGATAGATGCTGCGACGAAATCCATGGTCGCTAGGACGCCGAGGTGCCTGGAAGTTATGGAGCATCTCTGCTTTGCTCTAGCGACGTGCGGGCATTTCGAAGCATTGGCACAGCAGTACGAGAGTGTGGTTCCGGGGATTTATAGCAGAACAGAAAGGTGGTTTAGCCTTGCGCTATGCTACATGGCCGCCAGAGATAACAAGGAGGCTTTGAATCTACTTCGGAAAGCTCTCGGGGAAGTGGAGAGGCCCAACGACGTTTCTTCTCTACTGCATGCGGCATCAATCTGCTCGGGGAGTGCGAGGCTTGCTCCAGAGGGAGTGAAGTATAGCCAGAAGGCGATAGACAACGCTAAAGGTGAAATGGAGTACTTGAAAGGCAAAGCTTGGCAGGTTCTCGGGATCGTTTTGAGCGTCAAGGCCAGAGCTGCTGCGTCAAATGCTGAGAGGTCTGCGATCACCAAGGAGGCTCTTTCAGCTTGGCACGAGGCTTCCAAGCTGGAGCGTGTTGATGCCAAGACGCTCTTCCACTTCGGCCTGGTTCACGCAGAAGAAGGAAATCTCAGGGTGGCCATGAAGAGCGCGAAGAAGTTTCTTGAAGTAAGCTGTGCGTCGGCAACAGGATGGAGGTTCCTCGCTCTCGTGCTGTCTGCGCAGCAGAGGTTTCGCGAGTCGGAGCTTGTGATTGATGCCGGCTTGGAAGAGGTGAACTCCTGGGAGCAAGGGGAGCTGTGGCTCACGAAGGCGAAGTTACAGGTTGCTCAAGGCAAACACCTCGATGCACTGGAAACTTACAAGCTACTCTTGGCACTCTCGGCTGAGAAGAAGGTGACCTCTTATTCGATCTAAGTTTATGGCAGAACTAAGCGAGCTATTGTATCCATTACAGACGAGCATCCCCGAGCTGACCGTGTGGCGAGAGATGGCCGATGCCTGCATAGCTTTGTCTCAGTGGAACGATGCAAAAAATTGTTTGGAAAAGGCCAAGTGTTTGGACGTGGCTTGCGCGGGTACTTGGCATGGATACGGTAAGCACCTAATCGAGAAACTCCATTGATATAAACTCGCGGTTTTTTCTTTTCGAACCAGGTTTGTTCTTCATGGCTCAAAGCAAGAGCGACGAGGCACTAGCAGCATTCGACACTGCTCTCACTTGCGACCCGGAGTACGTAGAGAGCAAAGTCCAGATTGGAGCTGTGCTAAGCGGCTATGGTGGAAAGTCCCTTCCGGTGGCCAGGAGCTTCCTCAATGACGCTCTCCGGCTTGAGCCCAGGAATCCATCGGCGTGGTTCCATCTCGGGGCCGTGCACGAGATGGAAGGCCGGATGGAGCAAGCCGCCGAGTGCTTCCACACAGCTTACATCCTCGACCAGTCTCTCCCGGTGGAGAGCTTTGGAACTCTCCTGGAGATCAAGAGGGGACAATAGAGCGCTCAAACTTTTCAGGCTTTGCAACTCTCCTGGAGACCGAGAGGGGGCGATAGAACTCTCTCTGGATCAAACAATTCAAAGAACAGTGGAGAGCTTTGCAACTCTCCTGGAGATCAAGAGGGGACGATAGAGCGCTCAAACGATTCAAATTATAAAAAGGAATAAAATGGCGGTGTCGAGACTTCGAATATTCCAACACGTGGCGTGTCCTTATTGGTTGGGGATCCTCCCATTGCAGTTGGCAAAATCCCACGCTAGGGCCAGTGCCGGCGCTGGAAATGGCCTCGCGGAGTTGCGCTCCAGGGATGGATTCCTCGCGAATGATCGCTGTTTCCTTGCGAAATATCGCCGATCGATGAGATTCTAGGGGCGACCGCGGGATGGGGACGCTCTCCAACGAAGATCTTGCGCGATACATAGCTCCTTGCGGCGGCGGCGGCGGCGGCACCGAGCGCGAGGTGGAGGTGAGCGCCGAGAACAATGTGAGTGCTAGCTCGGAGGTTCCAGTCGGGCTGGAGCTGGACGACTCGGAGCTCCTCTTCATCGAGGAGCTAGCTGGGAACAGGGATTACTTCGACTCGGATGAATTCTTCCGGCTGGAATACGGCTCCAGCAAGTCGTGCATCGATGTCGAGGGCCGGAATTTCAAGGATATCGATCAGATCGAGCCGGAGGACCTGGATTTTGCGTGGAAGGGCGGGAGGGATGATAGCTGCTTGGAGGACAAGGATAGGCAGCCGGCAGGAACTTCCAAGGACTCCATTCCCAGAGTTCCATTCTACAAGATGTACGCTTTTGCTGATCCTCTCGACTATCTTCTCATGGCGATTGGAACACTGGGAGCTGTGGTGCATGGGCTTGCGGTGCCCGTGTATTTCTACTTCTTTGGGAGGCTTGTGGACGCTTTCGGGGAGAACTACGCGAATCCATCCAGTATGGCATCCGAGGTTTCAACTGTAAGTGGTCTTTTTCGATCCAACCTTTTTTTTTTCGTGGTGTTTGATCTTTTGTCTTCCCAGTACTCCTTGTATTTGCTCTACTTGGCGCTGGTTGTTCTAGGCGCAGCTTGGCTTGGTAAGTCTAGACAGTGCAGATTTGAGAATTTCTATGCTTCGTTTTGTATTTGTAGAGGTTTCGTGCTGGATGCACTCTGGTGAGCGTCAATCTGCCAAGATACGCATCAAGTACCTCAAGTCGATCCTCGTTCAAGATGTGGGATTTTTTGACACGGATATGTGTGTTGGCGAGATTGTGAACCAGATATCAAGTGATATACTCATCATTCAAGATGCCATCAGTGAGAAGGTTGGTCTTTATTTATTTTTTCTTACACTCTTGAGCTTACGACGCAATGTTTCCAGGCTGGCAACCTTATTCACTTTCTAGCGAGATTTATAGGAGGTTTAGTTGCAGGTTTTGTGGCAGTATGGCAACTTGCACTTATTACAGTTGCTGTGGTTCCTGCAATTGCTCTTGCTGGAGGTAAAATCTATCTAAGCTGGCTTTTAGAATCTTAACTATGTTCTATAAGCAGGTGCCTATGCAGTTTCACTTATCAACACTGCTGCAAAGAGCCAGAAAGCTAATGAAGAAGCTGGAAAGATTGCAGAACAGGTATGACAACATGAATCAAGTCTAAAAGCCTCTAATTTAAGAACTTTCGCGTCCATAGGGGCTGAAAGGGCTTACAGGTCGATGGCTTGCCAGGTCATTGCTCAAGTGAGGACTGTTTATTCTTTTGGAGGAGAAGCAAGGGCCGCGAAGGCTTATTCAGACGCCTTGCAGCCAACCTTGAGGCTTGGGAAGCGAGCAGGCCTTGTTAAGGGCCTTGGAATTGGAGTAACTTACGGGCTTGTTTTATGTGCCTGGGCTTTGCTGCTATGGTACGCCGGGGTTCTTATTCGGCATGGAATGTCTGATGCTGGAAAGGCTTTTACGACTATTCTCAACATAGTTGTTAGTGGCTTGTAAGTAATGCTTAATTTCCTCGTAACGTTTTTTCTCACTGAAATTTGGCAGTTCTCTCGGACAAGCGTTCTCGAACTTTCCTGCCCTTGCGGAAGGTCGGGCAGCAGCTTCCAACATAATACAAATGGTGAAAAGAAGGCCGGCCATGCTTCATAATCAAGGAGGACGACTTGAAGAAGTTTATGGGGACATTGAGCTGCGAAATATTTGCTTTAGCTATCCTTCCCGACCAGAATCTTTGGTTCTAAAAGACTTTTCTTTGATGGTGCCTGCTGGAAAGACAATTGCGATTATCGGTAGCAGTGGCTCTGGCAAAAGTACCGTGGTTTCTCTCATCGAACGTTTCTATGATCCGCTTTCCGGTACAGTACATATATTTATCGTATTGTGTTGCGAGCTGAAATTTGAAATGATTTGTTTAAGGTGACGTTCTTTTGGATGGAACAAACATAAAATATTTGGAGCTTCAGTGGTTGAGAAAACAGATTGGTCTTGTAAGTCAGGAGCCGATATTGTTTGCAACCACTATTCGAGAAAATCTGCTCTACAGCAAAGAAGATGCAACCATGGAGGAGTTAATAGAAGTCTCTAAAGCTTCAAACGCACACGAATTTATTGATCTCTTTCCTGACGGCTACGAAACTCAGGTTGGTCACTTGGATTTCCTACACGCAAGGGACTGAACTTGTTTACAGGTTGGTGAGCGAGGTGTGCAACTTTCTGGCGGAGAAAAACAAAGGGTGGCACTGGCAAGAGCGATGCTCAAGAATCCAAAAATACTTCTTCTGGATGAGGCTACAAGTGCACTGGATACAGGTTCGCAGCAGCTGGTTCAGGATGCGCTTGATCGATTTAGAGTCGGCCGAACAACGGTGGTGATCGCTCACCAGCTTTCAACTATCAGGCATGCAAATAGTATCGCGGTTGTTCATCACGGAAGAATCGTTGAAATGGGAACGCATGAAGAGCTATTAGCTAAAGGGGAGAAAGGTGCTTATGCCGCGCTCTCAAAGCTGCAGGATACTGGTCTGTTCCTAGTTCAAATGGCCGAAAACATGGCTACTATTGCTACGAGAAACTCTGGGTAAGGACGTCCGTATTCAGTTTTTCAAAAAGGACTTGGTTTGTATGCAGACTATCGGACGAGTTTTCTTCCGAAGAAAGCTGTTTTGACCTGGACCTTAGCGCAAATCAGGCTGTTGAAGAACCGGAAGGGCCACGTCCGCCCAGACCCTCGATCTGGAGGCTAATGCAACTCAACAAACCGGAATGGCCATATGCTTTACTCGGTACTATTGGAGCAATCATATCAGGATGCGAGTTTCCGTTGTTTGCCTTGGCCATCACGCAAGTTTTGATTACGTTCTACAGTCCTGACAAGGAATTCCTCAAGAAAGAAGTCAGCAAGTTCTCGCTCATATTAACCGGCTCCACCATCTGTGTTGTTTTCAGCCACATGCTCCAGCACTATTCGTTTGGAGCCATGGGTGAAAGTCTGACGAAGCGAGTGCGAGAAATGATGTTCCTAGGTACTTAAAACTCACTCTCATCTATGGCTGGTAATGGAAGGTAAGATTGAGTTTAACAGTGCATTTTATTCATTCTCTTGTCACAGTGGACTAACTTTTGACATTTCAGGTATTCTCAACAATGAAATATCCTGGTTTGACGAGGAAGATAACAGATGTGGACTAGTAGCTTCTCGCCTGGCATCTGATGCGACAATGGTCCGAGTCGTTATCGCTGACCGCATGTCCACTATTGTTCAAAATCTCGCCTTGATGTTCGTGGCTTTCTTCATTGCATACGTTCTGGAATGGCGCGTGGCTGTTGTCATTACAGCGACGTTCCCACTGTTGCTCATAGCGTTGGTTGGCGAGGTACGAAGCTCCTGAATTTTGACGCATAGCTATGTATCTATATTCACACGTATCTCTTGACTTACAGCAAATGTTTTTAAAAGGCTTCAGTGGAGACCTCTCAAAAGCATACTCGAGAGCCAGTACGGTGGCGAGCGAGGCCGTCGGAAACATTCGCACAGTTGCTGCCTTTTGCTCCGAAAAGAAAGTCATCGATTCTTTCGTTCGAGAGCTCCAGGTACCGAAGCGGAAGGTCTTCCTCAGAGGTCATGTAGCGGGTGTTTGCTACGGCATCTCTCAGTTCTTCCTTTACACCTCGTACGCGCTGGGATTGTGGTACAGCTCCGTGCTGATCAAGAAAGGCGTGACAGGTTTTGCGAACGCCATCAAGACGTTCATGGTAATTATAATCACTGCATTCGGGGTTGCCGAGACTCTGGCCACAGCTCCAGATTTGATCAAAGGCAGCCAGGCATTATACGCAGTTTTCGAGATCATGGATCGTAAGGGCCAGATAAATCCAAACGCGCGAGCCATGGAGATCGGCAACGTGAAAGGCGACGTAGACTTTAGGCACGTCGAGTTCAGCTATCCAGCCCGCAAAGACGTGGTTATTTTCCGCGACTTGAGCTTGAGGATCAGAGCCGGAAAGAGTTTGGCCTTGGTTGGAGCTAGCGGCTCAGGCAAGAGCTCCGTGGTGTCTCTCATCCAGAGGTTTTACGACCCGGTATCCGGCTACATCATGATAGACGGCAAGAACATCAGGAGCCTCAACCTTCAGTCTCTTCGCAGGCACATCGGCTTAGTCCAGCAGGAGCCGGCTCTCTTTTCATGCAGCATTTACGAGAACATCCTCTATGGCAAAGAGGGAGCCTCCGAGGCCGAGATCGTGCAGGCAGCAAAGACGGCCAATGCTCACGGCTTTATCAGCAGCTTACCAAACGGCTACCAGACGCAAGTCGGCGAGCGAGGCGTCCAGCTCTCGGGTGGCCAGAAGCAGCGAGTCGCCATTGCTCGAGCGGTTCTCAAGTGTCCCGCGATCCTCCTCCTGGACGAGGCGACGAGTGCGCTGGATGCACACTCCGAGAAGCAGGTCCAGGAGGCGCTGGACCGAGTGATGCGAGGCAGGACGACGCTCATCGTCGCGCACCGATTCTCGGCCATCCGGAACGCGGACATCATCGCGGTCGTGCAGGACGGCACGGTGGTGGAACAAGGCAGCCCCAAGGAGCTCCTCAGCAACAGGAACAGTGCTTACTTCCAGCTCGTCAAACTCCATGCCCGCCACCGCACGAGCAAGCTGGAAATCTTGTAAATCAAAACTCTGGTACGTCCCCTCGCTCTCTTTCTCTCTTTTTCTAACGCTACTTTTGTAGCACCTCGTCGTTCACATTGGCTTGCATTTCATTTTGATATGAAGAGGAGAATCATCGCGAATCAATCAGACAAAGCCGAAAGAAGGTATGGAGTTTTTGCTCCTCATCTATCTCAGAGAAGTTGGATTCTTACGAACGAAACTACGCAGAGTTTGGAGAGCATTCTATCAAAGTTTTTAACTTCTTTTGGGCAAAACGAAAGCTTGTGCTCCTATTTTAGAAGGTATGTCTTTGCGATTTTCATGTTTTGAGGAGCCGGAAGTTTGTCTACTGAGCTTGAGACATCTGGCCTCACCGGATTCCAACTTCCAAGCTCGCGCAAACTCCCTGTGACCCGCTACTCGTGTTTCTCGCGCGGCCCATCCAACTCTCCAGCTATATAAGACCGACGCGACGAGCCGGAGCTTCTATCCATCGAAAGCCCATCCGCACAGAAGAAGCTCCTCCACAGCTCTTTCCAGAGTTCTAAACCATGGAGAAATCCATGGCCGCGACGTGCATCGCGCTCCTTCTGCTGGCCACCATCGCCCTCTACTGCGACGCCGCCGGCCCCCCGGCCCCCGCCAGTGACACTCTCTTCACCAACAAGCAGCTCCGCTCCAACGAGGAGCTGCGATCCAACAACAGCTTCTTCGTCTTCAAGGTCCAGAGCGATTGCAACATGGTGCTGACGCGGGTCTCGGATTCCAGCGTGCTGTGGTCGTCCGGGACGGGCGGAAAGGCGGCCGGGTGCTGGGTGACGATGCAAGGCGATGGGAATTTGGTGCTCTACTCCAACCAGAACAACGCCGTGTGGATGAGCAAGACGGCGCGCAAGGAGGATCTCTACACGCTGATGGTGCAGGACGATGGGAATGCCGTGATCTACACCGCCTCCCACGTCGCGATTTGGTCCACCAGTTACGATTGATTGATCTGATTGAGTCGATGGTTGCTTCTTTTCTACTGAAATAAACTATATGCCAATTTGTTCCATGATCTTTCAATATCTTTCTTGCTTTGCTTTGCTTCTTTCCTAATGAAATAAACTACCGTAAAAGATATTTCTTGTGATCATGTAAAAAGATAAGATCCCAACTTTGTATGAACTTTACCACACCAAAAGCCTGAAATACAAGAATGTTGACAAAAAGAGTCTTATTTCCAAACGCTCCCCGCGATGGGAGGTTTGGGGACAGAGATGTGTTTCTCCGGAACAGGGAGATCGAGATGCATGGCAAGAATGGAGATTTGGCTGCGGCAGTAGAGGTCTTTGAAGCTCTAGCTTCTCGGAGGGATGTTTACTCGTGGGTGTTTATGCTGGTTGCGTTTACTCGGAACTGCCGGTTGATGCAGGCAAGCCGTTGTTTTGAATCCATGCCTCAAAAGAATCTTGTTGCGTGGAATGTGATGTTGTCAGCATATGCCAAAACGGGGCATCTGCTGCAAGCGCAAGCGCTCTTTTGCGAGATGCCTTTCTGGGATTTGGTGTCTTGGGATTCAATGCTTTTGGCGTTTTGTCGTGCGGGTTTGCTAGATGGTGCGAGAGGATTTTTTGCGAGAATGCCAGAGTGGGACTGCGTTGCGTGGAATCTGTTGCTGAATGCGTATGCCCAACTTGGGCATATAGGTGAAGCTGCATTTTTCTTCAGTGGTATGCCGGAACGAAGCTTGGTTTCGTGCACGGCAATGGTTCATGCTTATGTCCAAAACGGGGACTTAGAAAGTTCCAAGTTTGCGTTTGATTCCTCTCGTGAACACGACCTTGTGTTGTGCTCTACAATGATCTCGGCGTTGTCTTCCAAAGGAGACCTAGCAGGAGCAAAAGGGGTGTTTGACTCCATGAAAGAGAGGGATGTGGTCGCATATACCGCACTGCTTACGGCATATTCGCATTCTGGGGATCTCCTCAAGGCCCAGGAGACCTTTGACGCCATGAAAGAGCACAATGTAGCTGCATGGAATGCCTTGCTTGCGGCATATGCCCGGAACGGGAATCTTCCGGGAGCCAGAAGAATCTTCGACAAGATGCCCCACAGGGATCTCCAGTCCTGGGTGTCTATGCTTTCGTTTTACTCTCAAGCCGGTGAGATAGAAAACGCAAAGCTCGTGTTTGATTCCATGCAAAGCTGGGACCAAATCTCCTGCAACTCGATGCTCGCGGCATATGCCAAGTATGGGGATATTCGAGATGCCGAGAATCTCTACTGCTCGATTCCCACCCACGATACCGCCACCTTGAACTCCATGCTCGCGGCCTACTTGCACAGGGGCTGCTTCCCAGAGGTCAAGAGGCTCTTTAACACCGCCCAAGAGAGGAATCTTATCACCTGGAACATAGCTCTGGGGGCATATTCCAGCACTGGGAATCTTGCCCGGGCCGGGACCATTTTCAGTCGCATGCCGTACCACGACATGGCCGCGTGGAATGCCATGGTGGCGGCATATGCACGGAACGGTCCGTACAAGAAAATGCTTGAATTCTTCCATTTGTTGAACCTGATGGGTGAAGTTCCAGGCGAGCTCGTGTTTGCCCTCTTGTTTCTGGCATCAAGTCATGCAGGAGCAATCATTGATCAATCAGGATGGAGCACTCTTTTGGGAGATTTCGGTGTCAATCTAACCAAGCAGCATTTCTCGTGTGTGATTGATCTTCTTGGGCGATGTGGATACTCAAAAGATGCCAGGGATCTGGTTGCAAATATGCCATATGAGCCTGAGGTGTTGGATCAAGCTTGTTTGATCAGTAGCTCACCTCACTTAAAAGTATAAAGTATTATTTCTTATAGCTATAAAATTTTGTAATTTTATATAGTGAGTGCATGGAAATTAGACCTCGCAATATTAATATTTTATATTAAATTATCATTTAATTTGTAAAGAATCCAACAGTGTAATAGCACCAAAATCTCAACAGCATATTATGCCATGCCCACACCAGCTACCAAAAATTAGATGTCAAGCTCTACCAGAAATTTAGTATTTGCTTAAATAAATAATTATAGCTACTCATTTTTAAACGCAGTTTAAAAATATGATAAAAATTAGAGTAACTAAATTTTAACCTAATAATTCTCTGAAATGGGAAATTAAAGACTGGAAAAGGAAATATATGCTAGAATAAGGGGGTTTAAAGTTACATGCGGAGGGCCATGTTTTAGGGCTTAGGGTGCCCAAAGATTTCTTCCTTCTTCTTGATCGCGGACGTGGATCGATCGCGAGCTCTTCCAGCGATGGCAAGGGATCATCACCACCAGCAGCACGGGCAGCAGCAGCTCGAGGTCCTCTCGGCGCTGGACAAGGCCAAGACGCAATGGTACCACTTCACCGCCATCGTGATCGCGGGCATGGGCTTCTTCACGGATGCTTACGATCTCTTTTGCATCTCCACCGTCACCAAGCTCCTGGGGAGGATCTACTACTACGATCCAGCTTCTGGCAAGCCCGGATCGCTCCCCCCAAACGTCTCGGCGGCCGTGAATGGAGTGGCGCTGTGCGGGACGCTCGCCGGGCAGCTCTTCTTCGGCTGGCTGGGCGATCGATTCGGGCGCAAGAAGGTCTATGGCATGACGCTCATGCTCATGGTCATGGCCTCGGTAGCCTCGGGGCTCTCTTTCGGCCACACTGCCAAGAGCGTGATGACCACGCTGTGCTTCTTTCGATTCTGGCTTGGATTTGGCATCGGTGGCGACTATCCTCTCTCGGCCACGATCATGTCCGAGTATGCCAACACCAAGACTCGCGGAGGATTCATCGCGGCGGTGTTTGCCATGCAAGGATTCGGGATCCTCGCCGGTGGCGCGGTGGCGATCTTCGTGGCGCTGGGATTCAAGACGGCGTATCCTCGCGAAGCGTTTGAGCTCGATCCGGCTGGATCCACTCCACCAGAGGCGGACTTCGTGTGGAGGATCATCTTCATGCTTGGAGCTCTCCCGGCGGCGCTCACGTACTACTGGCGGATGAAGATGCCCGAGACCGCGCGCTACACCGCGCTGGTGGAGGGGAACCTCAAGCAGGCGACGCAGGACATGAGCAAAGTTCTCGCGGTGGAGATCACGGAGGAGAACTCCGCCGCCAAGGCCGCCGCGATCCAGAGCCAGCACAAGAACAAGTACACGCTCTTCTCGGCGGAGTTTCTTCGCCGCCATGGCTTGCATCTCCTCGGCACCACCTCCACTTGGTTCCTCCTCGACGTCGCCTTCTACAGCCAGAACCTCTTCCAAAAGGACGTTTTCACCGCGGTGGGATGGCTCCCAAGCGCCAAGAAGATGAGCGCGCTGGACGAAGTCTACCGGATCTCGCGAGCGCAGTGCCTGATCGCGCTGTGCTCCACGGTGCCGGGTTACTGGTTCACGGTGTTCCTCATCGACCGGATCGGGCGATTCACCATCCAGCTCATGGGCTTCTTCTTCATGACGGCTTTCATGCTCGGGCTGGCCATCCCTTACAACGCTCTCCGCGATGGCAGCCATATGACGTTCATCGTGCTCTACTCGCTTACGTTCTTCTTCGCCAACTTTGGGCCGAATTCCACCACCTTCATCGTCCCCGCGGAGGTGTTCCCGGCGCGGTTTCGATCGACTTGTCACGGGATCTCGGCGGCGGCTGGGAAGGCCGGGGCGATTGTTGGAGCTTTCGGGTTCCTCTATGCCGCGCAGAGCCCGGACAGGGAGAAGACCGATGCCGGGTACCCGACTGGAGTGGGGATCCGGACGGCGCTGCTCATGCTCGCGGTTTGCAATGGTCTGGGCTTCTTCTTCACGCTGCTTGTTCCGGAGACTAAAGGGCGGTCGCTGGAGGAGATCTCTGGCGAGAATGGTGGCGAGGGTGGTGATCATCCCAGGCCGATCCTGCCAGTGTAAGTCCCCCCTTTTTCGTTTTCGCTTTTTTGAAAGATCTGGAGCTCTCTCCCCTTCTCGGTTCTAGTTTCGGCCTCTCTCGGGCGAGAGTTTGAGCTCTTGCTCTTCGTTTCGAATAAAAAAGAAAAGACAAAAGAAAAGTATTCTAGTTCGAAGGTTTCTTCCAGAGTGTCTCTTTCTTCCAAGTTCTTCCCAGTTTCTTACAAGTGTTTTTACTCTTTCTTCCAATATTCTTACTCTCAAAGTTCTTCCAAGTGTCTTACACTTGCTTCCAAGTTGTCTTACTTCCAAGTTATTCCAATTCAAGACAACCTCAACATAACTAACAAAGCTCCACTATGTCCATTCTCCTTACGTGATTCTTACGAAATATGACAAGATTATTATCCTGTAGCTCTTGACAAAACTTTAGCTTCGAATAGTGTGATCATCATATTTTCGAGCACCACAAACCTTGTGCCGCACACATCTTTTACTCGTCGTTTTTCTATTCGCTCTATGATTTAAAAAGAGGATCCATTAGCCTCAACTTTTCATCACAGTTGTCTAGAACGCACGATGTTGTTGACTTTACCTTTTATTAGTGTATAATAATATTTTATAATCAAATGAGACGCGGCGAGGCGCCAGGAAAATATTACACGAATAAATTAAAGTAAAAAGGTGGCGATAAAGAGAATAATCTTATAGAAGATATGACAACTTTTAGCCTAGTGGCTCACGGAAATTGCAAGGTTCTCAAATTATAAATGTCAACATTGACGTGATCATCATATCCTCAAGCACCGCTTGCACCAAACTTGTCATGGAGAAGATATTTTTTGCCCCCATTCTTGATTTCTTTAATGTTTTCTATGATTCTTTAGCAGGATTCACTTCCACTTGATTACAACTTTTCATCGCAGTTTTCTAGAATGCACGACCAAACTTTAATTATCTTCTATTTCACTGTAGATGACAATATACAATATAATATAATATAATGACAATTTATCGATACGAAATCTAATATTCTTTCACTATAGGTGACAATATAATGATAAGGTTTAGCATGAAAAATCAAATGTTCTCTCTTGTGGTAAGAGCATGCTTATTGACAAGAAACACTGAAGATATACAAGTATATATGTGCTCAACTTGGCTTGTAAGAAAAACTTCCTTCCTCGCTTGCTTCTCTCAGCGATGATCATGAACTTAGACTTGCTGGATCGATGGAGGAGTAGTCGCGGGGGCAGCAACCATCTCCTCCTCGTTCTCCCCGGACAAGTCCTCGAGCGATCGCCCCTTGGTCTCTGGAACCAAGAACGTAAAGATGAGCCCGAGAGCGTTGCATCCTCCGAGCAACAGCAAAGCCGTCCTGATCCCCACTCCCGGCGGATACCCGGCCTCGGTATCGGCCTTGTGAGTGCTCTGCGACGCGTAGAGGAACCCGAAAGATCCAACGATGGCTCCGGCCTTTCCAGCCGCGGCCGAGATCCCGTGACAAGTCGATCGCAGCCGGGCCGGGAAGAGCTCCGCGGGGACGATGAAAGTGGTGGCGTTTGGCCCGAAGTTTGCGAAGAAGAAGGTGAGCGAGTAGAGCACGATGAACGTCATATGGTGGCCGCCGCAGTAGCCATCCGGGCACTTGTCCCCGCGGAGATTGTTGTAAGGGATGGCGAGCGCGAACATGAACACCGTCATGAAGAAGAAGCCCATGAGTTGGATGGTGAAGCGTCCCATCCTGTCGATGAGAGCCACCGTGAACCAGTACCCGGGAACCGTGGAGCACAGCGCGATCAGTGTCTGCGCTCGCGAGATCTTGTAGACTTCGTCCAGCGCGCTCATCGTCTTGCCGTTCTTGAGCCATCCCACCGCGGTGAAAACGTCCTTCTGGAAGAGGTTCTGGCTGTAGAAGGCGATGTCGAGGAAGAACCATGTCGTCGTGGTTCCCAGGAGCTGGAGGCCATGTCGCCTCGCAAACGCTCGCGTGAAGAGGCCATACTTGTTGGTGGCGCCTTGGATCTTGGCAGCCTCGGCCCCGACTTCCACCTCGAGAACTTTGCTCATGTCCTTAGCAGCCTGCTTGAGGTTCCCTTCCACCAGCGCGGTGTAGCGAGCGGTCTCGGGCATCTTCATCCGCGAGTAAAACGTCGCGGCGGCGGGGAGAGCCCCGAACATGAAGATGAGCCGCCACACGTAGTCCGCCTCGGGTGGCGTCGACGCTACCGGATTCACGGAGAAGATTGGCGCCGGGAAGGCCTTTCGAAAAGCCGCGGCGACGATGAGTGACACTGTTCCACCCGCGAGAATGCCCAGTCCTTGCATGGCAAACACCGCCGCGATGAAAGATCCCCGGGTCTTGGTGTTGGCATACTCGGACATGATCGTGGCTGAGAGAGGATAGTCGCCACCGATGCCAAATCCAAGCCAGAACCGGAAGAAGCACAGCGTGGTCATCACCGACTTGGCAGTGTGGCCGAAGGAGAGCCCCGAGGCGATCGAGCAGATGACCATGAGCAGCAGCGTGATCCCATAGACTTTCTTTCGTCCCATCTTGTCACCGAGCCAGCCGAAGAAGAGCTGGCCGGCGAGCGTCCCGCAGAAGGCCACACCGTTCACGGCCGCCGCTACGTTTGGAGGGAGCGATCCGGGCTTCCCAGAGGCTGGATTGAAGTAGTAGATCCTTCCGAGGAGCTTGGTGACGGTGGAGATGCAAAAGAGATCGTAGGCGTCGGTGAAGAAGCCCATCCCCGCGATGAGAATGGCCGTGAAGTGGTACCACTGCGTCTTTGCCTTGTCCAAGGCGGACAGCACCTCGAGCGCCATCGCGTGATCCTTCTCTCCTCCAAGAGATTTGGATGATCCTAGCGCTCGATAACACGAGCTTTCGCGATCGATTCCCTGTCCAAAGCAAGCAACAGTGAGATTTCTCTAAGAGAATCATCTCTCTCGGCTTGATCCAAAGCATGCGAATATGGTGAGAAGGACGGGGATGGAATGCATGCTCGCCAGGAATGCCAAGAAAGCTTTGCTCGAATAGAAAATTCCAAAGAAACCAGGCTCAAACAATGAACAAGGCAGCAAATCCTCGCGCAGGAGCCACGCACGGCATCCGTGAGGGAATGTGGATGAAAGAAACTTGCCTGGATCGATCGATCGCTCGATCTTTGGAGCGCGTCACTGCTAGAACCCTAATCCCGCCCACACTTTTAAAGTCGCAGTCCCGGCCGTCAAACTCACAGAAGAGACGTACATTCCCTCTAAAATGCGAATATTCGAGGAGTTGACCCGCAAAATATTACGCTTGAGCTGTCCGTATCAAGGCCGTTGGATTTGCACGTTACCAACTGGCGCGAAAATCCAGCGAACGGATATTTGCACTTTTAGGGCTCTTCAATTTCTAGGGTTCTTCGCGAAGAGAGGGAAGGAGGATGAGGGAGATCGTGCACATCCAGGCTGGGCAATGCGGGAACCAGATCGGTGCCAAGTTCTGGGAGGTGGCCTGCGACGAGCACGGCATCGATCCGACGGGGACGTATCACGGCGACTCGGATTTGCAGCTCGAGCGGATTAATGTGTATTTCACCGAGGCGACGGGCGGGAGGTATGTTCCCAGGGCGATTCTCATGGATCTGGAGCCAGGGACGATGGATAGCGTGAGATCGGGGCCCTATGGTCAGATATTTCGGCCGGATAATTTCGTGTTTGGCCAGACCGGGGCCGGGAACAATTGGGCAAAGGGACACTACACGGAAGGCGCGGAATTGATCGATTCTGTGCTGGATGTGGTGAGAAAGGAGGCGGAGGCTTGCGATTGTATGCAAGGTATGGAGTAGAGGACGATAAAAAAGAGGCTTTTGGTTCGTTCCGAGTTCTTCATCGGCTAGTCGGGCAACACAGCATGAATGGTTTCAAGTCAGAATCACAGGTGGAACTTCCTTTCCCTGCTAAAGAATTTCTTCGTTCTTCTTCCCTTGTCAATCTCTTCTAAACGTTTCTCTAACTCTGTGATTTTTTTCTCCAGGCTTTCAAATCTCTCACTCGCTGGGAGGTGGCACGGGTTCTGGGATGGGAACTCTTCTCATATCAAAGATTCGAGAGGAGTACCCTGACAAAATGATGCTCACGTTCTCGGTGTTTCCGTCGCCGAAGGTGTCGGATACGGTGGTGGAGCCTTACAACGCAACGCTCTCCGTCCATCAGCTAGTGGAGAATGCCGACGAGTGCATGGTGTTGGACAACGAGGCTCTCTACGACATTTGTTTCAGAACGCTCAAGCTCGTAACACCGACATGTAAGACTATTTCTTTCTTGTCCCTTGGACTATTTCTTGCTTGTCTCTTTTCTAAACTTTTTTTTTCAATTCCAGTTGGCGATTTGAATCACCTCATCTCGGCAACAATCAGCGGCATAACTTGCTGCCTCAGATTCCCTGGCCAACTAAACTCCGATCTACGCAAACTGGCCGTCAATCTCGTCCCATTCCCGCGGCTCACGTTCTTCATGGTCGGGTTCGCTCCACTCACATCAAGAGGCTCGCAACTCTACCGGGCACTCACGGTCCCGGAGCTGACGCAGCAGATGTTCGACGCCAAAAACATGATGTGCGCGGCCGATCCCCGCCATGGCAAGTACCTCACAGCCTCAGCAATGTACAGAGGCCGGATGAGCACCAAGGAGGTGGACGCGCAGCTCCTCAACGTCCAGACGAAGAACTCCTCCTACTTCGTGGAGTGGATCCCAAACAACGTCAAGACGACCGTGTGTGACATCCCGCCCAAGGGGATGAAGATGGCGTCGACGTTCATCGGAAACTCGACTGCGATCCAGGAGATGTTCAAGCGTGTTGGGGACCAGTTCACGGTGATGTTCCGGAGGAAAGCGTTCCTCCACTGGTACACCGGCGAGGGGATGGACGAGCTGGAATTCACCGAGGCCGAGAGCAACATGAACGATCTGGTGTCCGAGTACCAGCAGTATCAAGACGCGAGACCCGACGATGAGGGCGACTATGGGGAGGAAGAGGAGCAAGAGGGCGAGTACTCGCAAATGTCGTAGAACAGAGATTACTTTGTGTGTTTCGATTGGGGTCGCGCAAGCGACCATCTTCGAGTAAACCCAATGAAATCCTTTGCTCCCAGAAATTTGGAATTTTTAAAGCCGAATATTCTGGTTTTGGCGGGTGATTTGAAAGCGGCATATTCTGTTTTGGTGCTCTTAGGGCTCTTGAGCTTAAAAGCCCTAAAGTTTTTGAGTGTGGGAAAAGAAACGATGGAGGGAGATCCCGCGAGCGCGCCCAGGGTAAAGGAGCTCCTCCACGATCTGGTGAGCATCTGCCGCTCCTCTTCCGATGCTGCGTCGGTGCCGCTGCTCACGGATCACGTAATCTCGGATTCCGGCGAGCTCTTGCCGTCTCTCCAGAAGCTCTCGGGGCAGATTGTGCCGATGGTAAGCTACATTGTGGGTTTTGTGCTTAGTTCCTTGGTTTTCCTTTTTCCCGCGCAGATCCAGCTCTATCAGGAGAAGAGGCAGCTCCTTGCAGCCTCTCCATTTCCTCAAAAACTTATAGAGAAAATCGAGCAACTCAAGGACGGCGGGTATGGGAAGCTACATTGTTGCTATTTTCGTTTTGTTCTCCTTTCATACTTCCTTTCCTGGCGATTGTTGGTTTTTTTTGTTTTGTTCTCATTTCATTCTTTCTTTCCTGGCGTTTAAGCGGTATTTTTCTCTTTTGTTTGTGTTTCTTCAGGGCTCATGGACTTGATCGTTACCTCTGGCTGGTGAGCCAAATTCTGGCCGACCCCGACTTGAAGAAACTGGTATCGTTGGATCGTGCTACTGGGGAAAGACACAGGCCTTCTCTTGGAGACTTTGAGGTGACTCTCTCTCTCTCTCGATTCTGGAGAAAGAACTTAACCGTCCTATTCTCTCTCTCTCTCTCTCTCTCTCTCTCGATTCTGGAAAAAGAACTTAATCGTCCTATTGCACGTGTTAGTCGCCAGCACCGACTCTACCAAGTGTGGAACAACGTATAACACGCAGCGGCAGAGAAAACCGGGATGCCTCAGTTACTGCAAATGGAGTTGCGAAGAGTCTTAAGAATCTTTCCATTCCTGAATCAACACAAAATCAGCCAACAAAGCCATTGAGTAAGTGGTTTATCTCTTCTTGTTTCGCTCATTTAATCATTTATTGAACAGAACATGTGAAAAAAGCAAAGCCTCTGATCGAGGGAGTGTCGTTCCCCGCGACTCCACGCTGGAACATAGACAGGCCATATCTGACTGGTCAGTTTGTTTACGAGGTAAGCATGCTGTTAATTCTCAAAGACATGCTTAATAGGCTTCTTTTCTCTTGCAGGAGGAAGTTGTAGAGTATTCCAAAAGCCTGATCAAAGGTATCATCACGGAACGAGATGCTTTAAGGTTTGTTTGGTGATCAATGACTAACATGTATATAAAGTCTGATTTTATTTGTAGCAACGATGGTGACCGGGCTATAGGCCTATTTGCACCTTCTGTGCAGGTACACTGTCTTCTTTTTAAACTAACGAGAACTAACGAGGCTTTCAGGAGCTACTTGTGATTGATGATCTGCTCTTTGCAATGGTTGGCATCGAGGGAAAGAGTATTCGCATTACAAGAGAAAAATCAAGAGACAAGGCTCTAACGTTTCAAGTTGATCCCTCAATGGACTTGTCAATACAGGTGTTTGTTTGTATGTAGTCCTTTACACTAAATCTCTTTTTCTTTTCTGTATTCAGGAGCTGACAAAGAGAGTTTTACCTCTCTGTGAGAACTACATGGTAGTCAGCCAATTCAACGAATCAAGGCTGCAATTTAAATACGGGCTGGTGAATCACGCGTTTGCTGCAGCTTTGAGAGCAATCTTGCAGGTTTTGGATGATAGCTTATATTGCTTATGTTTGAGCTTTTGTACAGGACTATCACGCCATGGTAGCACAATTGGAGCACCAGTTTAGACTCGCCAGACTTTCGCTTCAAGGTTTATGGTTCTTTTGCCAGGTAATATATTCTTTTGTCTTTGCGTTTGATGGGCCGTAAACTTTTTTAATAGCCTATGATGGGCGCAATGCAAGCTTTGGCCGTCGTTGTTAGAAAGGCATTTTTTAAGAGCCTTTCAGGAGCTGCCGTATTAAATCTGCTTCAAGGCCAGGTACTTGCTATGAGCTTGGCTGAAAATCTTCCTGATATGTCTGTATTCACAGGCAGCCGCGATTGCTGGAGATAATGCTGCCAGAACATTGCTGCAGAAACTCACTCAAGCTGCAAGTGCCCCGTATTTTGGAATATTGGAGAGGTAAGTGATACCGGTTTTTTAGGCCTGTATGTGATAGCTTTTCTAGGTGGATACACGAGGGAGTCATTGACGATCCTTATGGAGAATTTTTTATCGACGAGAACAAGGCGCTGCAGAAGGTTGTTCCATGTTGTACTGGTCAAGCACGCGTTTCCAACAATATCGTTGCAGGAAAGCCTTAGCCACGACTTCAATGCCACGTACTGGCAACAGCGATACAGCTTGAAAAATGACGTTCCTGGTTTTCTTGCGTCCGCGGCTGAAAATATATTGACGACGGGCAAGTACCTTGATGCGATTCGGGAATGCGGTCAAAATGTTCGGGTATGGACCTTGTAATCAAGATGGATTCGACGTTGTTTAATGCAGATACCTTTCTCTGAGGATGCTAAACTCACGAACTCTGGATCGAAGCGGCATTACCTAGATAAAATAAACGTTGCATACAATTTCGCGAGTGCTGAGCTCTTGAGTTTGATTGTGCGAAAGGTGAGTTTTCAGCGCAGGAAAATTATGGACTATAACCTGTCTCTGTGTTCTATGCAGTTTGATCTCATGGGAAGGCTGCGGTCAGTGAAGCATTACTTTCTTTTGGATCAGGTAGCTCTTTAGTTTTTGCGATCAATATGCACGTTCCTGACCTCCTGACCTTGCAGGGTGATTTCCTTGTCCACTTTATGGATATTGCAAAAGAGGAGCTTGCAAAACGACCTGTTGCGCTGTCGTTGGAAAAACTGCAGGTTTGTTCTTTTTATCTCGAAGATCTCATTTCAGCTTCTTGTTCTGCAGTCACTTTTGGAGCTTGCACTGAGAACCTCCGTTGCTGCGAGCGATCCGTACCATGAGGATCTTACGTGCAGTCTGGTGTGACGAATTCTACGTCTTTGCAAGTCCTGTCTAATCTATCTTTCCAGGAAAGATCGTCGTTGATGGTGCAGTTACAAAGTTTTATGAAGAACGGAATTTTGAAGATCGATTCTCCTTTAGAATCCAACTCAGAGCCTGGCAGCATGACTGGTTTGGAGACCTTCACTCTTGACTATAAGGTACAACGTATAATAAGTTTCCTTTGTCACTAAAGCCGTGCCACGTCTGTAGACGCGGTGGCCCTTATCCCTCGTGATTTCAAGGAAGGCTCTCACAAAGTACCAGCTAATTTTTCGTCATCTCTTTCATTGTAAACATGTAGAAAGGCAACTCTCTGGCACCTGGCAAGCCCATCAGGTATGACAAGTATTAAGCAACAATTCGTATTGTTAACCTTCGTTTGCAGGCGACTCGTGGCCTTGACTTTGTTGGACATTCAATATCAAGATCGTACGTACTTTGCCAACAAATGCTGCATTTTATGCAGAGCTTCGAACATTATATGACATTCGAGGTTTCAATCGTAAGCTTTCTGTGTGGAATCTTAGTCCTTTTGCAGGTGCTAGAGCCCAACTGGCATATCATGGACACTAAACTCCAGAGTGCTAAGAGTATTGACGAGGTTCGCCGTTTCCTTTCCTCTGATTATTTTACACATACCCACTGCTTTCAGGTCATTCAACTACACGACTTTTTTCTGGACAAGTGTTTGAAAGAGTGCATTTTGTTATGGCCTCACATATTGAAGGTTCTTAGTTTTATCAAAGTTTTTCATTGTGCTTATCTAAACGTTCGATTTTTTCAGAGCGTGGAAAAGCTGAAATCCCTCTGCCTGCAGTATGCAACAGCAATACAATGGCTGATCCCATCACTCTACACGCTCGAATCTCCAGCAGAGATAAAAAAGACAAAGCGTTGTCGAGGGCAGCGCTTGCGAATGGTGAAAGACGGCGAGGATGCGAACTTCAAGAACACAATCGGGTATGCGTGCCTTTCCTTCTCATTGAGAATTCTAACGTTCGAACTTCCAGGCAAATGGAAAACGATTTTCGGAAAGAAATGAAAGAGCTGCTAAGTCTTCTAAGTAGCAGCTCACAAACCGAGCCATACTTGGCACACTTGGCTCAAGGCCTCCAGGGACAGCACTAGAAGTAAGTCCACTCTTCCTGCCATGCAAGCTTTATTAATTGGTTTTTTCTTCTCTAAGGGTCGTGAGTTCGACACCCATGACGAAAAACTGGATTTCTCCTTGGGCTGCGACGATCCAAGACCTAGCGAGGAAGGCTATGGAGTCCGAGGTAGCTGGCAACACCCCCATCACGCATTTGGCATCCATCAGCGAGGCGCTGAGCCAAGGTTTGCAAAATCTATGCCGGATAGACGAGGACAGACGTGGAGAGGTAGAGCAAAGGGCAGCATCATCTCTGGACAGCGAAGTGTGGTGCAATCTTCCAGAGCATCTCGTCGACACCGTCTTGGCATGGCTGCCACCCGCCAGCCTTTTCCGGCTCAGGACAGTTTGCAAGAGGTGGAACAGTGTGGTTTCGAGCAGGGCCTTCCTCGACACTTGCTCCAAGATAAAGTCCCGGCTTCCATACTTCCTTATGTTCGCCGACCACTTCCACCGCAGAGTAGCCGCCGTCTACGACGTGAGCGTCTCGAGCTGGCACTTGCTACCGTTCTCCTCCTTCATGCACTGCCGGTTCCCGGAGTCGTTTCTAGTTCTAGCAGCAGCCGGGGGGCTGCTGTGCTTGGAAGGCACGGGGTCGCAAAGCGGAACTATGTTCGTCTCCAATCCCATCACTCGGGTCTACAAGAAGCTCCCACGGATGATCGCGATGAAGTCGCCTTACGTGGTCGGGATGGTGGTGGACGACGAGATGAAGTCGTATAAGATCTTGGTAGCACAGGACGGGGAAACGCTAGCGTCGCAAGTCTACGATTCCTCGACCAACAGGTGGAGCTTAACAGGAGTTTACCACCGGAGGACCGCCATCCTCGCCGGTGCTACGTTCTACAACGGGCTGCTCTTCTGCTTGACGTTCTCGCCAAACGGACTGCTCGCGTTTGATCTGGAGAGGGGGCAGTGGCTAGAGGTGAAGCTGGCGCTGCCACCATCGCTCAGCTGTCCGAACCTCATGACTCACCAGGACAGGCTGCTACTCATCGGCGGGATCGAAGAGCTCGGCAGCCTCCAGAGCGTCCACGTCTGGCAGCTCCATCCGACCAAGCCCGAGTGGATGGACGTGGAGAGAGTCCCGGACGAGCTGTTCAAGAGGCTGTTCACGTCCTCGTCGGGGCACTTCATCTGCGTCGGGCAGGGGGACTTTATCTGCCTGCACGAGTACTACTCGCCGGAGATACTCATGTATGACATCGTCAGGAGTTCGTGGCAGTGGCTACCGGGGTGCTCGCTCAATGACAACATCGAGGCTAGATCGGTGCTGGGCTTCGCGTTCCAGCCCCGGATCGAAGCAGTGCCTTGAGACAAAGCTTGGGATTCTACGATCCTTGGAAGTGGAGGAGTGAGAAGAAGTTTTTGGGAGAACAACGAAGTAGTGAAGGTGGAAGAAGTTTTGGAGGCGCTGATGGTGGAAGAAAGTTTTTTTGGAGGCAACGTTTTGTGGCAAAGGTTTTTCTTTGGTCTTTTTCTAATGGTCAAGAGAATATTCGAAAGTTTGAAAGTTTACATAAGAGTGTATATTTATTCTAACTTGTTTGCGAGCTGCGTGTCAAGCGTCATATGTCGGTGTTTGTATTCCTGCGACTTTGCTTATGAATATATTCAAAGCTAAAAACGAAATGAGAGTGCCCCCATCACCTTACAAACTTGAGTCTCCAGATCATCCAGTTTTCCTTTCAGCTGCACTTCACCGAGAGAGAGACAACGAAAGGAAGTTACAATTCCAGCACGGGACCCGACCTTCGCAGGAGCTCTCTGTCTTCCTTGATAGATTTTTTGGCTTCATGTAAAGGCTCGCTCGATGATGGCTAACACAAAAACAATGCAATTCAATTTCAAACTGCGAGATCAGACAAATCGATACCTTCGAAACTCCACATTTTGTTGTAGCTGCTGTACTTTACTGAGAGACATTCGCAGGAGCTCGACGTCTTCCTTGATAAATTTTTCTGCTTCATGTGTAGGCTCGCTCAGCGATTCTTGTCGTTGATGCATCTCGCTAACACACAACAAATTAAATTCAATGTAAAACTCAGAGTTTTTTCTTTCTTTTTTTTTTTTTTGGACAAGATCGATACCCATGAAACTCCGCAGCGATTTGGAGCAGTCCTTGACGACGATGTGGCGGTTCCCTTCCGGACTGGTCGCGTACTTGATTTTCCTGCGCGTTTGATCTGCATGTTACTGAGATCTTTCTTGCAATCTGCACAAGAGAGGTTAAATGCGACAAAGACGCGAAATGTTACCCGAGTCGCTGCAAAACTTCGTCTGGATCGGCTCCTCACAGGGAGGCCGCGGAAGTTGCTGGAAGCCAAGTGCTTGCTGGTGGTGGTGGTGGAAGCCATTGTCCTGGATTTCCTGGACCGTCGCCGTGGGGAACATCTGGTGCCTCTCAGAAACGGATCTCGATGAATGGTTCGCTGTTCGTTTCCACCGAGCCCGAGGATGATCTCGGGGAGAGTATGTCTCGGTACGAGGGACCGGTGCTGCCACTGGGAGTTGAGGCCGGAGGCATGAGAAACGTCCCTGGTGGCCTGCATAGCTTGCATGGCTGGTCGCCAGGAGATTGTACAAGCCAGTGAGAGAAGACTCTATGATGTTGGTAACGACGATTTTTTTCCATGTTCGCCAGCTTTTCCTGGATGACCACGAACATTCACGCACTCATTGTGACAATTGTATATTACCTGCATTGTTATGACAGTATTCCACATGTTTGCGATATGTGTATCGAGTGTCTGCTTCTCCACGATCTGGAGCTCTGCCTTCCTGAGAAAACGATTTGCTTGTAAACATGTTCTAAGCTAAATGAAATGAGAGTAAGAGTATGCCTCCATCATCTTGCGAACTTGTGTCTCCAGATCATCCAGTCTCTCGACAGGTTTTCCTTGCAGTTGCTGCACTTCACTGCGAGAAAGACAACGAAAGGAAGTTAGCTACAAACTAAAACGTTTCCAGCACGGGACCCGACCTTCGCAAGAGCTCTACCTCTTCCTTGAGAAATTTTATCGCTTCAGGTGAAGACTCACTCGACGATTCCTGTACTCATCTCACTCAGCACGAAACCAGAACTTGGAACGTCAAAGCTTACGAAAAATTCGACAAGCTCCATACCTTCGAAGGCCATCAAAGTCACCTTAAGGATCTCTCGTGAATGACGGTGGAGGGCATATCAAAGATGTTCCAAGAGAATGTTTGAAGAGACCACAGCAGGATGTTCTCCGCATCTGCTGGCAAAATGCGGCGATGGGAGCAAAAGACCTCTTCTCATGCACAACCTTGCTCACTGCCTACTTGTCGCTTATATCAATGAAGAGTTCCAATTTTTTTGGTCATTTGATTATTTTTTGTGTCCATATGCATTTCATCAAGCTGAATACATATACTTAGTGCTGTGAGTTTCAAACACCTTGATTTTCAGGATTTGCTTACACTTTGGCCTTCATGGTGAAAGGAGCCTTCGGAGTCTTGGTGTGGCAAAGCGGCTTGCCATGCTCACCAGACCAATCATCATTGTCCTCTAGGTAAGGCTTTTCAGTGGTGGTCCAGACGGGCTTGTTGGAGGCGTCCTAGATGGTAAACACACCGCAATCAGTCAGCTTGGCATATGAACCCTCCATCCAGGTGTTGGTATGAAACATACAGTCCTTTGTGTCATTTATGCCATCGTAAAGGCAACAGTTGCCATCCTCCCACTGCACACCGACACCAGCCACTCTTTCATGAGCAACAAATTAACAAATATCAAATAGAGTAGCAACTTCTTTGTTAGCCTGTGATTGCAAACAATAGACACAAACACACTGGATGATATCATTTTATTGCGCTCAATCCAGGGTTGGACCTAAAAGCTCTAAGTTTGGGAGTGAGCTAGAAGGCACTAGAGAGAGAGTGTGAGGAGGAGTGAGGGAAGGAGCACAGTGGACGGCAGCAGCAATGCACGTGCTGTAGCAGCAGCACACAGGGCTCTCCTCTTTCTCTTCCTCTCTTCTCTTGAAAGAAGCATCTCTGCGCTTGGGTCTTGATTTCTCCTAAACGGCTGGGAGTTTCTTTGATTCCTTTGTAGGAGTGGAGCACCACGTCCTCCTACAACAATGAAGTGATATTTGCCACAGATCTGGAGATCTTGCTTACCCTAGTTGTGGTAGCGGTTAGGGTTTGCAAGCTTCCACGATTTGGGGCTTTTGGTTCTAGGGGGAAATCAAGTTGTGGGAGTGATTGAAGTGAGGAAGAGGGACATTGCCAACGACAACAACCCTCCATTAGCTTCGTCGGGGCGGTTATGGCAAAGGACGGGCTTGTTTTCTCCTCTTTTTGCTTCTATAGTTTGGGTTTTGCTTGTTTTCTTGATTCAACATGGCTGGCATTTAGGGAGTGGCAAAAAGCACTCCTAGTGGCGGTGCTTCATTCAGATCTGGGATCCAAGATCTGGACGATCCTAGCTCGCACTCTGGAATTAGGGTTCTTGGGCAATAGCTAGGGTTAGGGTTTGCCCTGTTCTAGGGCTACGGTTCCTTGGCATGGGTTGCTGCAGTCTTAGAAGACTCTTAAAGCATCTCAATGGTGGATGGACAGTTGCAAAAGCTCTAGAAATGGAGTTTTTTTCTAAGATCTATGCGATTTTGCTTGCTTTGATGCATCACAAAGACAGTAGCGGTCAAGGATTGGGAGCTAGAGGTCACTTTAAGGGTGACTTGGAGCAGTTAGGACTTGAAAGAGTTCCCAACTTTCTGGATTTTTTATGGAAGACCATACATGGTGTCTTGCTTTGAGGAAGATCGAGGAGGGGGGATTTTTGGAACTAGTGGTAGGGATTGTTGCCACAATTAGGGCTAGTGGCTAACAGGGTTGATTTGGTGATACACATGTAGGGGATTCATATATCTTTTCTCCAACACCTGCTTTGGAGTTCACTCCCTTAGGAGGAGGTTTGTGACCTTTCTCTAGTCCCTATTGCAGGGCTAGGACTCAATTGAAGATGAGCTAACACACTTGTCTCGTATGGGAGGTAAGGTAGCACACTCTAGCCTTGAGTTGGAGGACGTTCATACCTCGCTTGGAGTTACGAGTTAGAGTTATGTTGCGACTGGACACTATTTTGGGCTTGGAAGCATGTTGATAGTGGAGTGTAGTTTTGCAGGTCATGGAGCGTAGCAGGTGGCTTCAAGTTTCGTGGTGGAGTCACCTAGGAAGTAGATGGCCCAAGAGCAGCACTAGGCATTCGTGCTTATGGAGTGTAGTAGGTGGCCTCTAGTTTTGCGGTGGAGGCACCTGGGAGGCGGACGACCCAAGAGCAGTGCTAGGCTTTCATGCTCATGGTTTTACTAGTTTCACTAGTTTCCCTGAAAGTGCGCTCTTAATATTGTATTAGTTCCTAAGGGGCAATTGAGAAATGTACCTATATATTGCATCAATCCAAGGTACCCATATCAAGAAGGATGAATTTGGGACCTTTGGTGATGGTCATAAAGATGCACTGCCAATGGTGTCATGGAAAATGAAGTCATTGTGTTTGAATTATAATTATGATGTTCTCTTTGGATAAGAGTGTTGATGAGGGTATAGAGAGATGATGAGGAGCAGGATACATGGCTGGGAGACGAGTTGTCATTGTGTTGACAAAACTGAGTCATCAAGTTTGGTGGTCATGTGGTCTAGCATCAGATTTTTTTAAAAAGAAAATTCCTTCAAGAATATAAAAGGGTAAGTATTATAATGTTCCACTTTATATTCTACAAGTGGACAATAATAAGAGGTATAGTGTCATTGTTGTCCCACTTATGTAGCCCAAATGTTCAATAAATTCTACTTAGACAAGTGGAAGAAATGCTTGTCATATATTAATCCCAAAATCTAGCATCAAAAACTCATGACAATTGCTATAGTAAAATTAACTTTATTGGTATAGAAGTTTATATAATGAAACACCAACAAAATTCCATACTTTTATAACATATATATACCGAAAAGAAGGTAAATAAATATCTCAATCTGAATGTTGAAAGTTTATATACTTCACGATCATCCCTTTAAAGGTTTGAACGAGTGATTTCACCAAACCATCTATTTGTGAATGATAAGCACTTGTGAAAGTGTGGTGTATCTTTAGCCGAGAAGTTAAAATGTGAAATGCTTCAATAATAAATGTGGGATTATTATCTAAGAGAATTTGCTCTAGACAAAAATGCTAAAACACCACTCAATTAAGGAGGAAGTATTCAATAGTAGTTGCAAATACACTAGCAAAAGCACAAATTTCCATTTAGCAAGTCAAGTAGTTAAAAGCAATAATGATATATTCAT